TGTGATCTTTTATGTAAATTAAGCTCTCTGTTAATTGTCCTTAATTGGTGTCTCAGTACATACACAGTATGCTACATCTTGCATCAAACAAAGGGTTTGAAATGTCTGTCTTCCCTCCCAATGCTAGTGACTAGGAGAGAGAAATGTTAAAGGGTAGGAAAGTCACTGAAATGAGAGACTGTATTGTAACCTGTAACAAAATGGGACCACTATGGGGTTCTTAGAGCACTCCTAGCCTACTTGCCCATCCTATGAGTTCCTGCCAGCCTGCCTCCTTCACCATGCAGTTCTGACTTCTGGATTCATTGCAGTGGCCAGGTTTTGTCAGTGCAGGTTTTGTCAGAAAAAGCTCCTGTGGATGGGATGAGTAGGGGGGTGATGCATGTCAAGGGGAACAGGAGTACTAAGAGATATCTTAATGCATCTGCATAAGGATGCGTATGTAAAGAGATTGAGTTTCTTGAGGCATTTTTGAACTTTTAAATTCTTAACTTTGCAGCTTTGGGGGATCTCCTACATATTTTGGCACCTTTCTGTAAGGTTTTTTTTTCTTAGTCTGCTTTTACAGTTTTGTCTTTTTCTCTTCCCCCCTCCCCATAATCGTTTTAGAGAGCCTCACTTCCAGAATTTCTCATCAGAGGTCATCTCAGTTCTACAAAGTGTATCATTACACAGCCACTGACAGGGCAGCTGATAGTGGAGAATGCAGAGGCTGCAGTCAAAAGCATCGAGCTGCAGTTAGTACGTGTGGAAACCTGTGGTAAGTTTCTCTGTCAGTGGAATGTGTACAGAACAGACTGCAGTAGCTACTCCCTGTGCTTTTTCAGCTTAAATATGAAAGATTGTCAAAAGCCATCTAATTAAAAAGACTTGCAAACAATTGTTTTGTGCCTTAGGTGGAACAGTCCAAACATTAATTTAGATAACCTCTGCTACCCTTAACTCAGACTGCTCCTGTGAAAACGTGCAGGTCAAAGGGAAAAACATTTTGCCCACACGTATCTCACCCCCTAGCCCCAGTGCATCTTTGTCTTAAGTTTTAAATTTTGGCCACTGTGTTCTCTTTTTCCCTTCCCTCTGAATCTCCCACTTTCACCAGGGTGTGCGGAAGGGTACGCCAGAGATGCCACAGAGATACAGAATATTCAGATTGCTGATGGGGATGTCTGCAGGGGCCTGCCAGTTCCTATATACATGGTGTTTCCCAGGTTGTTCACCTGCCCTACCCTGGAAACAACAAACTTCAAAGTCGGTAAGTGTGTGTAGGGCTTTATGCTGTGTTGGTGTCTTTCACCTGAGGGAAGTTTCTGAGTTTCACTTCAGCTTCTGGCAGGTAACAGGATAAGTCGCTGCCAGGGCTGCAAGAAGCACCAAGGATATCACTGTTTCCCTGCAGTCCCTGAATAGGAATGTAGTCTGCTGTATTTCATGTAGATTGAGAAAATACAGCCCAAATACTTACAACTAAAACTAGTTGTGCAGCTGTTAAGCTACTTCTCACTACTAGAATTATATGGTAAAGGGACAGGAGCAGCAGTGTAATGGCAGGGTTAGGGTTTTTTCTACCAAAAAATTATATGTGTTAAACACTTGAGTAATAGTCCAAGAATAAAATGCCAAGATGATCCCTTCCTTCTTTCACCATCACTGAGAACTTCTCTTTCCATTTCCTCTCCTTTTTTCCCATTTTCCTGGTGCACAGACTCAGAAGTTAGGCTGCATGTGGCTTTTCTTTTTGCATGTGACTTTGCTTTTCTTTATCCATACCAGATACTTCTTCCTGCTTTTTTTTTTTCCTTTGAACACTTTCCTTCACAAATACCTCACTTGTTCAAGTAATTACTGCAAAAATTCTCATTGCTAGCCTCGTTTTCTTCCCTTCATCCTGCTAGAATCTACTGGTTTTCTTTTTTGGTTTTATTGTATCAGATTGAAGCTACAAGTCCCTGCCTTTAGGGTCCTTCCCAGCTGAAGTCCCTGGAAATTTTCTGCTGTACACCTCAGACAAATGTGCACAACTAGTTTTCCAGCTCTGCCTATCTGTTTACCTGTTCCCTCAAGAGCTCTCTCACACCTGATGTGTACAGTGATGTTTCCCCAGAATACTTCTACTCTTTACTTTTTGCCATTTGTAGCTGTTGAACAGCAATTTACAGTGACAAATGGCTCCTGTTAGTGTAGTATCTACTTCTAAGAAGTTATGAAGATTCCAAAAAAGGACAGTTATTTTCAGTTTAATTTGATCTCTGGTTCCCTTCATTTATTAACTCTACCTGACTTTGTATCCTATCTCTACTTAGGATTCTTTATCGATCTGATTTTGGTTTTGAACAACACAATGTACTGTCCAAAGAGCAGACTTTGAAATTTTATCACAGCTTGCAGGTTTATTAGATGTTGGTGTTTAATTTCATAAGGCCACGTGTGATGCACGATTCTAAAGTTCTGTTATGTGCTGACAGCAGAGGAGTCATCTCCTCCCCAGCTCTTCAATTGCCATGCCTGAGCAACGCATATTGGTGTGAGCCATCTTTCTCAAAGCATCTTAATCTTGGAGGCTTGAACTCTGCCTGTTGTCGGGAAAACCAGATGTCATAGTTTGTCAATGATACAGAAATGAATCCAGAGGAGTCCCAAAGATGAGAACAAACCAAGGTTCTCTAGGAATGGTCTGAAGACTGGGTTGGATGCCTGGGGTGGGGTTCTGCCTGGAGTACCATGTTCATGCCACAGGAAAATGCAGGGTACTGGAGAGGCTTGGAAGAGCTCTGAGAAGTGCTGTGCATGAGAGCAGGAACTGCCTGCCTCTCCTCTTACTGCTACAGTTCAGATCCACAAAGGACCCTTCATCAGGGACTGTAGCAATAGGACAAGGGATAATGAGTTTAAACAGGGGAAGTTCAGGTTAGATATGAGGAGGAACTTCTTTACTATGAGGGTGGTGAGGCACTGGAATGGGTTGCCCAGGGAAGCTGTAAATGCTCCATCCCTGGCAGTGTCCAAGGCCAGGCTGGGCAGAGCCTTGGGTGACATGGTTTAGTGTGAGGTGTCCCTGCCCGTGGCAGGGGGGTTGGAACGAGATGATCTTAAGGTCCTTTCAAACCCAAACCATTCTGTGATTCCATGACTCTAATTTTGTTATTCCCCCCTCTTCTAGAGTTTGAAGTTAACATCGTTGTCCTTCTGCACGATGATCACCTCATCACAGAGAACTTTCCACTGAAGCTCTGCAGGATGTAAACAGCCAGAGGAGAATCACTTGAGGATTTAATGAAAAGGCACAGAATTCTTCAGAGGCAAAGTGAAATTTTACCAGTTTCTTACTTGAACTGGAAACACATCACTTCCTTCTCTCTCCTGGAGGTTCTTGTATCTTCAGTTCCCTGTAAATCGTGCTACCCCTTTGCCTGCCTCACAATAGCCTGTGTGGAGATATCTATCCAGACAGCCATGTCAGGTGTCTTTCTGACTCCAACCACCATGTTTTCTCCGATTTTCCTCTGACAGATCCTGAAGGAATGATTCTGTATATTTCTACAAGTTGTAGAAATATGTAGTAAGTTTCTCTCTTCATTTAATTTTGTAATATTTGTTCCAAAGGCCTTTGAAGACCTCTTAAACATAGTAAGTCCTGTTATATATGGTGTATATATACTGGGGGGGGAGGGTATGGGACTTGTAATATAATACTGAATCGTGTCTTTGAAGGCATAATAAATGGTGCTACAGCAACACAGACAGGGTGGTGATGTGGGATAAATATTGAAGGATGAACGTGAAGTAAGTGATGTGTAACAAATAATGATGTGAAATAACACCAAGGGTGTTTTGGTCAAATGGGGAACAGAAGTCCGTACCAGAGGAATGCTTAGAACTGAGGTTCTTGTGTATTATATAGAGTATAAGTGTAAAGATGACAACTTGAAACGACAGAATTAAGTGCTTGAAATGGTTTCCTTTAGCTGTAGCCAGCAGCACTGTGAAGCAGGAAGCTTCAGTTCTAGGGTTAGCCCTAGTTCTGTATCACCTTTAGGAATACCATCTGGAATTCTTACTTTTGTCTTGCAACACTCTTGGGCCAGGAGGGGGTAGATATTTACTAGAATGTAAAACACATTAAGATCAGGAACCGGTACGGGATTAAGGAAAGGTGCTCTCTCTAGTCTGGATGGTGGTGCAAGAGTGCCACCTGCTGCTCAAGTGCCACTATCACATCCTACCATCAACGTTTTGAAGGACGGACTTTGTCCATCCTGCCCCAGGCCCCAGCGTCCAGAGTAGATGTGATTAAAGCCCAGCCGGTAACTCGGTACCACGCAGCTGCTCCCTCACCCTTCCCTTCCTTCCCCCCGGGCAGGATGGAGAGGAGAATCAAAAGAATGCAAATCCCAAGTGTTGAGATAAGAACAGTCCAGTAACTAAAGTATAATATACTACTACTACTACTAATAATAATAATAATTTTAAGGGAAATAACAAGGGGAGTGAATATAAAACTAAAAGGGGAAAGGAAAATAAACAATAAACACAACTGAGGCACAATACAACTGCTAACCACCCTCACCTCCCTTAATCTGCTGGTTGAATTCCTTTTGATCAGCCCAGGCCATGCTTGGCTTTCTGGGCTGTAAGTGCACACTGCTGGTGCATGTTGAGCTTCTTGTCAATCAGCCCCAACCACTGGTCCTTTTTCTCAAAGCTGCTCTCAGTCCAGTCCCTGCCCCGCCTCCAGTTGTAGTTCAGATTGCCCTAACCCAATTTGGGATTGATTGCTCCAACCCTTGGTCCTGAGGGTCAAGGATGTGGGCTAATGGTGTGACAAGCTAGAAAGATGATGTATCCCCCACCCCAAGAACATAATGGAAGCTGAAAAGGGCGCATGTGCTGTTATGGTGAGCCGTGCAGTACCTGGATGTTCAGGCAGCAAGGCTCACCAGCCTATGGTAGACCACTCACCAGTAACTCACACTTAGTAAAAATATCACACAAAAAATTACTACTGCAGCTGCTACAAGTTTTATTTTTGATCCAAGTGCCTAGTAATATAGTGATTAATCACAGAATAGTTTAAAACTTCATCTGGAGCATATATAGTCATTTGGGGGAACATCTGATTCCTAGAATTAGCTAACAACCTCATATAATAAACATAATAGTGCCTGTATCCAAACAACAGTCACAGTTCAGTTTCAGGGTGGTCAGGCTGTACACTCTTATAAGTGTACAAAAGTCTTACAGTGGCAAAGGTACACAGGAAAGCTCAGACTCTAAAGCAGTAGGAGAGCCAGTCTTTCAGCTGCCTGCATTCTGTACCTCACTCTGAGGATGAACATCCACACTCAGAATACAGATGCAGGTTTCCCTCATCAAAACCAAAAATCTTGTAATTCTGATTTAAATAAATCAGCTCTTCAGCAATGAGGCAAATTCAAATCATATTGTGAGATTAAAGAACTGAGCCACAGTATTACGACTTAATGATAAACAAAAAGAAGGAATCACATGAATACTTAAAAAATCCTTGCTTTAAAGTATTACTAAAAGTAATAATTTAAACAATTTGAATTATAAGCTATGAATTTATGCAGAGTAAGGAGCTGCAATTATGTGAATTGCATTCATAATGAATACAACAAGCCTGATTTGAATCCTGCGGTTAAATTCTAACTGTTTGTGCCAAAGGAAGGTAATGTCTTGGCTGTTCCAAATTCTGCTGGTCTGGCATTGGGGTCACCTACTTGTTTAATACTAGAATTTATTTTCAGGGTGGTGTAAGCTCTGGAGGATGGTGCATCACTCCTGCAAAGAGTGATGCACCATCCTGGAGAAAAGTGGATAGAGTAGTTTCAATATCCCTTAGCCAAAAAACACAACCAGTTTTGTGTGCTGCCAGCCTCTAAACTACACTGGCTTCACACAGGAAGAGTGCTGGATCTTGGAGGACACCAGCTTAATTCTGCAGGTACCATGGCAATACCAGTATCTTATGGCTTAAAGCTCAGTGGTAAACACTGCAGCAGTCCGAGCTCTACTACCATTTCAATATAGCTGGGGTTCCATCTCTTTCTAGGTATTATGTTTCTGTTCCTTATCATGGTCGTTATTCTGCAGCTGCTTTGCATCTTACTGCAATGTGTTCAAAGGTTTAGGTGTATTTGTTCCGTGCAGGAAGCTCAGGGAAGTCTTCAGGTAATAGAGCATGAACACGACAGATGGGGCAGGTACTCGAGTGTTGCTTGAGCCAGGTTCTAATGCACTGCAAGAACAGGAAGATGTTGAGTACACAAAGCCCAGTATCAGGAGTTCAGTTTAACCAAGTTAGTAATTGTCACTAACAGGCAAGCACACGATAGTCTATGTTATTACAGTTTGAAGTAGAGAACCATTCTCCAGCTGTGACGCTGTGCTCATCAGTTTACATTTGCACCTACTTTGCAATAACAAATCTGCAGTGAACAAACAAGGAAAAAGTCACAGGCAGAAGCATCCAGTTATTCTCACATAATCCTGACTTCTTACTACAGGAAGCTACCTGTGCAGCTGCTAGCAGGTGGCAAATGCAGGGCTTACAGCAATAGCCCGTTCTGTAAGTACACTGCAAACAACTCTGTGACTTGACTACCAGATTCATCCTCTGAAAAATAAGCTTAAATTCACTCTGAAGAATTATCATTTCACTTAAAAATCTAAACCTGAAAATTTTCTGGCACAGTAAGGCCGCGTGTGTTGCAAGTCTTGGAGTATAAAGTATGGAAAAGGAAAGGGGGTTCTGAACTGCTCTTAGGTGCACACAGGTTAAGAGGGGAAGGCTGCTTTCAGAAAATGGAACAAGGGCGTAACTAGACAATGTCCGTAAGCATTTGTATCTAAGCAATAAGAACAAAGTCCTTACTTCTCTGTGAAAATGATGCCCGCATTCTAGTTCACACGAGTCTCTGCTTAGCTCATCATGACATATTGTGCAAGGATCATCACTGGAGGCCTAGACATAAAACACAGTTATTTGAAAGCTGGCAACCATTAATCAACAAATTCTAATAAGTTAATGGTGTTACTAATTTTAACAAAGTCTATTTAAGCCTTTGCACACCAAATGAATGAGTCAATTATTTTTGCTATCAGTACTTGGATAATTTTATGTCTTACAAGAACCACACAGCAATCACTTCCCGTCATGGAAACAGTGGAGAACTTACTGTAAAGTCTCGTTTCTTCCATTTCGATTTAGGTGTTGCTCCAACATTTCCCCAGGGCTGGAGACTTGGCTGAGGTGGATTCTTACTCAAAGCATTTTTAAGTGCAGGTTTTGCCTTGGGTGGGCTGGCAATGTGTTCTCCTGCAGGGACTTCCTGACCCTGAGTTCCAGCCTGTGCTGCGGACACAGAGGATGGTGACTTCACAGGTCTCCCAGCTGAAGCTGGTGCCTAGGCAGGTATTGGAAAAGAATTTGGAACAAGTTTGCATTTCAGAGCCTGGCAGCAAAGGCAAGGTTGCATGATTTTCTGGGCTGTGCTGCACCAGCTCCTCTGTCAGGGATGCAGCTACGTACACCACAGTACCTTACTCTGCTGCTCCAGAATGAGATCCGTCACTCTGTTGAGAATTTCATCGAAGCTCAAACCTGACAGTGTATTCCCATTTCTTCTTTGTATGGCTTTTATGTAGCTAGTGAAGTCTGAACTGGAGGGGGAAAGACAACATTGATTATGTCTGACTGGCAACATGATGGCTGTTACCACCATAGTTACAGCATGAGAGTACACATTAGCCTCCATGCTTGATTCATGGCACTGAAAAGATACTCAAATGAACTGCACCAAGTTCCTGCTTCCAATACCTTACAGCGACTAGAATCTACCTTAATGATAACACACACTTCCACCCCTCACCACCACCCCCCCAAACAATAAAATAATGCTACTTCTATTTGGTAGTGGCTCTTAACTGGAGAAAAAACCCATAAGCCAACACCACAGGTCTGTTCCCTTAAGGAATGTCTCACTGCGTAGGAGTGAACGGAACAACTAAGATTACTCCGCTCATGAAACAGAAGCCTTCTAAGAAATCAGTTCTTCTTGTACTGGATGTTCAGAACTTCTGTTACTCAGCGTGGCATTACATTCATGAAAACAAATACCTGCTGTAATTTGGGAATATGCTCTGTAGTTGTGCAATAATATTTTCCAGTGGCTTTGGAAGCGTTCTGTTGGTTGGAAGTCTGGGAGGCCTCAGTTGTGTAGCTGAGTCATCTTGGTGCTTCTGGTTCAGCTGGACATTCTGAGCATTACTTCCAGAAATCCCTGACGGGCGAGTTGTTGGAACTTTATTGGAATACGATCCTTCCAGGGGCTTTGAGGGTGTTTTCACTGATCCACCACTTGCGGAACAAGCCTTAGAATTTGCATATGCTGGCTTAGCTCCAGCCTGTGTATTAAGTGAAGCATGTGTTAGACTTTGATCTTCAGAACTTGAACATGCAGGAAGTAAATTTGGTTGTGCAGGTGCAGAGGAACACATGACGATGGCTGGATCACTGTCTGGAGGCCTGCTTTGTTTTATCTAGAAATAAAACGATTTCACAGGAAAAACAGTGATTAAAATAAATTGAGCAGATCTCTCGAGCATTTGCAGCATGAACTATGACATGTTTGGTCATGCCAAGGAACTGGAAGGTCACATTAATTTATCTAAACTTGCTTCATCTGGGTAAAAGCACTGCACAGAGATGCTCCGTAACAGGTACTACATGTAGAGCACCTGTCTGAAATGGGATTCAATAGGACAGCACATACACAGGTTGTTCCTTTAACTGTTGGACAGCTGTCAAGTTAATACACAGGTATAGCCTGAAATTGGTAGTAGAAACAACTGCTTTAAATAAGTGCCATCAGTTTGGAAATACAGATTTCACTGCTTTTAATGAGTTACATGATCTCTATATAATTCAGTGTAATTTTTTTTTAAAACCAGAAACATGTGTCAGCTGTAGTCATCATCCTGAAAACTTGGAGCTCACACGAGTCAGGAAGACTTCTTTTTGCACTAACAACTCACTTCCATAAATGGGAAGAACTCCTTAAAGTCAGTTTAGTTGTCTGACCCCATGACTGCTACTTCTTTCAGAGCATGACTGCTCTAGGAAGGTGGCTTCCTAACACACAGAACTGAAATTCTGCACTTCTTCATAGTTGGAAGTTGAACCTGCTGGTTCTTGTCCTATGTTCTTTAGCACCTTTTCAAAGTGGTATTTTACCATCCTTCTGAAGGTGTTTAGCTAATTAATGGAATTAAATAGGGAAAAAAAGTTTTCATTCAAGTCTCCTTCATTTGGGCTTAATAAAGCCCTCTCAAAGCCAAAAGAATTACAGATACCCCTTCTAAAAGGTTACTCCTGTATTACTGCAGTAAAAATAGATACCAAATGCAGAACGAGAGCCTCAACAGTTACTCCTCCTCAACCTGTAAATTGATGGTAACCAAAGGATGGTAACTTAAGTTACCTACATACTCTTTAAGAGATCTGTACCAACAAATAGAAAGGAGAGACCTAGAAATAAGTGGGGAAGAACAGGCATGCAGGAAGTGTAAGTGTAACTATGACTTGTGTAAGTCTAGAAAAACTGTAGTAATGATCATTAACACAGTATTAGAACAGAGCCTTGAATCTAAATTATACCAAAAACCAACCAACCAAAAAAGTCACAAGACTTTCTGCAGAGAATATATATAAAAAGTTGTCTTGCCTCTTCAGCAAATTCACAGATTTCCTATGTGTGCATTATGAAAACATTTCACTTACTGAGTCCATTATCTCCCCTATTTTTAGGGATGTCTGAATCGTCTTCCCCTTAATCCACTGTCGTGGTTTAAACCCAGTCAGGTAGCTTGTTCACTCACTCCCAGTGAGTGGTGCCGAGCTGACAACAATCGAGGTCCGTGTCCGTCTCCCTCCACCTGCCTCCCCGCACCGGGGCTCTCCCCTTCCCCGCTCCCGGAGGAACGGGGAGGAGGATCGAGAGAGTGCAACTCCTACGGGTTGAGACAAAAACAGTCCAGCAACAAATCACCACCGCTACTATCAGCTACAACAATGATAAGGGAAAATAACAAGGGAAGAGAATACGATACCACCGGCCAAGAAAATGAGTCCCACCCGGAAGCCCCTGTCCTTCCGGGTAACTCCCAGTTACCCCTCACCCCGGGCATGACGTGCTGTGGTATGGAATACCTCCCCAGCTAGCCCGGGTCAGGCGCCCCGTCTCTCCTTCCTCACAGCCTCCCCTCCTCCCTGGCAGAGCATGAGCCTCACAAAGTCCTTGGCCAAACCAAAACATCCTTGTTATCAGCTCTGTTCCCGAGCTGAAAGTCAAAACACTGCACTGCACCAGCTACCAAGAAGGGGAAAAATGACTGCTACTGCTGAACCCAGGACATTATCCACCCCTTATTCCATACCATTCACGTCATGCTCAGATCCCACATTTTCAATATACCATCACTCTTATCTTAGTGCATGGACCAGTCCCTATAAAGCTGTTGAGTCCATCTGGTCCATGATGTCAGGCTCCATCTCTTGTAACAGTCTTCCAGAGCAGGAGAGACTGTGTGCAGTGTTCACACTCGTGAATAACCTGGGCAATAGTGTCCATTGCTAAGTCCACCCCTCGATCATGAGTCCATCTCTGTGTTGCATCTCTTCTCTGATGGCCTGAAGTGCCATGGGCCCACCAGGCTTAAAATAATTCACTGTCCCCTTCAGCAGTTTCTGCAGCTTGTTGCTGGGGACTCCATACAGCTGCCTTCCATCTCCGATGCTTCCAAAGCACTGGAGGGGCCCAGTGGACTAGATACTTGCCCATACTGTCCCACACACCCTGCCACTCATCACTGTCCAGCTTTGGGGAAAATCTCTTGGTCCCCCTGCATCGTTGTCTAACCCCAGACAAGACCCAAACCTGACTCTGCTTAACTTCTGAGATCAGACAAAATGGTTGTGGGTAGAACACAGCCTGTGTGTGTGCCAACATGCTGATCCCCATCACAATCAGCAGGCAGGTCCCAAGGATACCCAAAGGCCATTCAAAACCTTCAGAACTCTCAAACGATGCTGCTGTGCTTGTCACTGGGGCTGGTGTAGCTGCTGTACTTGTCACTGGGGCTGGTGTAGCCGCTGTGCTTGCCGGCTCTCCCACCGCCAGCTTCTCTTTTTCCAGAGTCCAGCTCTTCCTCCTCTGCCTTGCTGGGAAATGCTGCGTGGTCTCCTGCATCCTCCGGGGGCTCGGCGGGCGGCTGCCGGGAAATGCTCTCGGCTGTCGCGGGGCTCGGCTCGGCCGCGGGGCTGGGCTCGGCCGCGGGGCTCGGCTCCTCCGCCGCCTTCTCCCGCTGCTCGGCAGCCGCCTCCTTCCTCTCCTCGACCGCCCCGACCTCCTCCACCCGCAGCCGTCCCCTCGCGGCCTCCGGCCCCGCTCCCGCCCCGCTCCCGCCGCCGCTTGGTCCCCGGGGCCGCTCTCCCGGGCCGGTTCGGCTGCCGCCGGCTCCCGGGGCCGCTCCCCCTCGGCTCCCCGCAGCCTCACGAAGATGGAGAGTAGGGTGAGGGCCAGGACGGTGAAGAGCAGCCGGACGGCCAGGTACAAGTGCACGGCCACGTCCGTCCCGCCCTGCTGCTGGAGCCCGCCCGTATTACAAGCCATGGCCATAAAGCACAGTGAGACGAGAACCTTAGCCCAAGCGCCACACTTGATAAACACTAACACAGCGAATACCGGCTCTAAGTAAGTTGCAACATTCTGAAGCTGTGAGATCAAGAGAAACAACTCTGAGAGCCAATAAATCAGCATTGTGACCAGTGACTATTAATCTGGTCAGACCTGTCGTTATCTCAACCCTTCGTGCCCCACGTTGGGCGCCAAAACGAACTGTCGTGGTTTAAACCCAGTCAGGTAGCTTGTTCACTCACTCCCAGTGAGTGGTGCCGAGCTGACAACAATCGAGGTTCGTGTCCATCTCTCCCCCGCCTCCCCGCACCGGGGCTCTCCCCTTCCCCGCTCCTGGAGGAACGGGGAGGAGGATCGAGAGAGTGCAACTCCTACGGGTTGAGACAAAAACAGTCCAGCAACAAATCACCACCGCTACTATCAGCTACAACAATGATAAAGGAAAATAACAAGGGAAGAGAATACGATACCACCGGCCAAGAGAGACGAGCTCCACCCGGAAGCCCCTGTCCTTCCGGGTAACTCCCAGTTACCCCCCACCCCGGGCATGACGTGCTGTGGTATGGAATACCTCCCCGGCTAGCCCGGGTCAGGCACCCCGTCTCTGCTTCCTCACAGCCTCCCCTCCTCCCTGGCAGAGCATGAGCCTCACAAAGTCCTTGGCCAAACCAAAACATCCTTGTTATCAGCTCTGTTCCCGAGCTGAAAGTCAAAACACAGCACTGCACCAGCTACCAAGAAGGGGGAAAATGACTGCTACTGCTGAACCCAGGACATCCACACCATCCCAGGTACTGTGGTTGCTGAATGCTACTCGTCTTCAGGGCTGGGCATCACCTGCCTGCCCTGGTTTCAATACTGCCATCAGTGAACATCTGCACCACTGCTGCAGCTAGCTTGGCTATATTTTATTAGTCAGGTGACTCCCCACAGCTGTGCTCATGGACAGTTCAAGAAGTACTGACTTGATACTTGATTCAGAGCAGCCCTGCAGAGAAGGACTTTGGGGTATTGGTTGATGAGAAAATGAACATGAGTCGGCTTCAGTGTGCACTCGCAGCCCAGAAAGCCAACTGTATCCTGGGCTGCATCAAAAGGAGCGTGACCAGCAGGTCCAAGGAGGTGATCCTGTCCCTCTGCTCTGCTCTTGTGAGACCTCACCTGGAGTATTGTGTGCAGTTCTGGTGTCCTCAACATAAAAAGGACATGGAACTGTTGGAACAAGTCCAGAGAAGGGCCACGAGGATGATCAGGGGACTGGAGCACCTCCTGTATGAAGACAGGCTGAGGAAGTTGGGGCTGTTCAGCCTGGAGAAGAGAATGCTGCGTGGAGACCTCACAGCAGCCTTCCGGTATCTGAAGGGGGCCTGTAAAGATGCTGGGGAGGGATTCTTCTTTAGGACAAGGGGTGAATGGAGCATCCCTGGCAGTGTTCAAGGCCAGGTTGGACAGAGCCTTGGGTGACATAGTTTAGTGTGAGGTGTCCCTGCCCATGGGCAGGGGGGTTGGAACTAGATGATCTTAAGGTGCTTTTCAACCCTAACTATTCTGTGATTCTATGACTTTGTCCTTGTTCCAGGAACAATCACAGGGTATGGAATTAACTAACATGACTTAAGCAAAGCATTTGTGGAACTGTTGGCCCATAACAAAATGTGTTTAAGCAGTATTTATCTGGGATGTAGTCATTGAAGATGCATTTCCATAAATGGCTGTGCTCCATCTAGTTCACAAGAGATAGAATTGGAAGTTGATTTTGGTATTTGTAATCAGTTACACATGTCAGTGTAATGGGGCCTTGTCCCTATGGATTTTGGTGCTACAGGAAAGTCACGACACACAAAAATATTAGTCCCAATTTAGATAGAATATGAAGCATCTTAAAGTTAAAACAGCTTGAGATTCTCAAAGGACTTGATAACCTTCTTACTGGCCTTCATCATGCTAATCCACAGTCACCTTTTCCTTTTGACAATTACCTGGACTTACGGAGAGACAGCTTACTTTGTGTTCAAGTTCTTTATGTACATATCCTGTAACAGGTAGCCATGTTAATTCAAACTTAAAGAACTTCTGAACAAACAGCTATCAAATGTAAGATACATACTAAGACACTGGGAGGAGAAGGAAGATCCTCAGTTTCCATTTTAGTGAGGCAGTTCCGTGCACCATTTTTCACCATCTGAATTTTTTCTTCATACTCGGTCTGCAGAAGAAACACAAATTATCCTCCACATCAGCATTAACTAAAGCTCACTCTGTTTAAAATGGCATGAACACAACTACTTTTTTGCAAGACACCAATGATATACCAGGCCTTTCAAACAGAGGCGTGAGGCTACCATTTGCTATAAATGAGGTACTTGCACTAACGCTTGAAACGGTTTGGGAAACCCTTTCTAGTTCCTAAAACTCAGTCTTTACATCTTAACTTTTCTGTTGTTTTTAGAGAAGTTGCATGGATTATCTGAAATTCAAAAAGTACAAAAGTACCAAGAGTAAGAGTGAGATGCAATTTTGAAGCAAATGTATAAAGGACAGATTTTTGCCTTTATGAAATTGAAGTCAGCCATCGTAATTTAACTATACTTAAATAATCTGGACTTAAATCTGTGCCTTTCTTTTGTAATTTAAAAATTGCAGTTCAGTATTTGCAGGACAAGCTACTGGTGTTTTAAAAAAGGAATGCAAAATTACTTAAGGTATTCTGTTTTAATTTCCAACATTCAACTTAAGGCTCTTTAGGAGAAATTAAGGCTTACCTCTACTTTTTCCAGTTGTTTCTTTATGTTTGAAATAAATACTTCCCAGGATTCAGTTTGTGACTTCAACTTAGGTGCTGCTGAAGCTGAGCTGCTGAAGCATTCAAGATGTCAGTTAAACTCCAACATTCCCATTATTTTTGTTCAAGACCATCGGTTTTAGTACCACAGTTAGTTCTTTTCCCTACCAGCTAAATCACAGCTAAAGATTGGAGCAATTTTAAAACCAGTTAAATGACCAGTATTTGGATCCTCTCCAATCTCAGAAGTGGGTTCCTCAAATGTAAGTTGGTATTTTCTGGCAATATAAGGAAATGGAACCTGTCATAGGTTTTTAAAAAGGTAACACCAAGGGCTTAATTAGTTTCTCGTAAGGAAGAAAACAATGTTGTTGCATGCCCAGCAGCTTTGTTTGCACTCTTCTTTATTTTCATTGCAGCCCTTCACAGCGATACTGTGCAGGAATAACTAGAATGTTCCCAGTAGCCTGATCTTCCCTGTCTAAGAAATAATAAGACAAGAAGCTTGCTCCTGCTTAAATATCACACATCTTGGTAATTTCATATTACAAAGAAATTCAGCTTCAGGAAAGATGTATTTAACTATTATGTTTCTATGCACCTTTCAAGCTGACATCCCTTTCTGAGCAAAACTGACTTGTTGAGATGAAAAGTTATTTGTATGTAGCTACTAATAGTACTGAAATTTCTGGTGTAAACTCTCCATACCTTCTCAATGACTTCAGCATCTTGACATTTGCTTCTGCTTTGGCAGCTATGCCATTTAGCTTGCATACTTGAGTTTCCTTCCAGTTTTTGAGTACTGATATCTGTAACAAAACAGTGTAAAAAAAAAAACATGCAGTAAAAGCAGTGCTGTAGCAGAAGGGATAAAACCTCAGATAGATTTTAGTAAGCATGTGAAACAATAGTTTGATGATACAGACTACAACACACATAGAGTTCCTACAATGAGCAATTTCACATGCAATTAACAGCCCTGGCAGGCCTTCAGGAGGATAAAAAGGCTGCATTTATTTCAGCTGATAGTAGAAAGCTTCCATAAATATTCCATTTGCAATTTACCCTATATATATATATATTTATATATGTATAAATACACACTTAAACTTTAAGTAATTGAGGCAACCTTTTAAATAAAGCACAGTTGAAAAATAATGTCGACCAACAATTTAATCTTTTTATAAAAATCCCAAGACAGCCTTCAAGCCCTTCTTAAGAAGGGAGAATTGTCTGTGATATTCAAAGCATTGCCAGTATAAAACATACTGGTTTAGAAAAAATCTTGGTATTCGGTACTCTCTTTTCAGTGAAACACACACGCTGGTTGTTACATTCTGATTCTAGCTCATAAAGCAGCAGCTACACATTGTGACTTACTTTAAACAAGAAATTTTCCAAGCTCCTATGGTTAATTCTTGCTAATGGAATGTATTCATAACAAGGGTAAGTATGAAACTCAATCACTAGCTGAATTTTGTTTGGGGCAATACTACATCCCCCAGATTCTTTTTAACACTGGTCAGTAATAACAATGTGCTTTGATGATCTGTGAAGTCTTCTGTAGGATAACATCATGGACAGCACTTTTGATATACGCTTATGAAAAGTTTTAGATGCTATTTAAAAAGTAAAAAAGGCTTCATCAGTCGTCTTCCCCACCTACTATTAGTGCAAATGATCCAAGCTTTTGCTAAAGTTGTTTAAGATATTTTGTTTGTACCTCTGCTTTAACAGCTCTTTTCACACACTCTTGGTAGTCATCTTGACTCTTTTTTATAAGCTCTTCCAATTTTACTTTTTCACTAGCAAGTTTATTACTGTGAAATAGAAAAAAAAAAAGAAGTTAAATATTTGACTAATGTTTATGACAGACGAGTATTTAAAATTTATGGCATTTTGGAGTTTTTCTACAAGTAAACTCTTCTTCAGAATGGCACATCTCCATTTACATCGTTCAGCTTGTGCTTTCAAGTACAGCATCATGCTCATGCAGCCCTACTGCTGGCTCCACAGGCACAGCCTCCCTATTTCTTCACCACTTCTCACTGTGCAACCTGAAAGTTTACAGGAGTTTGCCTACTGCAGTCATGCGAGTGTGCCTGGTCACATAGATAAAGAATGTACCTGTAAATGAAAACTTGTCTTTGTACTATGTGCAAATGAGTTACTTTTAGGAAATGTTAGGTAACACTAAGTACGTTTAGGACTACACGTGTGTGGACGTGCAAAGCTACACATAGCAGTTCAGCATGTCTGTACCACAGCCAAATTCTAACACGTGTTCGAAAACACAACATCATATAATCAATGTTGAAAATAATGTTGAAAAGCCAGATTTTTATTATCCTAAATATCTAAAAGAAAATAATATTTACTCACAATAAGTAAACATAAACTAACTTCAAATAAGAGATAGAGCTTAAAGTGCTTGTTTTTTCTAAACCTTTACCCAAAGAGAGAACTCAATAATGATGAGTCAGCAGAAAAACGTAAATATTGATGAAAGGTACAAGAGTTTTACCTGGTCTCGAGATATGTACTTAAATATTCTTTATACTGCTTTTCCTTCTCATCAATGGCCTTCAAATACCTAGAGTAATCAAACATTTATTAAGCTTGTACTGAAAAATGTTCATTAGTGAATACATAGCATGTTCCTATAAAACAGTGAGAACTGCACAGCAGTAACAATGCTGTTTAATACTGTAAGTACATTTAAATGTACTCCTAATGTAAAAGCAGGCTGATGATTTTTTAAGACAAATTTACCCCAAACTATTTAGACTAATGATAACGCAGCAGCATTCAGGGCCAGAAGTCTTCTCAGGTCTGTGAACTTGGAGAGAACTTAAAAATACAGTAAGAATTGACAAATCTGACTAGAGAATTTATCCTAAGTCAGTTTCATCAGTTATCTAGAAGCTATTTTAAGTATTTACCTGTAACTTAAAAAATCAAAATAGCGAAAGCAGACATGCACATATTTCATAGAATCATAGAATCACAGAATCATAGAATAGTTAGGGTTGGAAAGGACCTTAAGATCATCTAGTTCCAACCCCCCTGCCATGGGCAGGGACACCTCCCACTAAACCATCTCACCCAAGGCTCTGTCCAACCTGGCCTTGAGCACCACCAGGGATGGAGCATTCACAAATTCCTTGGGCAACCCATTTCAGTGCCTCACCACCCTGACAGTAAAGGATTTCCTTATATCCAATCTAAACTTCCCCTGTTTAAGTTTTAACCCATTACCCCTTGTCCTTCACTACAGTCCCTAATGAAGAGTCCCTTCCCAGCATCCCTATAGGCCCTCTTCAGATACTGGAAGGCTGCTATGAGATCTCCAAGCAGCCTTTCCTTCTCTAGGCTGAACAACCCCAACTTTCTCAGCCTATCTTCATATGGGAGGTGCTCCAGTCCCCTGATCATCCTCGTGGCCCTCCTCTGGACTTGTTCCAACAGTTCCATGTCCTTTTTATGTTGAGGACACCAGAACTGCACATAATACTCCAGGTGAGGTCTCATGAGAGCAGAGCAGAGGGGCAGGATCACCTCCTTCAACCTGCTGGTCACGCTCCTTTTGATGCAGCCCAGGATACGGTTGGCTTTCTGGGCTGTAAGCACACACTGAAGCCGGCTCATGTTCATTTTCTCATCAACCAGTACCCTCAAGTCCTTCTTTGCAGGGCTGCTCTGAATCTCTTCTCTGCCTAACCTGTAGCTGTGACTGGGATTGCTCCGACCCTTGCACTTTTCGTGGTTAAACTTCATGAGGTTGGCATCAGCCCACCTCACAAGCGTGTTGAGGTCCGTCTGGATGGCATTCCTGCCCTCCAGCTTATCAACCAAACCACACAGCTTGGTGTCATTGGCAAACTTGCTGAAGGCGCGCTCAATCCCACTGTCAATGTCAGCAATAAAGATGTTGAACAAGACCGGTCCCAACACCGATCCCTGAGGGACACCACTCGTTACTGGCCTCCACCTGGACATTGAGCCATTGACGTGCAGCCATCCAGCCAGTTCTTTATCCACCGAGTGGTCCACCCATCAAATTGATGTCGCTCCAATTTAGAGACAAGGATGTCATGTGGGACAGTGTTGAATGCTTTGCACAAGTCCAGGTAGATGACATCAGTGGCTCTGCCCCATCCATCAGTTCTGTAGCCCCATCACAGAAGGCCACCAAATAGGTCAGGCAGGATTTCCCCTTAGTGAAGCCATGCTGGCTGTCACCAAGCACCTTGTTGATTTTCATGTGCCTTAGCATGCCTTCCAGGAGAATCTGCTCCAAGATTTTGCCAGGCACAGAGGTGAGACTGACTGGTCTGTAATCCCCTGGGTCATCCATTTTCCCCTTCTTGAAAATGGGGGTTATATTTACCTTTTTCCAGTCGTCAGGAACTACACCTGACTGCCATGATTTCTCAAATATGATGGCCAGTGGCTTAGCAACTTCATTTGCCAGCTCCTTCAGGACCCACGGATGGATCTCATCAGGTCCCATGGACTTGTGCACGTTCAGGTTCTTAAGATGGTCTCAAACCAGATCCTCTCCTACAGTGGGCCCAAGGTCTTCATTCTCACAGTCCCTGCATCTGCCCTCCAAGACTTGGGTGGTGCAGTCAGAGCCTTTGCCAGTGAAGACCAAGGCAAAGAAGTCCTTAAGAACCTCAGCCTTCTCCAAATCCAGGGCAGCCAGTTCTCCTGAGAGCTTCTGTAGGGTGCCTACGTTGTCCCTAGTCTGTCTTTTATTCTCTACATACCTACAGAATCCCTTCCTGTTATCCTTAACATCCCTAGCCAAGTTTAATTCTGACTGTGCCTCAGCTTTCCTAACCTGGTCCCTAGCTTCCCGGACAGCATCCCTGTACTCTTCCCAGGCCACCTGTCCTTGCTTCCACCTTTTTTAAGCCTCTTTTTTCATCTGAATTTTCCTCAGCAGCTCCTTATCCATCCAAGGAGGTCTCCTGGCCCTCCTGCTGCACTTCCTTCTAGTTGGGATGCAACACTCCTGAGCTTGCAGTAAGGTGATCCTTGAATATCAACCAACAGTCTTGGGGCCCCCTGCCCTCTAGGGCTATATCACATGGAACCTTACTAAGCAGGTTCCTGAAGAAGCCCAAGTCTGCTCTCTTGAAGTCCAGGGCAATGAGCTTGCTGCACGCTCTTCTCACTATCCTGAGGATCTCGAATTCAATCATCTCGTGATCACTGCATCCATTTCAGTCTACTGCTGTGATAAACACCTATCTGGTTACACAGCCAATCATCAGGTTACCTAAAGATTTCTGAAGTCTTTGGAATGCTGCGGAAAAAGCTACTGATGATACTGTATCAAATGATGCATGATTTATTTTTCAGTACATCAGTGACATGATCTCATGGATACTTGTTGGCCATGGTAGAAGTTGCTTCTTGCTCCTCCACAGCCAGGAGAGCCCACTGCCAGGGGAAGAGCTAGGTCTGCTGCACACAGACAGGGTTATGATGGGCTTCACACACTGATATTAATGATTTAAGTTCTATGGAAAACTCTGCAGACTTCTGTTGAGATAACTCAATAGATACACTCAGTTATGTGGTTCTGGCAGTCTTACTTGAATCTAGGAAACAAGTTATAGGACTAGAAAAGGAGGAAATGTGCATCCTTGGATGACCCTCAGGCTACTGTGGCAGAAACGGACAAAAAGGCTGACCAGAGTTTGGTTGGTTTGACTGTACAATAGAAAGAGGAAGAATGAAAATGGAAATGAAAATTTAAAGCTAATCATAATGCAGTAGAGGAGCACGCTGAGAAAGCAACAGTAAGTCATGAAGGAGAAAAGTGAAAAAGCAGTGCTACAGGATTCTGGAAAATGTTGAGATCTTGAACAGTGAAGAAAGTGGCATTTGTTAATTAGGTTAAATAATGCTGTACATAGATCCTATTAACAGCAGCTCTAATCAAGAATTGCATTTAACTAATTTCAGAATGACATAATCAGGGCAACAAGTCTGAGTTTTCACTATGCATACATCACGGTATCAGGAGATACTAAAACCACAGTCTATCAGAAATCACTGTACTTACGGCTGCTTAAAAAAAAAGAAGAAAAATCAAAGGGAGAGTGATGTAAATCAGTATTTAAAATTAGTACCTCTCACTGGTATCTGTATGCTTTTTAGCTGTGTTCCTTAGTGCTTTAAAGTTCTCTTGAGTTTCTTTTTTCTCCTGTTGCCATTTTTTCACTTGCATTTCTAAGTCTCGATGAAACCAATCCAGTTCAGTCTTTGATAACTAAAAGCAGAAAATAAGAAAACATTATTTCTGAAAACACTATTTTATTCAAAAGCAAGTTAGAGCAGATTGCTGGCACTTATGATCAACAGCTAAGCCAGTGAAAAGTACAGTAACATGACTTTTACTAATGGTTAATTTACTGTTACTTCAGCTGTTCAGTGTGGGCAACATACTCATAAAACGCTTCCCCCCCAACTATCTGCACTCTTTGTTTATATGGCTTGCAACCCCATTTTGCAGCCAGCTAATAGAAGAAACCCCGTTCCACAGTGTCACATACAAATACATACTGAAATCCAGATCAAAATGCAGCTCAAAATCAGAACTGATACTGTTGTATCAGCACTAACAACCAGGAAGTTACTATTCATAACAGAGCAAGGCAGCAGTGGATTTTATGGCTGCCATAACTGCTCAAGAAACTCCAAACAAGCAATGTAGCATCCATGAGTCATTAAGAAATATAAAAAAATACTGTTTACAAAAGTGCCTTCAATGCCCATGGACGAGCTCACCCACCCCACAACTGGAATGGTTTCAGCTCAAACCCTTCTGAGCTCATGGTTTACCAAATGTTGGTAAAGAAACAGATGTGAGTTTCCATAAGCCCTTATATGAAGGTTTGCCAGCCTACTTTTAGGCAATGGCAAAGCTAGGGCTCAGGAGCTACCAAGCTGCAGTACAGGAGTTTACTTCAACATGCCACTGGAAGGAAAAATATACATAAAACTGAGACTGAGTGACAGGCTCCATCTTACTAAAGATAAAAGAGGTGGCATGGGGAGACATGGCTTTAGCGTCACCTGATTTTTGTTTCATAAACGGAAAAATTCCTTTTCATGTAGACCAATGGGCAGCCTGTAGAATCTAGAGCTTTAACTATAAAATTAACCTGTCAAAGTGATTAACAAGCTGACAGTGTTATTTGAGGATGACTCCTCTTGCTCCTAGCCATTTCCAAGGAAACAAAGTCTGTCAGCAAACCCAACATATCAAGACAAAAGAAAGGGTCAGCGATGTAGGGCTCTTTTGTTCTCAGGCTGAACCAAAAAAACTAATGCCAATCCACTAGATGGAAGCAAACAATATCCTACATGTTTGAGTGTGTTCAAAGGACAATGACACACAAAGACCGGGAGGTTTCCCAAGTTAGACTTCACAGCAGTGAGGACTGCCTCACTGCAAGTTTCAAAAACACTGCTGATCAATTACAACCAATTTTGTGAACCAGTGCAGTTTGTGCTATTGCTGCATGGATAAAAACATTACCTCAGTCTCTTGAACATTTCTCTTTATGAGCTCTTTTAAAGCACTGGTTTCTTCTGAGCTTCGGTTTTGTAATTGTTCATATTTTTCCTGTGCTTCTTTAAGTTGTTCTTTTAATACTTGATGCTCCTTTTCCATACGTAGGATATCTCCCTGAAAATAAATCAGTTACAAAAACAATCTAGCATTTGTTTCCACAGGGCAGCAAACATTTGTGATGTCTAAAAGGAGCAGCCTGCTGTCAGGTGAGATTCAAAGTCTTGAGTCTGGTTGGGGTGGGTTTTTTGGAGGGGTTTGTTGCAGGAAGTAAGAGGGGGTTGTGTTTAACAGAAAGTTTTGTAAGTTTCAGTCCAGCTCAGGAAGTGAACATTCATGCCTGACCACGAGTGGAATGTAACTAGTTCAAAGGCCACATTTTCTCACTTCTGTCTCCTGGTACAGACATAAGACTGCCAGTAACATCAGTCTGAGCTGTCTATATGCCCAAATGGAATATTTAAATCAAACCTTCAGATTTTTGGAGAGGAAATACTAAATTTCCCTAAAATATACTCCAACAGCTGAATAGATACAAAACAAAGCTCCAAAACCTTGTTGTGAGCCTATGTGAAGTTTTCAAGGACATCACAGAATGCAGCCCAACGTGAATCAGGGGGCAGAACCCAACACCACACAACACCAAAGAAATTAAAATAAAAAAATATTTGCTAAAACACATCATTTTCAGAGAAAATTTTTTTTTTTTTTTTACTATTAAATTTCTGGGCATTCTTTAACATTCTTCATTGAGTAATATGAACAAATACTAGGTAACTTACTTGTTGCATTTCAAATGGATGAAAAGGCAAAGTATTAGTTTCCCTATCAGCTACTTCACGATTTACCTAGAATACAAAGAATCATTAGTTGATTAAAAAGCTTTCCAGTTTATATATGCAACTAGTAGGTCAGCTCTGTTTTGGAGCTTTGGTACCTAACCTACAATTTTACAAATCCAACTCCATCCCAAAGTAGATCTATCTACAAAGTAAAGAAGAAATCACACAAGTGTTTCTGAAATGGACTTCTGTCTATAATGAAAGCACTTTTTTTGGTCATGATCTTTCTCTAGTTTAATTGACCATGAAGCACTTATATCGAGAACAGTTCTCTGAGTCTTCAAACACAGCTGTGCTCTAAATGTCTGAAAACTTACGATTTGCAAAATCAGTGTCTGACAGCTCACTGCAGAGCTGTTTTGTGGCTCCTCCTAAACTCAAGATGGACTACCCAAATGCCTCTACTTAGAAGGGATTACACTCAAGGACCTTCCAAGTCCCTGCTTGTTTTCCTATAATACCATCCATCAAGAGCTTACTGAAAGAACAGAGTTCAAAATCTAATCATGTGTCACATTAAAGAGCCAGTTTATGATATTACTGTTCTAACAGGCTATCAGTCTATTTTGTCAGAGTAATAAAATCAGATTTGGGTAATGTTGAATGAAGAACTGTGGTAGAGTAAGGCAAACGGAAACGTATCTGTTGCTTAGTGACATTTTGATCTCTTCTAACCAGAATTCTCTAAATTAAAAACTGTTGCCTTTTCTGATATCTCTTTGTTGTGTGTGTTCAAGAACCAAACAGAAATCCCATTTCAAAAGCCCAGTCAGCCAAGCAACGAAATTCATCTGCCAAGACTGATGGCAAGCTAGCTTTCAGCAAGTGATCAGGAAAGATCTAGAGTGAAGAAAAGTTTTGGATACAAAATAAGTTTGCAAGAGAAAAAAAAAAAAAAAGTTAACATTTTCCTAATATAGAAAGCAAGAATAAAAGGACAACTTACAACAGTCCCTCTAGCATGTTGAATAATCTCTCATAAACAGATGTGTAAAACTGTCATATCCATAACTCTGAAAACCCAGCATCTTAGTCCAAAATATTTTCTGGAACAAATGTGGATGTAACTTTTTGTCTCCCTGTTACTGGAACTATGTTTTCATGAGTGGTGTATGCTGTTCTAACTCTGGGGTACCATTAAAGAGTGAATGTTCCAGACACTATTCTGTTCAGCTGCATGCCCTGCCCCTTTCCCGGTGTTCAGCAATACTTTCTCTTTTACTGTAGGCAGTAAAAAACTTTTCAGTTTTTACTTCAAGAGAGAAAAAGAAATGTGATGGAACTTGCCCCCTGAATTCACCATACATCTGGGCCACCACTGCAAGACCATGAGGGAAGCACCAACCAGCAATGGTTAGAATGTACAAACTATCTAAATCCTCAAATAGTGTGAAAGTTAAATCCTTGAACTGATTAAAAGTGAAAAATGATGACACAGAAAGACTTTCCTTAACCTCTAAAGTGAAGTTTAAACTCATGTACATGCACTAATTCTCTCCTTTAACCTGGATCAAAAGATCTGTGAAAATTTCAGGCAGAACAAAATTCAGTGACCAACTCTTTAAAGAATTACAAATGAAAACCAAGAGTAGGTGTAGAAAGTGTCAGCAACTTAAACTGCAAGTTCTAAGGAAGTGACGAGTCTGATAAACACCTCAGTTATCTTCCAACTCATGGCCTTTTTTGGGGGGAGATAAATACTAGAGGATGTTAAGTATTACTTTTAAGATCCTTTACATTTAGGTGGCTGGAGTTATTACTTGAATATTTGATCTTGAAACTCTGTACAATATTCGACCCTTTGGAAAGTCGTAAAGAAATCATTCAAACAGGAGTTGTACTTTCCACTGCTCAACACTGCCATTTATCACTTAAAAGCACCCAAATAACTGTTCATTTTAATTTCTTACCTGAACACCTATCATCCTTGTATGAGGATTGCTTTTCAGTAGAGGTACATCTCTACTTTCTTTTTCCAACTTAATAACCTCTATACCACATTCAGCTTTGTTTGTACTATTTTCAACAGCAAAATTGTCTTCATAAAATGTATCATCTGAGTTCTCCATTTGGCACTGAGGGTCTTCGTCTGTTTTTATTTCAGTTGGTATAAAGCTCCTACAGACGTATTTTCTGTCTGAAACTGCTGATTCATCACTATCCTGATGAGCTACATGATCAGTATAAATATAACTAGGTTGTTGGACAATATTTGATGTGAGAGGCATTTGAGAAGGCATTAGCAATATTCTTTCATATTGACAATCCCAGGCAGTCAGAGGCAAAAATAAATCAGGATTTTTAGAATCAAAGCACTTCAGTAAAATGTCTGGAAATGAGGAACCCTTTCCTATGATATCAACATTCTGACTATGCAAAGAATGCACCGGTGTACATGAAATAGGAAAAGAACAGGGCAAATATTGTGGAGTCTTGTAATTTGCTACTGTTAAGTCCGAAGATGTTGATATATGGGGTTGCTTATGATAAGATAGAGGTTTAAACTCCTTAGCAGCTGGATTTAACTGTAGTTTGTTCTGGGAAGAGTAAGCTTCTGGCACATCACAGACTATATAGCTTTCTTCTTCATTATCTCCAGTCTCATTTCGGTTTGTATTTTCTTGAATAAGAACTTCATGCTTTCTTAAACCAATAAGATTATCCACCATAATGAAGCGAAGAGATTTCAGAAGAAAAGCTTTCAGACCACCTTCATCTTCTACAACCTTTCGAACTTCTTCAGGGAAATGTTCATATTCCCCAACTAGTAATTTATCATTAATTTCCATCGGGCCATGTTGCTCCAAGATTAGAGAGAAATATCTTAAAAAAGAAAAAAAATAAGAAGTCGACATTATCAAAGTTTTTTTCCCCATGTAATTCTAGAACCTTTTTTCACATGTTGTATTTTCACAATAATACTTAAAAGCAAAGCGCTTCTAGAACAAATGAAGAACAACCATTTGAAAGATGGTGCTCTAGCCAAACATAATCATTTTCTGCAATACTCTTGCTTATACAAATCTTGCTGAAACATGCAGCTATTTCAAAGCATTAGTACATACTTTTATGTACTTATAGAATCATAGAATAGTTAGGGTTGGAAAGGACCTTAAGATCATCTAGTTCCAACCCCCCTGCCATGGGCAGGGACACCTCCCACTAAACCATATCACCCAAGGCTCTGTCCAACCTGGCCTTGAACACCGCCAGGGATGGAGCATTCACAGCTTCCCTGGGCAACCCATTCCAGTGCCTCACCACCCTTACAGTAAAGAACTTCCTTCTTATATCCAATCTAAAATCCCCTGTTTAAGTTTTAACTATACACCAGGCCCCCAGGACTCAAATCATGGACTTAGTTCAAGATGTTATAAAAATTATAAAGTAATATTAAAGCCTTTAAACTGCTAAGTACAGAAATGTATACATACTCATACAAGCTCTCAGAGGTTGGATCTGGGTTATTATCCAAATGTCTTTGATAGCGGTTACTATTTGAAATGCCACGAAGCACTTCAAATTCCTCTAGTTGCCCCTGAATATATTCTGGGATTACAAATGGTTCATAAGAATTTGTAAAATCTCTGTACCATTAGAAAAAAAAAATAAAAAAAAAAATAAGTAGTGCATATGAACAATAATACCTGTTTCTGAAAAGAATTGTATTTGTCACATATACTGAAACCAGAATATACTGTATGGTAACTACATAGTGCTAGAAATATACCCCAATAGCAAGCTTTTTTTCTAACAAGCAGAATAAACAGTCCCCAGAATACTTAACTGTTGAAGTTATTAACTAACCTGCTACAATAATAGGGTCTAGATCTTCCTAGCAGCTTTCACATCCATAAGCAAGAGCAAAACCAGGCTCAGAATACAAGAACTTGACTCCTGATTAACACACAAATTCTGAGCAACACACTACAGACGACCTCAATTCAACATCATAACCCGTTTGATGGCTAAGTTCAGCTGTGATTATGGAGTATGTACAAATACATCAAGTAATTTCTTGCTACATTAAAATGGAACACAAAGCAGGCAAGATGTTACTTGAAGGGATATCTTATGGCCTAGAAGATGTATTGGGCTGCAGCCTGACAACCATTTGGTTACTTCTGACACTGTTAAGATCTTTAAAATTTTAATGCCCCTTACACCTGCCCTAGAAGCAGAGAAGTAACGGCTTCACACAAGCTTGTGTCAAAACCACTTATATGCTAACACAGACTTGGTTTTTTTAAGACACTGTCTTCCCTGGTACATGCAAAGCACTTTAGAGTTTGGGCAATAAGCAAAGATACACAATGGTACTTACAAAGTATTTTCTTCTATAAATATCTTATCTTCTTCCCGTGGTGCTGTACTAACTCCACTGGATAATACTAGAACAGACTAATTAAAAACAGATTATTATTTTTTCATCTCACAAAAGAATACACAAAATGTTCTAAAGACTATGAGTAACTTATTTACACTGACTCTTGTTCTGTAACTTTATCATGTTCAGAAGCCATATTATGAACTGCAAAACTTTTAAGTACAATAATCAGTACTAAGCCATAGCAAGAAAGTTCTTAATTTAAAATTATTAACTTCTTTTTATTTTGGAAAAAGAAATTGGGATATTCAACCCAAGCTCCCTCCTTTTTTTTTTTTCCAATTTCACCAAAATCCTACATGTGCCTCATTTTCCTTGGAGTTTGGCTTAAAAACCAAACAACAGTACAGCTTCACTTTGTTAGGACTTCGGTATGACTCCTTTTCAGTCAGCTGCACATCAACTGACTTCCTAGGAAACTCACCCTTTACATCTGAGACCATTCAAGCTTTAATAATTTTACTCCAAATAAGTCTGAGTTATTAAAAACATGTGGAACTAGGGATAAGACACCTGTTATTCTTATGTTCACCATTACAAATGTTTTAGTTGCCTTTTAATTTTTATTATCTAATATCTTTGGATTTGTACAGACTTGTATAAATTCATCTGACTAAGAAAAAGAAAAACCTCGCGATGAAAACAGAAAAACCTTAAGTTTACTCCTGAAATTCTAGTAAAATTATAAAAAGGTGAGGGCATGGAGGAAATGAAGAAGACTATCAGGAGCCTTCATTAAAGCAAAATCCTAGAAAAGCAGGATAAAAGAGAGTACAAGCTCCAGGTACAACTATTATACCTAGAAAAACCTGTAAAATACTTCACAACTAACAACATTTTTCTGAGCAATAAATGGAACACTCACATCTTTAGCCCATAAAAATTATCAGAAAAGACAGTTAAATACATAATTTCAGATTTACGGTCATGAGGTATAGGGACACAATTGTCTTTCACAAAATAATGGGTAAAGTGTCCTTCTCCAATTTGCTATTTATCAGCGCAAAAAAAAGCGGAGCATAAAGTATTTATTCCATACAGCATTCAGTGTACTGCATTCACATTTCACCAAAATAAGACCAGAACAGTAACTAAGAATTCAGACAGTAGACAGACTGAAGGTATGGGTATCCAGTCATAGCCGAAGTTATTCATAACTAACTTTTTTAAGTTTAGAAATATATTTTATATTGAAAAATCCGTAATGTAACAAATGCAAACTGCATTAATTGAGTCTTAACAGCATTACTCTACTTCAGGAAAGACTACTTTAAGAACAGTATTTACATAAATACCACAAAGTATTTAGGAAAACAGCCTCTATACATCTGTATGCCAGCAATTCTAAACCATATTTGTAGTAAGCAGCTGCAGTTACCGACCCTTGAGTCTTTTGAGTTCTTCTTCCTGTTTTTATTTTTAACTTTGATACCATTACTCTGAAACAGAAAAAAATAAAATTGTCATTTTTTCATTAGAATAAAATCCTGATGCATTTCCGAACCCCAAAATTTCATATTAAAACTCTTATTCTGGTTTGACCAGCAAGATTTACAAAGTATGAAATCTTCTCCCTCTCCGCTCCACCCCCAGCTGGAAAACACAAAAAGAAACAGAGCTTTGCAAGACTTTATCTATTTTGTCCTTTTTCACCATTTTCCTTATTAAAACACAGAGAAAATGGATTTTAAAAACCAGAATATACTCTCATTTCAGTATTTCAGCTGATTACTCATTGCTTATAGCATAAAGAACTACAACATCCCACATAGCAGTTACATGTGGGCAACAAGCAGCAAACAGAACTGTCAAATATTCTGGTCACTTCAGTTTTCTAAGGTATGCAAAGATGAAGGAATTAAAATGCATCTTCACTTTTTAACAGGATTGTGATTACAGATTAAGATAACTCTACTAAGAGTAACTTACAGTCTATTTTAAGATATGTTAACATTGAAATAGAAATAATTTTACTGTAATCCATTCTTAGATTTCCAATTCATGAAATTGAAAAGCAAAGAATTTTGCATTTTATTAAGACGTATATTAACTAATCAACTCTAAAGATTTATTCTATATAAAAAGTAAATCTTGGATTTGTACAGATATATTTATCTGCAGGCTAGAATAATCTTAAATGACAGTGCCTCAAACACATAATTAACCAAGATACATAACATACTTCTGCCAATTAGGGTGGGTTTTAATTAAGATACTAATCAAAAAGTGATTCAGAATGATGTATACTTTAAGATTTATGGGTTGAATCTGAAAGGCATCTATAAATTGTAATGAATACATGTAAAATATGCCTAACTCACTTCGAATTTACTTATTAGTGAAATAAACGTCAAATTCCTAGCCTTACAATTTAGTGACATCTGAAGGTAAAGACGGGTTACACCACCTTGTTGCTTTGGACTGTAAGATATACAGTACAGTTAATGTCCAAAATGATACAGATTCAAGTTATGTGATTCTTCCTTTAGTGTACATTTCAGTTCAGTTGTCATGGTAAATATGCAGATACAAGGGATGCCATCCAGATGGACCTTGACATGCTTGAGAAAGGGGCCAACACAAACCTCATGAAGCTCAGCAAAGAAGTGCAAGGTCCTACATCTGGGCAATCCCAAGCACAGCTGGTACAGGGCCAACAGCACCTCCCACATGAAGACAGGCTAAGAAAATTGGGGTTGTTCAGCCTGGAGAAGAGAAGGCTGCATAGAGACCTCACAGCAGCCTTCCAGTATCTGAAGGGGACTTCCAAGGATGCCAGAGAGGGACTTTTTATCAGGGACAGTACATGATAGGACACAGGGCAGTGGGTTCAAACTTAAACAGGGGAGATTTAGGTTAGATATAAAGAAGAGTGGTGAGGCACTGGAACAGACTGCCCAAGGAAGCTGTGAATCCTCCATCCCTGGCAATGTTTCAGGCCAGGTTGGACAGTGCCTTGAGCAACCTGGTCTAGTAGGAGGTGAAACTGCCCATGGTAATGGGGTTGGAACTAGATGATCTTATGGTCCCTTCCAACCCAAACCATTCTACGGTACAACAGCTAGTAAAAGTCTCTTTTTTTTTTTAATTCCCCAATAATACTTTCAGAGAGACATTTTCTAAGTTACCACCAAACAGCTAGTATCAAGTAATACATAAATGCTAATCCCACGTGCCTTATTTTCCCTATCCAAAGGTGGGGGTGCACATCCGCTTTCCCTACAAGCTCCTCATCTGCCTTCTTGAAATGCTCATAATCTAAAAAGTATCTCGTTGGTGTGTGCTTTAACTAAAGAGAAACCCCAACAAGTATTTTACTGACAGAAGGTTAGGAAAAATTGTATGCTTCAAGAAAAGGAGGGACAGGAAGGAGGGGAAAATAAAAAAGTAAGTAGACCTCTTATCCAGTCTGAAGAATGACGACATAAAATAAACAGAGATGCACTTCTCTTCTCTTTTGCACATTTTTAAATATTAAACATGCTTTATTCTGAACTTGTATCAAATAGATATTAATTTCACTTACCGATATATTTCCATTTTCTTGCTTCTTTAATACAATAGTAGGGTCATCTATTAAAAGGATAACAAAGTCACATTCATAAATGGGAAGAGTAATACTTTATGTAACTTGTAATAGTTATTACTCTCATTTCATAGCTTACAATTCTTTATCAAATAATATGAAAGCATCTCAACGAGTGTAGCTGCAGAACCTTTATGCTTGATAATAATATAAATACTTATTTAAATACTGAAAGAGAAATACTTATTTTGGCTGGACATTATATATACATAAAGAAAAACTCATGTGCTGGTTGTGGCACATGAAAGAAACCAGCAGAATGTAAGCTAAGAAAGGGTGGCTTGCCTTTTGTGGCCATATTGCACTGAACACCAATGATGCCATATAATAAGGTGGATAGTAGTTTGCTGAGGTTTCGGCCCATTAAATGTGGTGTGGAAACAGACCAAATACAGTGCTTGTAAGAATGATGACCTTTGCATACTTACCCATTTTATCAAAAAATTCATCTAAAGCTTGATGCAGAAATGGAAAATGTTCTCTGTTGTCTTCTAACAGCCATATAAAACAACGGGTTTTCTCTAGGGGTGGTTTTAAGAAATAATCTCGAATTTCTTTGTCTTCAGAACCAGTTGTCACATAGTCAAATTTACTACCATACTTCTCATTCCAGAGTGTAGTTAAAATAGAAATGTCAAGCTCTTGTAAAAACTGTCCATATTGAAGAAGAAAGTTCTTTGTAGCTGTCAGACCTAAAACATTAAAAAAACCCAAAACATTTCATTCCAGTTTCAGAGTTTTAGTGCTTACAATGCAATATTCCTCTTCAAAGAGGAACAGTTTGTTCTAAAAATTGTATGGTAGACGAAACAATTTTGTAAAACCTCTTGTATCTTAAAAATGCAAACAAAAATGATAAGTGGAGTTTAGATAAATTTTACTCTTAGTCAACACCAAATTATTATTTGCATAATAAACTTATATAAATGCCTTAAAGAATATGGACATTACAGTTCAAAATTAAGAACCCAAATCTCATCCATGGTTTTTTTTGGCACCTTACATTCTTTTTGCCTGCAAAAAGCAAACTTCTATCTTCATCCAATTATAAATTCAATAGGAAACTACTGAGTAAGGCAGCACTGTCAAAGAGCACCATGTTAAATTACTTCCAAATTATACAGTCAGCTAAACTTTTATGACAAAAAACCCACCACAATTTACTTTTCTGAAACAAAATATTCATACAAATATTATCATTTAAGCCTAATCTGGAATTTAAAGACATTAAAAAAAAAAGGTTAAATTTTCCCTTTCCTACACAGACAAAGCCCTGCCCACATTAGAATGCTTTACTTGCAGAGACAGGAGCAGTTTTTTCTGTGCTACCAATGGTCTCACTTTCTTCTCTAGAAATTCTGGCTAAGGATAAAGTAAATGAAAAAGAGGAAAGCTTGACGTTACCATTTAAAGTTAAGAAAGCAAGGCTAGAAAACAGGGAGGTTATCTTTTCATCTATAAGCAAAACAAGTATAACAGAGTAAGATCTGCTATTACACAAACATATAGCCTACCTGAGTTGTTAAGATCTTTCAGCCACTTGTGTAATTTGGGATCCACTTCTTCCAGCTCACTCAGCACATGGATAAACCCCCTTGTTTTTACTCTGTTTTTCTCCTGAATTAAGTAACTGATGAGCTGCTCCATCACTTCATGTGTCATGCTACTAGTTTCAGAGTATGACATGTAGTCTTCCTTAGTGATTACAAACCATGAAAGTAATTCCTTTAATAGTTTGGAAGTATCATAAACAGCTGCTTTTATCTGCCCAGCATTTCGACTGATACGCTGCAGAACTCTATCACCAGCATATAAATCCTGAACATAACCTATAATGGGATATAAAGAAACAAACAAAGGAAACAAGATTTCATGTCATAATTTGAAACACCAACTTTAAAGTACAGAGAAGCTGGACTAAGTGGGGTTTTTAATTATTTGCTTTATCACAACACTGGAAATTACAGAATATAAAACTTCCCATACAAACTATGGGAATTCATAGCATTATGAATTTGACACAACATTATTTTAAATTTGGTTTACACAAAGAAACAATCCTTAGCACCTTACGTAGATTTCACAGAGGACAAAAAAAAAATTACCTGCCAGCAACCATAGCTTCAAGCAATTGTCTATAGAGAATTGTCTGTGTGGGCTGCGTGCCAGCCCTCATGCAGAGACAGAATTCCCCCAAGCATCAGTTCTCAGAGCAAAAGCATACTTCTGAAGCACCTTTGCCCTGACCCTGCCACTGGTTCTTTGTAGAACAGGAGTGAAAAAGATTACTGGTTCATATCAGCCTTCAGCTTTCATCGTTCTTCGAGATCATGCATTCACAGAATACCACTTTCAGAGCTCAACTGACAGTAACAGTAACAAAAAATTTAGATCCAAAAATATTTTTTTAAAGAACAAAGCACTACATATTATACCTAGAATAACTAAGCATTGTAAGACAAACAGTTCCGTGTACTATGAACTCGACAGGTATAAGCCATGCCTGAGTCTGCACTAAAAACGTTTGTACGTACATTTGTAAGATACAGAGAAGTGCTCCTCTCACTTGCACTTCTCCAGTGTACGAGCAGATTTGCTCTTATTTAAAGGTAGCTGTGGCTGCTAATAAAACTAAACAAAAAAACCCTTTTAGATCTAGCTCTCCCCTGAAATTGGTGCCTCAACCTCTAGGACAGCTTGAGAGATTAAATTAGACAGGTTTTTTTTGAAAGATTTTCTCACAAAATTTCCCCAACCAAAAAAAGAAACACCCCCCCCCAAAACAAACAAAAAAAACCCCAACCCCCCCAAACAAACAAAAAAGAAAACCAAACCCAAAACCCAGGGCAATAGATACATTGCCTCCAAAGAATTCAGTTTTCTTACAGAATTCACTGGGGACAAATTAGAAAGGTTGGCCAATGCCAACACACAGATTTTTGCAGAACTGCATTAAATTGCTTCATGCTGACATACTCCTGCATCAGTGACCCAACTTTTACCCACAGTACTTCAGAGTGAGTATTCTTAGAAGTTTTAATGGCATTTAGGACAGCCAAGTCACATACATATACCTGAGTGACCTGCAGTGGATCCAAGGACTAGAACAAAAGCTAAGCCATAGGAAAGCAGATAGGGGAAGTGCCACTTAAAGAGGAAGAAGTGCCAGGATATGCCACTGAGCAAGCAACAGGGTTTTAGAGAACTCCAAGTATGCCATGTATAGGCTGAAAAACTTTCCTCGAACTACTTAATACAAAATTCTACAAAGAAATTAACATGAGAACTATTTTAAAAGTAATAATACAGACAAAAATATGTAAGCAAAAAAACCCAGCAACACAAAACTATATTTCTTTGCACTATAGCTTGCCTTAACACCTCTGAAATACAAAACGCTGCAGACCAACATAACTGGAACACAAAAGCTGAAGCATTAACTGACAACATACTTACAGGTTGGAGTATTTTATTTTCCCAAGTCCTCTAAAATATGCTTTTCAAGTCACAGAATCATAGAATCAACTATGTTCGAAAAGACCTTTAAGATCATCAAGTCCAACCATTACCCCAGGACATTGTCAAGACCACCACTAAACCGTATTACCGAGGGCCTCATCTACACAGTTTTTGAACACTTTAAGTCACTGCAGTTTCTGCAGTTAGGCTATCATTCATTCTTTATCTGAAATGCAACTGTCTGGGTTTTTTATCTGTAGCAGTGTCCTAACTTATTGGTTATAAAGCTTTTCCTGAAACTACTTTTAAATAGATGTACTTGCACTTTGAGCCTCTGACCTCTTCAGACTGCTTTTTCATGAACCAGTGAAGCAAGAATAAAGGCTTTCTACAAGGAATTTAACCATATATTAACATCCTACAGTTATCTAGAAACCAAAACCAGAACTGAAATAAAAGCATCTTAAGTAAAAATGCATAGAGGATTATGTTCAATAGTAGCATTCTGCTATAATTTGACTTTGGATATTCAGAATGCTAATTATGCTACCTCGTGGCAACTTAGAACAGTAATCTGTATTTCTACATACCACTCTGAACACTGTATTGAGATGGTTCTTTTCCCATCTGGTTTTCTTCCATTTTCCTTTTAGCAGAATTCTGTGCCTCTTCTCGTGCACGTTTTCTTCGTAATTTTTTTTCTTCTTTCATTTTTAACTTCCTAAGACTGAAAAAAAGCAATTAAGCAGTGACCCTAATGTTAGTTAAGTTGCCAAAGGAGTTTGGCACATCTCAGTTATTTTTCATGTCTTAAAGCAGAATGGAGCACACAGCTATTGTAAAATACTATGCTGAAAAGTACAAATATAATAAAGCTAGTTTTCACTTAGAAGTTGAGACCACAAAATTTTGTTAGTTTCATAAAGTATGAGAATATCCACAAAATGCAATAACTTTTACTTCCATTTAAGATGTCTGGATTAGAATTAATACTATCAGGTTTTTAATTCATAACTCAGCATTTTGAACCAAGTATTAATGCTGTATTTCCTTAACTTTCAGAAATCAATTTTGTTTATCATCTCATCAGGACTCCTCATTATTTATAACCTTATTTGACTGGAAAGTGTAGACTTAGTTATGTCAAAGGTACATGCTTCAACAACTGAAGTAGCATCACTACACAGTTTTTATTTACATTTTCTAAAATTCACACACAGTTATTTAGCAAATTCTGTGGGAACAGAGGTGCTGAACTTATGCCATACAGCGATACCTCCCCCATACAGCTAAAACTCTTGCTGAGTTTCTTCCCTCTAGCATGAGGAACAAATAGAATTATGCTTGCAATCTCAGACTGAAAATAGAGGTGATATGGTAATCTAGATACACATGCAGTGAAAGTCAACTGTAAGGCACTCAACCCATTTAGAAGAATGACAGCCCCCCCCCTTTAGTATTTCAATTGTTAAGTATCTTGGCACAAATGAAAGACATGTATGGAGAGCAAAAGTAAAGAAACAGTTCTCAAGCTCTGCACAGCGCCTTCAAATCACACTTTCCCCAAACAACATGTTACTTCCCTGTTCACAGATTTCACAATGAAATTAGGTTTGAAGTATAAGGACTTAAAGATGACTCAAACAACTTGTATTAAAAAACTACTGGTTCAAAATTGCTGGGAAGCTTATGGTGCAATAGACAGTTTATCCATTAATACAGAAGTGTGGTAAATCAGATTTGCATCAACTCATATCCTGTATATGTGAAAACAGTTTTGTGTGACCAAACTGAAAATGCTGGTTTTAAAGAACTGTATGACTACTACAAAGCCACCATGAATTTATTCAGCAATACCAGTTAATGCCCTTCTGTGCTCAGGTTATAAATCAGCAGTTCTGTATCTTTGCTTACAAGTTAACTTAAATGCTTTTGTAATTTGTAATTCTGTAAATTGTTTTTTCTAATTTGGATCATAACATATTTTACCAGACCTTTTAGCTTATCAGAGGCAAAGGGTAAGAACAGCTTTCCAAAGTATTTGTGGTATTTTAGCAATTCTTAAAAAGGCATGAAAACCAATCCTAAACTATTTTGTTCTCAAATTGATTCAACTTAAGCTTTAAACAGCAGAGAGCTTACCTTGAACATTTCTGTTTAATAATGGCTCTTGGTGGTTCCTTGGTTTTTGTGATTTTTTGTTCAAACTACCAAAATAAGTAACATCATATTAATTAAATTTGGGTTACAATGCAACATTGCTGTTTCAAAAACCCAGGAATGAACATTTGATGCTTTGGAAAGCAGTAAAAGTAATACTATGAAAGAGATAATGCAGCCTAGATAAACCTCATGAAGGCCTACCTAAAATTATCTTGTATTGCAACAACTTGGTATATAGCAATACATCTTTATCTGCAGGAAAGACAGGCTGAAAGATAACACAAGATCAGGAAGAACTGGAGACTGTTTTGCTTCACCAGCAGGCAGGAAGCAAACTTTACAATTATTGTTTTTTGCTTCTCATATGTTGATACTGCTCTGGGAAGAAGTATCCATCTACCTGCTACAGAGGGTAAGAGCACTCTTCCAATAACACCATTATTTCTTTTAACAAGATTAGGTCTGAGTTAAACTAACAGTTTCTTTCATGTCACACAAACTAAATATAAAATGAAACTCCAGTTCCCATCCATGACAATTCTAACCCATTATAAAATAATGCCTGCTCCACCAGAAGAACAGCTAAGAAGATAATGGGTAATTAATATTCCCAGCTAATGCTCAAATTCTGTAGTTAAGATGGTATATTACTGATGAGTTTACAGTTACATTCTCGTCTTCATTTTATCTACTTTACCAGAGTAAATATTTTAAGGATTATTTTCATATTTTATATGAACATTAACTTACTTCACATTTTACCAGACCAGAAGAACTGAAAATAACTATTTTTGATATAAGGCCTGTACAATCAGGAGTGAAACACAATTCTTGAAGAAAATCCTGTAGGAGAAAATGGTACGAATACATTTAAATTCATACAAAATCTATGTTTTTATAGAGATTAGAATTTCTTAATTTGAGATGTCCAAGGTATTTAAAGCTAGCACAGTCCTAAACTCTTACTGGATGAGGAAAGCAAGTGACAACTGACTTGACAAGGACTGCAAATGAAAAGGATCCTAGATCTGTGGCACACACCTGTTATTCCCGAACCTAGAGCAAAGCCCCTCCTCCTTCAGCTTCACATTCAAGAGTCAACTTTAAGAATATTCTTTTATGAGTTCATATACTGCCTGCATTTTCCTTCATTTTATACTAGCTGCTGATATTGTACTTGGTAAAAATCCTTTAGACATACTCAACGTCAAACTGTTGCTTCAACAGCAAGACTGTAGAAAGATCAAAACTTCCATATGGGGAAGACATGAATGATACAAGTGAAACAGGCTAAGCATACTAAGCCTTCACACAGACAGTTTTTTCTTCTGTAAACAATAGCAAGCTTTACCTACACTTGCACGTCAGACAATTTAGCAAGAGATTCCTCTTTCCAGTCTCCCCTCCTCCCATTGTCATATGGCTGAAACATCAGGCTGTAGCACTGCACTTATCCCAAATCAAAGGAATGCTATAATCCTAACTAAAAAGGAAAAAATAAAATGCTTAGAGTTTAACACAACTCTTACCTTGTCATTTTTATCACTGTAGTTTGTTGTTTTCAACTTTTTCCAACAACTGATATGAAACTCCACTCTACATTGCTGACAGCAGGTAATACGTATAAAACCCTAATATTGAGAAACAGTATGAATTTAATGTGTTTTAAAAGAGTAATCAAAAATCAACAGAAAATAGTGCACAACTTCACAGTAGATAGGATAAAGTGGTATGTTTCAGACAGCTCTTTTATATTAAGGGGAACAGAAAATATGTAAAAATTAAGTTTCGTTTCCAAACACTTTTAAACTAAAAATTTACCTTGAAGTCTGGGTCTGTAAAAAATATCTGGATTTTGGAGTAGCCATGGCATTGCTGATATCGACAAACTGCACCTGGTTTTGGAGGGAATTTGCATTCCTCAATACAATTCTTTAAAGTCAGCTGAGAAAAACAAAATGACATAAGACAAATTGCACAGAAACCAGGAAAAGATTCAATATCTACTTACAAACTTCTAGGAAACTCTGCAGTGAAACACACATCTGTTTTTGAACAGCAGTCGACTAATACCAAAAGAATAATTTTTTTTCTAGTGAAAGCTATGAAAGATTATCCTTTTATGGCAAAATATTCAAAAGCTCATTTGAACTCCTATCAGCTAAGTACGCATAGCTTCCCTGCATGCAGGTTTATCTTGGACCAATGTTTTACATGCTGACCAATTCCAAATGCATGAGAATACAGTAAGTTTTCCATTACCAAAATGATGATCCAGATTAATCAGATAATGCGCCAAAAAGGGACTGTCTGTTCATTTACACTATTTCCCAGCATTTCAGGAGTGCCTCACCTGGGATCTTGGCTACCCAATCAATTATATTCCCAGGGACAACTCAAAGCTGGCCCTGCACTGGAGGTACTGAGATCTAGAATAGCAGCTGAGTCAAAGACATTACAGTGGCTTTATGTAAAGTCAGTGAAAGTCCCACAGGGTTGGCACTGAGCCCAGATTAATAAAATATTATTACAAACAGACCACTAGTTACAGCCTTTCAGATATTTGAATTATGTTTTCTGTAAGTCCCAGACCACTGGTATATTACCATGGCCAGACTACCGTGGCATCAGCTAGGGGGTCTACAAGAAATCTTAGGTCAGTTCTTGTTTAGGAAACAACACCATTGCTGTTTCTACCAGAAACCAAATGGGTCAGTATAGTATAGCCAAGCTCATACACTGGATAACCCAGTAAGCTCTACTGTGTCAAACTGCATCCATGCAGAGGAGCTCACACGTCTTGCCTCTCACGACATGGTTTATTCAGAAACCCTTCACAAGTAACAGTGACTCAATTACCATTTAAAAACCAATAACAATAACTATTATAATAATATTCTTTTTGGAAGCTTTTCAGCCTGAGAGAGCAATTCAGAAGCACAAATTAGATTTTAAAACTTAAATAGGGAATTTTACCACACAACTTCCACTGCATCAGCCAAGAATTACATGATCAAGCTCTCTTACTTGGTTTTAAATATAGCACCATAGTTGCAATTTTCAACTTCACGTTTTTGCCAATTCAAATTTTTAACCAATTCTCTCTAGCATTACATTGTGTATGGTATTCACATCTACTTAAAGTTTGGTATCATGCAACTAAGTAGTTAACACATTATGAAATACTTGGAGCAGATTAGAACCATATTAATTGCATAAAAATACCCAAGCATAGAGCCTGACACAGAGCCCCTGGCCTTGTGCTGTAAATGGGATGCTCAAATATGGGATTTTCAAAAAACATCAAACAGGATGTTCAAGTATGCTGTCACAAGAAGAGTTCTGCTTTACAAACACCAGGCATCAGGGTTGACAAACTCAAGACAATGAGCAGCAGCATTTGCACTGGCTGCTGCAGACTGAAACCTCCTCCTTTCACCCCCACTGTGGGAATACAGGTGACCTGCTAATAACCTCAGGCACTCAAAGAAGTAAGGGATGTGACCAAAACAGCCATAAAATATCACAGATGTGAATAACAAATGCTGGTACGCAGCATATCCTGTACAGGTGGACACAACCTAATAAACAAAGATAACGTAAATTACAGTGTTGGAACTGATCAAAGTTAGCTAGTAGAAAAACAAGGGTAACAGCTGAATAGTTAGAATCTAAAAATAGCTTGCCTAGAAATAGCTTGTATGATTTTGTATAAATATGGCAAGAAACTCAGTAAAGGTGATTCACTTTGCACACGCATTCTGTCTTCGTCTCATACTTCACTGCACCCCTCTCATCTTTCTTTGGCCTTTGCAATGGGGCGGCAGAAAGGAGGATGGCAACTGTATTCATTTTTTTTTTGAAAGGCCATTTGACAAAATAGGTTTTATGACTTTTTATTCTTTTATTAAACAAACCTGTAAATTCTCTGTTCGTGTCTCTTCAATGACCTGAGATGTTGTGGGCCAAGTTAATACTCCAGGGACAATCTTGTGATTAACCATTGTTCGCGATTTCATGAACTGATCAAGCGCATCTGAAAACCTGCAGTTTGAAACAGGTGCATGTTCAGACTGTTCATGAATAACTTCTACACAACCTGTAATACTTTCACAATTAATTTTATGATCCAAGGCAAAAAAAAAAAAGGTAACTGTAAGAGTATGTGGACTCAAAGAGCAGCTGGTTCATTAAGTTATCTGTTTAAAGACTCTTCGGTATAAAAAAAATCAAGGAGTGAGCCAGTATGCCAGCCTGGGTAAGAGGCCAGAATCCATGGATATGGGGCAGACCAAGAGCCTAAACTGATATTCAAGGGACCCATGAACATGGGTGCGCTTGTCAATACAGAGAGTGAGGGCATGTGTATTATCGCAAGGGACCTTCAACCCTGATCAGTCAGAGAGGAGGCACAGGACTCCGTTACCTATACGTATATTTTACATGGGTTCAGGTAGTGTTATACATGGGAGCAGCTCTGCCTGGGGTAGGCTGGGTGGCCAACTGTCTTGTCATGTGTGTGTGTGTAACAACTTCTTTGGAACACACGCACAGTCTCCCTACAGGTCCTAACTGCCAAAGGAAACAAAGCCACATCTGTGGGACTAGGATGCAGATACCTCCCGAGTCTCAGCACATCGGTCTATGCTATGGCAGTGCAAAGGAGGAATCACTCTCTGACCATGTGCTTTTAGATATTCCATGTGAGCAGACTTTAAAGTTTAATATCAAACTTAATTTATTTGGCATTGTATTGGGCTTACATGGCAAGGTTAAGCAGAGGGGTGGGGACCAGTGCCAGAAGGGCAGCCCCTGCAAGGAGGGGCCAGAGCTGCCTCAGTTCCAGTTGGCTCTAGTGAACCCCACCACAAGGCACAGCTGAGTCCCTCAGGGAGGATAATGGCACCTCAGTAAAAGCATGGATAAGAAAGGACAATATAAAGGACTGCACAGCTATGAGGAGTAAGGACAAAAAGTCTGAGAAACAGCCCTTAAAGCATGAAGACAAAAAGGAGAAGATGAGGAGATGTTCCTGTCATGGAGCGGAGATTCTTCTGCAGCCCCTGGAGAGGACCCTGCTCGAGCAGACAGATATCCACACTGCAGCCATGGATGACCCCTGCCAGAGCTGGTGGATGTGCCCCAAAGCAACTGTGGCTTGTGAAAAGGCCACATGCTGCAATGGGGGAGGAGTGTTTGGAGAAAGGAGACACAGAGACCCAGCGTTAGGGACTTATCACAACCCTCATTCCCCATCTCTCTGAGTAGCTCAGGGGAGGAGGAGGTAGAGGAGTCAGGAATGAGGGAGTCAAGCCTGGGATAAAGGTGGGAGGAGGAGGAAGGTGATTTTAGGTTTTTTACTTTGTTTCTCACTATCCAACTCTATTTTAACAGACATTAAATTATTTTTCCTCAAGTTGAGTCTGGCTTGCCCTAGTGATCTCGCTGTCTTTATCTCAGCCCCTGGACCTTTTCTCCCTTCTCCCATTGTGGAGTGGGAGCACAGTTAGGTGAGGGTCTGGCAGCCAGCCAAGGCACAGCCAACCACAGGCATACGGAGGATTTTGATTAAGTAGAGCAATACAGTGATATACTGAAATCACAACACAAGCGTAACATAGCAATTGCAAAACACATTTGAATTACTACAAACTTGATTCCCATTACCTGTCCCCACATGCTTACTGTCACAATGCTGGGAAGAAACACTGCCAGGAACACCTGGGTTGAAGCCAGCCCAAGCCCTCTGCTCTCAAGTTTATTAGGTGTCCACTTTCTGCCCTTTATGTTTGGCTGAGCCACTCCCCACCTCTTCCCATACTGGTCTGCTTAGCTCAGAAGACATTATCTGTTTCAGGGAACTCGATGACTCACTGGCGCAGCTGCCTTATCTAAAACTAAGGTTACCCTCCCATCTCCCTAGCACTGAGATAAGTTAAGCTTTCTTTACAATACTTTTTCCCTGAGATCATCATTTTTTGCCTTTCTCTTTTGAGCTCTCCTCCACTGCAGTGGGTGCTGGTTGGTCATACCCCTGTGCCCTAAACTCCTCTCGATTCATCAGCTTCCATTAGGTCCTTAGCAGTAACACAGTTGTAATAAATAGGTCTCATATATGAATTTCATGATTAACAAAGAATAATTTAAAAACCCCCACACATTTTCTCAATCTAAAATGTGGATGGACTTTTAGCAAAGAATGGCCACTTTCCCAAGTCAGCAAGTGCCTATGTGGAGCTCAACATGAACTGAGGATGAAGGAGGACACGGGTAAAGAAGCAAAAGTAACAGTGCAAGCAAGATAAGAAGAAACTGGACTGTGCTAAGATACAAAATAGTGGACTGATAGCAAATTTTAAAGGTTAAGTTCTCATATACTTATGTGATTAATTGCTATTAGTTGCTGTGTGCTGCAAGAATATGTATCAAAGCATAGTATACTAAGCTACTGTATATGTATCCAATCATAATACAACAAGCTACTGAATATGTATCTAATTATACTACAGCGAGCTACTGTAGATGTATCCAAATACAATAGTGAGCTATTATAAATGTAACCGTAGTTGCTGTGTGTTACAAGAAAATGTATCCAATTATAATAAATGTATCAGATTATAATGCAGCAAGCTATTGCAAGCCAAGGCAGAGAAACAGTATAAAAAGGACTGATGCTCTATAATAAATGGCTTTTGTCTGATCACATTGATCTCTGACTGAGTCCATAATTTTTCTGTGGCATTAAAATATTTTTTAAATCGAATACTGAAGCTTTATATTATACCAACCTGTTTTGCCTGAGGTACACTTTTCCAATTCCATAATATGCCAAACAACCAAATCTTTCTTCCTGGTACTGTTCGATTATTTTCTTAAACTGGTCTTCAGCCTTTGCCAATGCCTTCAAAATAAATTTAAGACAAAAATATGTGGTGCTTTGCCAGTATTTTCCTCCTTTTTTTTTTCTCCATTAGAAGGTCAGAAGGCCCTATTCTTTCATCAGTTTGATGAACAATAAAGGGAATTAAGCAACCTCACGATCACATAAAAAGGCCTTCTCTTTTTTTAAAAAAGAAACTTATTCTGTAATCATAGGCTCCCTCAGAAGTAATGAAATTAAATGACTGAGCTCACTGAGCTACAAATGCCCAGCCACTGTTAAATTCACTGTAAGACACAGAATATTTTTAAACACTGCAGGAGAAAAAAACAACAAACCAACCCCCAAAAAACCCCACACATCTGTTTCGGTGTTTTCCAGAACCAAAAGCATTCTCCTCTTGTTTAGAAGCAAAATGTTTGTCTTAGAAACAGTAGTGCACAACCCCATTACAACAAAGTGGAAGAAAAATGACTGACTATACCTCATTAATTCTTAAGCATCTCATCTGAAAGCTTAAGAAGAAATTTTATGAAGAAATTTGGTGGCTTACTTTATCCAAAACCATTAAAGGTCTAGTCCCACATATTAAACCATATGATTCTAAAATGTGACAAGAACTTTCCTTCCCCACTCATGTTGTCTGTTAAGAAGAGACAAAAATGGATGGCCAACAAGCTGAACTAGTTTTGAATAAAAGCTATATATAGTGCCTTAATGTCATACCTCAGGTTGTCCTATTCCAAGAAGAGCAGTGGCATGTCCATAAATGATAACAACATAATTAATAACACAAAGATTCAGCCGCTGCAAAGAGAGAGAAATTATAGTAGTAGCACACACAGAAACACTTTGCTGGTAACTAGACATTGCCTACTGTGAATTTAATATCTTTGCTACAACAAAGCTAGGAAAAATCCTTCTTTATCATAGCCTCTATCCAGATTTGTTATAATTAGCATAAAAAGTGAAGGTTAACTACACCACTACACCTTTACTACAGGACTTTTGGTGCCCCTATGCATTTCAAAGTGATACATCCTAAAACCTCTGCTTTTAGAAATGGTGTAACTACTTAACAGCATTCTAGACTTACTGTGTTGACCTCATAGAGTGCAGTTTGTCTTTGCTATAGCTCATGTTAAGAACTGAGCAGGTTTTTCTAGTTTTGGGTTTGGCTGGGCTTTTTTAATTATAAAAAAAACCAAACACACACCCCCCCCAAAAAACACCTTCTCAACCTCTTTCTTCCTAATAAACTGGATTGAAATTCCAGATGGATTGGTGCATTACTTGCTTGGGCAGATTTATTAGCACTGCAACAACTCTTATTAAAATGGGAGCCTGAAACAGCAATGCGTGTGCACATGCACTGTCACACAAAACTTAATACTACAGTACAAGAATTTAAAGAAATCTGGGAGACAAATGGGTCAATGGCTAATTGGCTAGATACATATACCCAAAATTTCAAAGTATTTGCCATCGAAGAGTTATCTGACCTGAAGAATATTAATTCTTTTTACCCTACATTATTATGAATAGGGATTAAGCTGAAAACGTACAGTAGTTTCTTATCAAAAAAGGTATATGATAAGACTAGCTTATATTACTCATTATTTTAGTAAGTATTTTTCAGACTGCATCTAGAAATGCAATGCATGCTGAATGTTACAAAAATACTTCCCTACTATGTTTTTTTATTTAATCCTGTTCTCACTTGTAAACTCCTTGGCATACTTATCAGTGAAACACTTGGCACTGTAGTAAACATCACTGGCAACAAGTCAAAAATAATGACTGTTTCCGAAGAAGGAAAGAATGAACATGGTATTGAAAGCATAAATCTCAAGTACTCCAATAAACTAAGTTATTCCTCTTGGTTTACCTTTAATTCTGAAGGATTCAGAATGCTCAACAATCGTGAAAATGCTTGTTCAGCGCTGTGACACCGCTGGTCCATCAAGGCTGTATAACCGTCATGAACAAGGGATTTAACTTCCTCTGGGAACACAGTTAAATCGACCTAGAACATTTAGGAAAATAGTAAGTCCAAAAGAAAACAGTTTTTCCCTTTTTTTAAGCAAGCAAACTATATACTAAAATCCCACAGACAACTGTTAAAATTCTGTACTTCCTACAGTTCTATCACAGTGCCACTTTAAAGCAGAAAATCAGGTACATTTTTAAAAACCATGGACCTACTGCTGTTAATCTCTTTGAAGTCTAGGTTTTGTTCTAAGTTTAGATCCTTTTTCTCTCCAGAAAGTTTCAAGTTTAGTTTCAAGCATCATTTTAACCATTCTTATAGCTAAGAAAAACCCCTTCAGACTTAACGCTTTTCATCACTTGTACACTCCATTTTGTGTACAAACATTTTTGTAAAACCTGAGAACTATTTCCTTCTGCCTACACTTTCTCTCCATCTAGGTTAATAGTTAATGCTAGAAGGTTTCAGAATGCATTATGTTACTAGCCTTTCACTACAGATACTTCCTGAAGTCTGCGGGAATTCCCAGCAGTAAGACTTTAAATCAGGACAAGCAGCTGTAGATTAGGTACGTCTATTCCTTTGATCTGTTGAGAAACTAAAATAAAATTAGCTTTGGGAAGCAGATCACTGTGCCAGGGTAGAAGTAATTTGACTATTTAAGAAGCTCTTTCGACACCTACTCCTGCAATCATAAACAAAATACAAAGAGTAATAAGGAAGCCCATATGTGTAGTTTATGCCAATACCTCATTTTAGTATGAATTAATCTTCAGTATGAAGTAATTCCACTTTACAAGCTTTTTGCTAACTGCCCCTTCCCTCTCTCCATATATTAACATTTGAGCCTTGGATTCTGAAGAAACCACCATGGGCAGGGAAAAGTGAAAGAATGGGAAGGTTGGGAAGAATGGAACATAACAACATTAATGTATTCCTGTGAACTGAATTAGGCTTTTGACAAACTAAATTTAATGTGTGTCCACAATGTATTTTCCTAAGCACCTATGAATTTTGATATTATTTTGTCTTCATCCTATCAATTGATCAAAAAGAACAAACATAAGAAAATACCCATCATCTAATGACATATATAAACAAAAGTTTATATGTTGGCAGGGACAGTGGAAACTACAAATAGGTAAAGACCAAAATGTAGAAATGTGGAAATGAAAAAATTACTAAGACTTATTTTAGTGTCCTAGGACTACTGATACAAGTTAATGCTGTCAGACCATACAGTTACAGAACAAAATAAAATATAGTAATTCAAAGTTAAATTATTAATGTTAAACTGCATGACATATGAAGCTGGTTAAATAAAGTACAAACCTTATTTTCAATAATAATAATGCATTAGCCTTACAAAAATAGGTATTTTAAAGGAAATAAGGGGTCTTAATGCAGGCAGAACATGCACCTTCTCCTGAATCCAGTTTTGTCTTAAGATGCAATTAAATCAGAATAGAGATTTCTGATATGTACTTCCCCATATTAACAGAAAGGAAATGATTAATTACATATGTCCCCATGATTTCATTTAAGACCTTTGGGATACTCATCATTCATTGCTGATGAGATGTGAGAAGGAAAATTCTCAATTTATGAATTTTATAGAGTTTTAAACTGCCATTCAACAAAATGTCCCATGGATATTTCTAAATGTACGTATCAAACACATGAAAACATATTTGGCCAGAACTTTGGGAGAGGTATTATAAATCCCTGAATGATTTCAGTGATTTTTGTAGTTTCTATTACAAATTAAGCTACAAGAGAGCTATATTACTAACTCAGGGTTTTAGCTAAATTATTCTATAACTATACTAATTTTTGTTACATTAATTTCCAGTGTGAGGTCCTACAGAGGGGACAGAGGAGAAGCAAAAAGACTGCAAGCAACAAGACAGAATGAATCAGTGCAATCACATAATCTTTGTCTCCTGATAAAAGTCATGCCAAGCACGAAGTGTTAAATTTTTGAATGAACTGGGACTCTGGACAGTGTTACTAAAAGGTGACAAATCATATACATTTAAGGTCATATGGTAATGAATTCCCAGTTACCTGTTGCATAGTACAGAAGAGTTTATCTTGAACGGCTTTAGATTCTATCTTCAAATCAAGGTGATCTCTACAAATAATAGGACAATGGCATCAAGAGTTTGTACTTGTACTGTCTATGTAATTTTATTTTTAAGAAACAGTAATTTCTGTGCTTTTGTCAACCACATCACATTTGCCTACGTGCTAAAGGTGATTATGGCACACTTTCACAATCGCCGTAAGTATTATAACACTATCAAAGATTATGATACTATTCATATAGTTCATGTGTTTCTGGCTCAGGAATCACTAGGGTTTCAGGTAAGTAGCAGTCTTCTCCATAATTTTGTTTGTTTTCTTTTGTCTTCTCCATCTTATTCTCAGTTGAGTTGATCTTATGAAGGGATGGGAGAGGTGACTAGAGAACTTCCCTATACTAAAGGTAGCAGCATAAGAAGGTGCTTAGGCCTCTTTCCCCTTCTCTACTCTTCCTAAGTACAACATCCTTTATTCCAGCCCAATGACCACTTAAAATACATGTAGCAGCTATGCACAGCGGGGGCAGGGAGAGCAGAGAAGAGAGGAATAGAGCTGTTCTTCCCAGCTCTTCCTTTTCACTACTGCAGCAGAAACACATGCACAACTAGGGAACAGGAAAAGTATAACAAAGAGGCAAAGTATTGCTTAATACTCTAAATCCTCATCCCTAAAATTGTTAGTCAATACTTAATGCTACTATAGTGCCTTTTGCTATATACATTCAGTTCCGTCTCACACTTGAAGCCATCAAACAAACACTCATCACCCAAGATAAATTTTTTATAGCGTCAGTGGATTTCATAAACTTTTGGAAGCCAAGCAACCTGCTAGTTACAGAAATGGAGATAAGATTAAGACTGTAACCCACCATGCACCTCACTTGTTGAGAAATAGCATGTTTTGTATATACCTAATAAAATTCCTGTGAGATAAGCAATTTTGTCGATGGTTCAGTTACTTTAAAGAGGATGTGCTCCCATGGTGAATTCGAACATTTTTCACCTCCCTCTTAAAGTGAAAGGAAAAGGAAAGCAGCCGCTAGCCACTCAAAGAATGCAAATGTCCTTTCCTGTGACAACATTTCAATTGTCTTAGCTACAGTGGTATTTAAAAAGGTATGGAAAAATCTAAAAGTGTTGTACTGTAATAAATACAGATTAAGAGATGGTTGGTTTTGTGGTCACACTTAGATTAGGACTGGGAACAATCAGGTTCAGCTCCCAGGTTTCCTGAAAGTTGGCCTCTTCTATATGAGAAGCCTGTCTTAAAAAAATATCACTTAATGAAAACTTCCCTATTTTAATATAAGCAGCTTATTTTGCTGTACCCGTCTGCTCTTAATCACCCTAAACACAACTAAAAACACTAGCTGAAGAAGCATACAAGCAAGAAGTTACACTCAAAGCTTAATTTATCTAATTTCACAGCTCAGGCTGAAATACTGAAAGCTTCCACCTCTGCATGTCCTTGAGTAGCCAGCCATCATTTGCCTCAATCACCTTAAAAATAAGTAACAGTAACAATTCTTCACTCCTTAACTATCTATTAGATGAGGGAATATGTTGGCATATAAAATCACCTACAAATGCAGCGATTTCCCCAAATTTGTTTGCAGTATTTCGGTCCCAGTATCACTGGAAAAAATGATTTCTTTTGTTCAACTTTGTTTTAAGTGTTATAATGGATGGAAGCATAAATTTTGTCCACAATGTCGATAATGCTTTTTATCTTGACTAATTTAATTTTGGCCCCAAAACCGTCAAACATATCAATTCACATTCAACATGTTCTACAGAGAGTATCCATGTACTTAAATTAGACATTTACATGGTTTAAGCAAAAATTCAGCTCTACAAACAATTTAAAGGCTCTTTAAGGAGAAGTTTTTTTCCAGTATTGAATTCTGAGGCTGACTTACAATGCCTTCCTCACAGTCAAACCTCTTCTTCATAGTAAGTATATGAAGCGCTTTAAAAATTATTTGGTACACAGAGTAGAATTAGTACAAAGAGGCTTTGAAAATAAGATAGAGCTTGAGTTACACTGTGGTCTAAGTTTGAATGTAACAACTGGACCAAGATTCCTATTTTCTTGGCTGTAAAGGAAGCACATTTTTTGTTACAGCTATGCTGTGTGACTTGCTTTGGGGCAACATTTTTTAAACGGCAGTTATTAAAATTATCCCTTCATTTACTAAAATCAAGTAATAACTCAGGCTTTTTGTGAAAACTGGAATTTTGTCAACTTTAATCAGCTATCTTAACACGAACTATACCCTGAAGAGTATATAAACAACATAAACAAGGCAATTAGCAAAGTCAAGCAGCAAGTTGCATTAACACCTTTGTAAGTACTACATAAAATAACTCAAACTAATAATTAAAAAATAAGCCAGATTTCTTGCCTTATCTTTTCAGAGTCATCAGGTTTTGGTCTGCCTTTGTTTTGATGACTTTGGCCTGTAGTAAGAGAAAGTATTTCAAACTAAATTAACATCACTTAAAACAAAGGGGAAAAAATGCACTCAGAACTCACCATTTTGCTTTATATATAACAGATCTTAAACAGTCACAATATCATAAGCTAGCACAAGCAAAAGGTTTTTCAAAAAGCCACCTCAATCTTTTAAATTATAAAATTTCATATTATTTTTATTAAATAGTATAGGATTTTATTAATCCTACAAAGGGGAAAGGACACTTTAAATAAAGAGAAGACTCTTAACATTCTGTAAGATATGATCTGACTCTACAATACTGTAACAACCTTTAAAGTTGACTGCAATCTAAAGAAATCATACCTTATGTAAAACCACAGATGGTATTATTCATTGTTAGTTAATAACTAGAATTTTAAAAGGGGATAACAGATCACTATAGATGTTGAAGTTTTACTAAGAAAACTTTCAGAGGCTTCAATAATACATCTCTAAAGGAGTTAAGTTCAACCCACATTAATCTTAAAAACATGAGTCAGATCAAGATAAAAGTCCCTGATTACAAAACAAAAATGTTTAGTATGCGGAAACAGTGGACAAAGACAAGAAAGAATCTATCATGTAGCACTGATTCATTTCTAACTCTGTACCTGATTGCAGAACAAAAATGTTTTACTGTGTGGAAATTCTGGATGAAAACAAGAAAAGAATCTATCCCGATACTGACTCATTTCTAACTCTGAAACTTAACATCAAAGACTTAACACAAAACTCTACTAATACACTTTACAACTTCAGCCATCTAACATTGTCCTTGATCAGTTACAGGGCTCTACAACCTGAGTAAACACTTCATTAGTAACAAGGAAGAAAACATTATTGTAAGTGGTCAAAACCAGGAAGCCATGCCATTAACTGCAAAATAACCTCTCAACTGTTTTCTGTGGGATTAAAACATAACATTAGGCATCTGAACACGCACACGCATACTCATGATGAAGTCAAGAAGGTTTTCATTTTCAAGAATTTTATGTTAGAACTTTACAAGGCATTAACAAAATACACTTAAGGAAGAGCTGCCTTCCAGTAACCTGACAATTACACAAGCAAGGCAAAAAATTACGTTTCTGGACTGTTAGTAAATCAACAGGCAGCTGAGAAACACAGTCGCAGAGCATCACATGTTGCTGGTGCTCCTTATTACACAGGGTAAGTGGAAGGGATGCAGAGCAGCAGATTTTTTTGCGAGTTAAACCTAATGGATTTTACAAGACGTATGCTGAATTACCATAAAATTAAATTTGGAAAAAGGACTTATTCACTTTATATATAAAGTTTTATAACTATCTATGCTTTAAAATGTTTATTTCATGATACCTAAGTATCTTACATAAATGGACATGAAATACTGAAAGACACTGATTTTTGAAAAACACAAATCTACCTATTTGAGTAATCTCACTCAAGATGTCTCATGTACACATTTTTCAAGTTAAATCATAGAATCATAGAACAGTTAGGGTTGGAAAGGACCTTAAGATCATCTAGTTCCAACCCCCCTGCCATGGGCAGGGACACCTCACACTAAACCATGCCACCTAAGGCTTCATCCAAGCTGGCCTTGAACACAGCCAGGGATGGAGCATTCACAACCTCCCTGGGCAACCCATTCCAGTGCCTCACCACCCTTACAGGAAAGACTTTCTTCCTTATATCCAATCTAAACTTCCCCTCTTTAAGTTTTACTGCATTACCCCTTGTCCTATCACTACAGTCCCTAATGAAGAGTCCCTCCCCAGCATCCCTATAGGCTCCCTTCAGATAATGGAAGGCTGCTATGAGGTCTCCACACAGCCTTCTCTTCTCCAGGCTGAACAGCCCCAACTTTTTCAGCCTATCTTCATACGGGAGGTGCACCAGTCCCCTGATCATCCTCGTGGCCCCCCTCATATGCATAAATATCAGAAGTAATATTTAATTAGAAAGAACTTAATGACATAGAATTTAAATTAATCAGAACAAAAAATCAAGCATCACAAAGACTGAATGTGTTCAGAACTGTTTCATGAACACTTCTTGAAACTGTCACACACGAGTCTGAATGGTGTCTGTTGAAACAGTTCCAAAGCTACAACAATAATCATCACAAACTCCTCATAATAGGCAACTAATGGTTGGAAAACGATAATCCTTTTGAAAGCCTGAAACACTTCAAGCATATCATCATTTAACCATTTGGAGAGAGAGATATATTACCTTTTCTTCATTATATAGGTTTCTTTCCCTTAATGAACCAATCTATCACTCTAAACAAAATCCTAATTAAGATAAAGGAATATAAACCTTCCCTCTCACCATCAAAAGAAAGAATTTAATCAGCATTATATTTTCATTGAATGATCTGAGTCTAAAAGCCATTCAACAAATATGATTTCAGAAAAAATTCCTACAGAAACTACTCCTCCCATATACTACCCAACTGAAAACGACACTACTTTCAGGTTTTTAAAAAATACTTTAAAATAAAAGTAACAAGCAAATCCTGCTGAATTATAGCTAAAATACTCCAGGAGATACATTCATTCAACTGCAAACATGACTCACTTACCCCACAAGCATTTTAAAATAGTAGTAGAAGTAGCATTGCTTTTGCTAGACATTCCGACTAGTAGCAAACAATAATACTTAACAGAAATGTACACATGCTCAAAAAAATAGTACATGCAGACAAAAACTGAAATTAAAAAAGACAGTAACTTTAAGATAAGATATAGTAGCATACAGTTCCTCTACATTAGGTCTCCTGCAAGTCTTGAGCCCTTAAACAAACAAAGGCGAAGAAAAAGAAAGTTATTCTTCCCCACCCACAGTAAACTTGTATCAGCGAGGCATTCAGAGCCTAACTCCTCCTTTCAAATCAAAGCAAATCAAATACTTTCTTCTACTGATGTAATTGTAGCAGGACACACTCTGCCTGCATGGAGGTGAAACAGCTCAAATTTCACCCTACTTGTGAAGATTATCAGTGATGGAGGAAGGTCACACTGGTTTTGGTGTTGAAGAATCCAAGACCAGCCGAACTGAACAGTCCCATAAAATTAAGTATCACAATGATATGAAACCAGATGTTTCCTGACAGAGGAACCAACAAGGATGTGAAACCAGGCATTTCCCCGCAGAGGAACCAATGAATGATCACAAAAACTCATCTAAAGATAAATTCTGTTTCACTGAGCTGGAAAATCTACCCTCGTAGAAAATGACTGACAGTTAATCACTTTCTACTACAACAGTTTAGTCCCACCTTTCAGCAACAGGGATTCTAGCACACCCCTCCTAGTAAAGTGTCAAAATTCCTCCCTTGAGTGGGGACACCCCTCAAGGGTACTCCTCCAGGCGGAGCACTGGTATGGGTAAAATCAATCTCTACTTAATGCTTAAGCTAGCTTTGAAACTATTGATTTAAGGAACAGTGAGTCTAGTACATGGTAGTTATAGTGAATTATAGTGAATAGTAATTCTAAAAATTCATACTGTGTAGTAGTGTAATGGATGAGAACCTGAGAGCTGATCCCTGCTCATGACTGCGAGAAACATAACAAAGTATGTTTTTGATTAAGTGTATTTGTTAAAGTATGTATTTGTTATGGCCATTTGCTGGAAAGAGGCAGGAAAACATAAGTGTGCAGCTGTTCCACGACCTCCACATTTGGCCACGCCAGGGTGCCTGGCCAATGCTCTCAGCACGGCCAACAGCAAGATCATGAGAAACTGCACAGCCACATGAGTAAACAAGTACAGATCTGGCATAAAGTCGGCTGTGTTTCTAAGGGTATAAAAGCAGGACCCTCTTGTAGCCCACTCTGAAGCCTCACCTACAGGTGGATGCACTGTGTAGGAATTTTCCTGGTTACCCAAGATTCCCAGCATCAACTGGAATGGGGCTTCCAGGCTGAAGTGTGGGCTTGGATGATGAGGATTAGGTAGTAATTGGTGATGTATTTCTTTTCAATCACTGTTCTCTCTATGCAGTAATGATCTGATGCATTGCTAATTTTCCTCTGTAGTATTCATATATCTCTCTGATTCGCTTTATTGTGCTTGTACACTACATGTATGTATACACCCAATTTGCTTTAGCGTGCTTGTTTAATAAACTGTTCATATTTTACAACTAATGTGTGATCATTTTGTAGAGTACCCTGCCTGTTCACAAAACAAGTAGATAAAGTTCTCTGGCCTAATCATATAATTATGAATTATCATTACCTATTAAAGCATTTATTTTAGCTATGGATATATCAAGTTTGCCATCCTTAATCCTGCAGGACAAAGTGGTATAAATGATTGATTATGCATCTATAATCCCACTATATGCATCTATAAAACCACTGTCCAAGTCTGAGACCAAGACTGGATCCAGCCACACCGAAGCTCAGCCCTGAGAAGGAGTTTAGAAAACAAGGGGGTCCTTGCTGAGCCTTGTGACTGAACAGAAGAACCTCCCTGACAACTTTGTCTGAAATACATCTATCTCCCACTCTGTCTGCAATAGTAAGAGTGAGGGGCAGAGGAGGAGGAGAAAGGAAGAACAGAAAAAAGAAAACTGGAATGAACAGTTTTTTGAAATTACTATGTTCAATACAACATTTCAAAGTCCTCTGACCTCTTTAGCCTAGAAGAATTTTCAGTTCTCTCTCAACATTCAGCCTTTCATTATTCCTTACTTCAAAAATAAGCTATCCTTCTGACATCCTGCCCCTTCACCAATATCAGCAGTGCAAACAGACTGCCAGCACCCTGCTCCCCCACCAACAACAGCAGCAAGCACACTGCCCACATTAGTCATGTAAAGTGTGATTCTCTCAAATCCCACTACTGCTAATGGAACCAAAAGGACAGCACAACTCTTACCTGCATTCAAAAAGCATTTGCATCATTTGGTCTTGCCGTCAGGTGTGCTATACACCAAGTGCCTCTAGCAGTCCACTGGAGTTGAGATATTGCTTATAATCCTGTGTTTGCAATTGGAGATTGCACAGGTCGCCATATGGGTGTGTTGCTGCTGACCTTTACCACTGCCTCAGTAAAGATTTGTTTTATAATGTGTCATCAAACTCCATTACTACTCAAACCACATCTTCTAGCTCAGGAAAACATCTGGATTCCCTTAGTTGTCACTTGCTTCAAACTCATTCAAAATTTCCTATGGCTTCCAGGCATCTCACATTCTGCTCCTTCACATCACCTTCATATATTCCTCTAAACTGATTTGTCTTCCAGAGCTTGACTTCCTTTATCTAAACCCCTTCCCTGATTTATGCTTTCTGCATTAAGCTCCTTCAGGACTTCACAGTTTCTTTCGTTATCCTACCACGTAACATCCTTTCAACATGTTCGTTTTGACTTTTTTTGCAACTTATCCCACATTTTCCATCTCTCAATAAATCCTTTAATTCTTCAAGATGTTTGCATATGCTCAAAGTCCACAAGAGCAAGATCACTTCTCCTACTGCCCATTTTTAAGGAAGATCTTGTAATATATCTTCACTAGTTTCCTAAAATCAAATTTTGAAGTGCACTGCACTTTGGCATCTATTCAATGAAGTATTTAAGTATGCAAAGTCCAAAGAACAGTATGGCTGGGCACTCAGAACTTCAGACTGTTGGATGGTCAGGACTAAAAGGACCCCACTGCCTTGGAGGTCACAACTTTAGAATACAGCGTTAAGTGTGCAGCTGGTCCAGATTTGGCAGGAGTATTCCATACAAACATCATAAATAAGAGAAATTTGGGGATGATGGGAAATATCTTACACTTTCTTGGTTACAGCAGGTTTAGCAAGGAATAAAAAGCCCCAGGCAAAATTCAGGAAAATACTTCACTTTGAAGATTAGAACTGCTTGAACTTCACTTTCACCACAGAAAAGTAACTCTGGCACTGCAGGAGTTTTGGCAGGGGGTAAATTCTCTTTAACAGGTTTGTGTGGTGGGTTTCTGTGTTTGGTTGTTTCTTTGTCTTGTTTTTTCTTTTAATTCATTAAAAAAACCCAAGCGTGAACAATAAATCACACCAACTTCTACCTCTTAAAGTTGGTAGCTCAAAATTCTCTCTGACAAATATTTTGTGGCCTCCTTCCTCTCTTAACTGCAGGATTATTTTGTTAAGCACCTATATGGAGCTTTTAGTAATCACAAATGAATTATGAATATTGAAACTACCTACTTCTCTTCAATTTAGATCCTTTTAGATAACATGTATCTGTCTCAGAAGGAGAGAAAGCATTTCTAGCCTGTGACTCAGCATTCTACTTTTTACTTCCAGTTTCAATTCTGAATTCATCCATGTAAAGTAGATTCAAACTACAAATGCATGAAAGAAATAACACAAATACAGGAGAGAAAATAGTATTAAAGTAATAGTATGCTAACAGGAAAAGAAGTGAAACATAACAGCTTACCGTTGTGAACATAACAATACACTTTTGCTTATTAATAATGGCAACAGCAAAGACAGAACCGATTCAGACTTGATAAATAGCAAAAACAAACTCACTTGGTGGAAACTCCAGAGACCAACCTTTGCTTTCTGTCCTTTGGATGTCAGTCACCTAATGACAAATACAATAGCTTGGTTTTACACAGATAACAAAAAGCAAACAGATATCACTCTAAATTTAAACAAAGCACTAAGATGCTAATGTTTAACCAAAGAAATTGCAATGACAATTCAGTATATTATGTCCCAAATCAAGAGATAAAGAAAAATAATTTCATTAATCAAAGTGCATTTGTACACTTACACTTTTTTTCCCAGATTAATATGTTTGCTATCTACTAGTGTGAGAATGCTAGCCTTTTCTGCAGTAATATTCATCCTCAGTGAAGATAAACTTACAGACTTACATTATGAAGAGTTTCATAGCAGAAAGCAGATGAAAGCTTTCACAAGACAGTCAGAAAACTTCAAGCACTTCTTGTGAATTCTGTAAATAGTTTTCTTTTTTAAGAAGTTGTAACTTTCATTTCCGTTCCTTTTCCCGCAGACACTGGTTTCATTTTCCCCACTAACGAGTCATCTGGGCTTTTTGCTGCCCCACCCTCCTGTGAAACTGGAATGCTTTTTTTTCTCCTTTGCTAAATTGTGTTGACCTCACTAGCACATTAATTTTATTTATCATCCTGTTTTCTATATTAAATAGCTTACTTATAACATATTTTATAGGCCAAATTATAACAATTTATTAATTATCTTACAATAGTAATGCTAGACAACCAGAAAGAGGCACAAATGTTTCTTATTAAGAATTAGTGTGAGAGAACTGTCTATATGCAAACTGGAGGCTGATTATTCAAATTCTAATTCCATGCTGTTACAGCAGGACTGTCACAGTCTGCATGCATCTAGCAAAGGAAAACTTAAGCACAGGAATGGCTTATGGGCTTCCCATGATACCGACCGTAAGACAGGCAACAGCTGGGGAATTCCAATGACATCCAGTAGTGAAACCCACCTAAAACAAGGTAAGCATCAACAAAATCCCCTAACTTCCCACTTTTTTAGGGTGTGCGTTTTTTAAGGAATAAAAAAAAAAATGTACTGATTTGGGCTGGGATAAAGTTAATTTTCTCATAGTGGCTTGTATGGTACTGTGTTTTGGATCTGTGATTAAAAATGTTGATAACACTGGGATGTTTTAGCTAATGCTGAGCAGTGCCTGCACTGTATCTTTTCTGTTTCAAATGCTGCACCTCCACCAGCAAGTAAGCTGGGGGTACGTGAGAAGCTGGGAGGGGACACAGGATAGCTGACTCCACCTGACCAAAGGGATATCCCAGGCTGTATGAGCTCTTGCACAGCAACAAAAGCTGAGGGAATGAAGTCCTTATCTCACTTTGCTTGTGTATGCAGCTTTTGTTTTGTTTATTCAACCGTATTTACCTCAACTGATAAAGACCAGTTTTCTTACTTTTACACTTAGGATTTTCCCCCCCATCCTGCTAAGCGGAGTGAACAAGCAGCTGTGTTGTGATGAGGTGCCTACCAGGGTTAAACCACAACAACATTGTATGCCATTGCCCTTTCACCAGTAAAACATCCTAATAGTCAGAATTAGAGGCCTTTTTTTTTTTGATGGATTTCTTTGATTGTCCTTCACTAACATGGATCTTTAGTGTAATTATTTTTCAGAAACAAAAGTAATCCATGAACAGAGAATAAAGTTTGCTCTGTTAAGCTTCTGTGATGCACTAGACTCCTGATAGTTTGGTTCAGGCTCCAAATGAAGAAAAGGACTAGGCTGTGACCAGGCCATGAAATTCTCTAGCTCCATCCTGTTGTTGAAAAGCCAAAGGGACAGAGTGACATAGTAATGTGTATGAACTTGGAAACAGGATTAACGCATAAATAGAGAATGGTTCTTCAAGAACTAATTTGGTCAAGGAACAAAGGAAGCTGTGGGTACAAGGAGTCTTTTCTCCATCACACATAATTTGACCACAAGCCAACAACTTTATTCCATATACATGAGTTTTTTGCACTCTCCCTCTTAAGTAGCTGGCAGCACAGCAGTGATGCCTCTCAAGGTTACTGCTTGTGCTTGAAAGATCCCTTACCAGCTGCATGTCTTTGGTAAATGATTAATATTGCACATGACCCCATATCACAGGGCATTAAGTTCCTGTATTGGTAGCTTTGAATTATTATTATATCCTCTGTGCAGTAGCTAATAGATTGAACCTTGCCATCAGACTTCGTTAAGCCTCACTTTTACAACATCTTGCTTCAATAAAACCACTGTTGTTGCTACTTTTGGCAGTGGTTCTTTAAGCAGTCTAAATCTCCCCTGTGGCAGCTTCTCCTTCTGCTTTAAGCCTTCCTCACCATATAAATTAATAATCTAACAGATTATTTCCCGCTTGTAAACAGTCTTTTAAAATGAAAGAATGTATCTAAAGAATTGCAAAGGGCTACTAAAATAACACAAGCCCATCTTGCACTTCAGAACTATACCACTCATTTTAAACATATAAGCCAAACATATTCAAGAACCACAAATCCTAGTTTTAAATACAATCCAGTTAAGCATATTAGTTAACCAGCATTTTTCCCATGCAAAAAAAAATATCTGTTTACAGAACACAAAAATAATGGTCTATAACTATGCAAATACATTAACATCACATTATCAGTGCAAAACAATGCTCCAGTATAATCCATAGACAGGGCTTTTGCTAACTTTGGTTAAAGCAGCTTGCACTGAACCCCATAAGTCAGTACACATTAGCTAAATCCTCCCCTAAAGCCAATGGGAAACCCACATCTGAATGACACTGATGGGTAGGACTGGACAGTCTATTAAATCAGACATGACTTCAAGTCTTACTTTCAATAAGTGCAAAGAGACCTCTTTCCTCCTTTTAACATACAGCCTCCACCTTCTCATTCAAGCAATCACCTCCCACCTCCTTTCAAATCCAAAGTTCTGAACACAGATTTGGTATTTAAATATTACAGGAAAAGTGCACTTGGCTGAGAAAGCAGACAACTATTAAAACACAGTGGCTGCAAAATTTCAGCCACACCATTAAGCAACACATTCCAGGATGATGAAAATCAACATACGGTCTTGCAATGCCAGCTGTAGCATAACTTACCTTAATATCATGGCTTTGATGACAATAATGATCTTTAGGATCAGACTCTGTTCTCTTTCTGCATTTTTCTGTTTCCTTTTGTTCTTGAGAGTTTATTAAATGGAATTCTGAAGAACTGTAGTCTCTGATATGCAAAAAGAGAGAACCCAAGGTCTTTCAATGCTGATGTCTTTTCCCCATAATCAGGACACATACCACACACGTATAATGAAAAAAAAAAAAAATCTATACAAGCCTAACCATCACACAAATGTGATGGCATAAACATATTTAAAGGATTTGATCAAACAACCATTTTTTTATACCTTCAAACTGCACAGTCCAAAGCTATGCAAAATATAACATCAAAAAAAAAAAAAGCACATTATTTTCTAGAAAAGGGACAGGCACTGAATTACTGCACTTTTTTAAAAAATAAATAAATAATTTGGGTAACTAATGAAAAATCTTTACCAAAGCCACATTTTATTTGTGCAATATAGAAAGGAAATAAAATTAACCTGCAGAATTTTCAGGTTTTCAAAAAGCTGTTTAGTAGTTTGCTTAGTGTACTGTTTTTGAATGACAGATAGCTCATCACTACAAGTAGACCAATAAAAATGAAGATCTTTCAGACAAATGTTTAATACAAAAGTTACAGCATATATGGTAACTTAGCTGAACCTGTGAATATGGAATCCCTCTTACTCTCTTCTCTCTGGGCAAGGCAAAAGCACAGATGTGGCAAAACCAAGTTCCTACAAACTAGGATACACATCCATTTGTACCATTGCCAAAATGCATTCGCTAGCATTCAGCTCCTCAAGTCAGCTTATCCTAGCGAACTTCATATAGCAAAGATAACACAAAAAAGTGGCTATGACTGCCCTGACATTTTCACGCACCCAATTTTCCCAACAGCAAAGTACTTCAAGTTGGCAGGACAAGGATCTCCACAAAAACGTAACTGGAGAAGGAGTTTTTACACGGACATGTAGTGATAAGACAAGGGGAAGTGGCTTTAAATTGAAAGAGGGGAGGTTTAGATTACATATTAGGAAAAAATCTTCACTATGAGGGTAGTGAGGCACTGGAACAGGCTGCCCCGAGAAGTTGTGGATGCCCCATCCCCGGAAGTGTTCAGGGCCAGTCTAAGTTGAAGGTGTCCCTGCCCATGGCAGGGGGTTGGAACCAGATGATCTTTAAGGTCTCCTCCAACCCAAACCTTTCTATGATTCTATGACTTCCCCCATTTGTAAAACTTAATACTGAAGGAAACTGCTTGGAAGTGGAACATGTCTCAAGACAGCTTATTTGGTTCCCAGAAGTCCTCCTTACTCCTAGGCTACACTACGGCTGCATTTCTGGTAAGTTTATTCCTTCCATTTTTATTCACTCATAGATGACAAAATTTAAGCAATATATATGCTATATATTACTTATACTAAGAATTGCTAAGTTTGAAAAAGGAAAGGAAACTTGGCAATTACTTACTTTTTCTCAACAAGTGACTTCTTTGGTTTCCATTTATGTTGTTTAATAGCTATAGAAAATTATACAAGAAGGGAAAAAAAATATTAGCTAGTTTCAAAGGAAAGTTACCAATGAAGGAATTGTGCTATGTTTAAGGTAGATCTTGAAATCAGTAAAGGTTACCATTAATTTCTTCTAATGTCTTCTTTAATTTCTCATTTTGCTGCATAAGATCCTTAAGTCCACCAAGAACATTCCTGCATAGATCCTGAGCCCTCTCATTGGCTTTCAAAGCCAGTTCATGTTCGCCCAGCAATGACAGTGCCTTACAGAAGTGGTAGTGACCCTACACAGACATAAGTTTAAATTTTAAGCATTCTTTCACACAAGTAAGAAAAAAGTTTCTATCCAAACCAGCTGCAACAAAGTAAAATTTTATATACTCAGAAGTTACCTACTCCATCTATTTCAGGTCATATGATGAATAATCAAAGTTTTCAACTACTCAGAACTCTGAAACTTTCAGAAAGAGAATTGACTGGAAGTAGCATCTAGCCTCCAGCTTTGGAAAAGAGCAATTTTGAGTTTTCCCCTAATCTCAACTACTACTTTGCAATTCTGTAACTATCCCTTTATTTACTCTTTTTTCAGGCCAAGAATATTGGTAAATACATGCTGTTCATTAATCAGGATTTTTTTATTGTAAGGACTACATATATGCTTTGTAAAGCATTGTGATAACATAGCTACTCACAACAGTGTATTTTTCTTTACAGATGCAGGACACCATGTAACAACACTTACAAGCATGTCAAAACAATATCTTTAATTTAAAAATACAAGCAAACTATGTACTTGGCTGACTGAAGCAGAATTCTTAGTCCAAAATGTACTGCGCTCGTTCTACTGTCCTTTAAATTTACTGTGTTGAATGCAGATGAGAACATGCCACATCTATCTGGGTCAAATCTGTAACTAAGATTCCAGGTTCTTGTAGTAGTTTACAGTACCAACAAAAGACAACTTTGAAATGTATATGAAACTAACCTTTGGCCAATTAGGCTTCAAAACTATGGCTCTTTTTCCATCAGCAAGGGCTCTCCTTAGAGAAGAGACAGAAAAAGAAGAGGTATTTATTACTTAAACTTTAGAAAAACCTACAGACCAGATGTAAAAGACACTATAAAAACACAAGTGGATAAAAGAAGAGTTCATTCACCTGTGTGAAGGCATGGCCAGACAACACTTCTTAGCTGAAACTTACCTGGATTAAAATGTTACAGTCTAAACAATTTCACCCATCAGTTATTTATTCCCTCCTCCTGCCTACTAGGTTTTCCAGCATTTCTGCATATGTATCCCCCCCCACCTTAGCTGGTGTATAACAAAATGTTCCTTTAAAAACCAAAGCCTTATTAAAAATCCTTAACACCAAACCTAAACATTTTGACAAAAATCATATTGGAGAGTAGTTATCACAGCCAGAGTGCAAATAATAACTGCTGAGCACTGAAAAACAGTAACCTCCAAGACTCCTGACAACTAAAGTCTGAAAAACATGCTTGACTCTGACTTTTTATATACAAGGTGTCATGGAATAACTAGAATTACAATTTTGATCAGAAGAGAAGCAGACTATCCCTATGGCTCTAGGAGAGAACACAGAGCACCAGTGATGGTCTCTGCTGCTTTCAGCGCTGTCCACAGTAGACAGCTGAAGAATTTATGTAACTTTGGGATGCACCACTCGCTCTTCACTGAACTACAGCTATGTGTTAGATAAGCAGGATGTAGTAAATTACAACAAAGAGTGGTCACATACGGATTACTTCAGACAAGGAAGTTTACAAATCATCTCACACTCCTTTGATTGCTGGGTCATGCTGACTCAGTGGGGCATTTACAAAATGTCTGCAGTGAGACCTAACTGCAAAAGCTTGAGGCTTTAACTATTTTACCCCCACAAAGGGGAGGAAGACTGGAAAAAACCCTAAACAACCCACACGTGTTTCACACAGAAGCCTCCATAAACTGCCTAGTCACTACCTCTGGTTTTCGTAACCGTTATAGCAGGAAAGCTTGTACACAGGGATCTGAAGGAGGACAATGAGATGCAATGAAAGCTGGATACTAAGGAAAGGCCTGAAAGAGACAATAATTCTAAGACAAGGCAGTAACAGCAGAATTTGGAGATGTAGCAACACATTTTAAAAACTTAGTAAGAAATAAAAGACCACAATAGAACTAGGGATTAAAGTGGGAGAAATTGCACCATACTCATATTGCAAGGGACGCAAACAAAAGGAAAAAAGTGCATGAGTAAGAGTCAGTGGGGTACAGAACCTCAAGATAGTAATAAAAGCAGTTGAAAAGATTTAAAAAAACCTGAAGCGTTTGACTTGTTCTCTAATGTATGCTGTTGTGCTTTGTTTTTACCCACCCAGTCTTTCCTCCAGTGCCACCTTTCGACAGTCTGGCGCAGTGCTAGGACAGCTGCTCCAGTGGAGCACAGTCAGAACACCACATCAGGCCAAGCTGCAGGGAAAGGTCCTGTCCCGTAGCAAAGCCTGGGAGGGAACATGATCACTGCCTCTCATGAGGCTCTGAAAATGGGAGGAATACACACACCTTGGTAAAAGCTTCCAATGCTCCAGCAGATGATTTGGAGAACACTGTTAACGGCCTGGTCCCATAGTACAGGACTGTCACCACTGACAACAGGATCTAAGATACTGAGTTTGCAAAAACCTCAAGACTGAGGTTCTTGGTCTTGCTCAGCCTCAACTCCAGTTTCACCTGCCTGCTGCTTTCTTTTACTTAAGTGTGACATCAACTTCTCTAATTGAGCAGGTGTGTATGGTTAATTTGAGCTACTTGTTCATCTTTGTGTGGTACAACCATAGATTTAGCTGGAGTAAGTGCTTGTAACTGCTATCTATACAGAATGAGGTATTTATGATTCCAGAACAATGATGTCCTGTAAAGAAATACAACGCTGGTATGGCAGCAGAGGCCTTGAGAAGTGGAGACACAGCATGCAACAAAGAAGTATAGGCAGGAGATAATAAGAAATGGGGCACAATCTTGTCAATGGAGACCCCATGGCTATAAACAAGTCACCAATGGTCAGTTAAAGACATGTCAAATCTGGAAAAATATGACTTTAAGGGTAACAAAAAGTAATATCCATAAAAAGTACTATGTGTAGTAAACTCAGATCTAACAGGGTGCCACAGACCAACAGAGCAAAGGTGTAATAGCACATTAGTAAACACAGAAGCAAACCCAAGTGAATTCTAGAGTGAGGAAGAAGAAACCATCAGCATGAACATCACATTTCTCATGGAGAAGGGCTCTGTTCACCTACAGCTTTCTAACCCCACTGCTACAGCAATGGAACTGCCAACTTTGGTACACATCCAGAGGAGCAGAGGAAGAGGGGAGGATAACACCAGGAAAATGGGCAAAAACAAAAAATCATGTGCATATCAATTTTAATTACATTGATATTTTTTCTTTTTATTTCAACAATTAGATCAGGGCTAATAAAAATTAGGCCCTTAAGACTTCAATTATACTAGCAATAAATTCTTGGTTTGGCTTTACATAAAAGGTATACATCCACCTTGACCATAAACATGATTTTTAGATTAACAACTGTCTTAACAAAAATAACCCACATACTCACAATGATCTCTTCTTCAAAGGTTTAATAAAAATCACAATACTCACAGGTAAGATTTGTTTTTCTTGTTGTATAAGGCACACACACACAAATTTTAAGTGGTAGTACATACTGCCAGAAGATACATCTAATATTACTCATTTTTCTTAATGTCAGCTGTCTGAGGTAATAACATCACAATTATTATATACTTAAGTTTTAAGAATATTATTTTCCTAAGTATATTGACAGTTTCTAACTGCAGGATCACAACATTTCAGATTATAAACAAGGGATTACTTACTTGTACTGCCGTGTGAGAATTAAACAAAGAGCTCGGTTTCCATACAGAAGGTGGTTTGCAGGACTTAAAGAAAATTATTAAGAGTTAGTAGCGTATGTTACTATTGAAAATCTTAAGGAGAAAAAGTAGGCTTTCACAATAACTGTCTGCAAGCAGTCTAGCATCAATTATTTACAAGTTTCCTTGAATACCCCCACTGATTTACAAGTCAATGAGAATATTAGTTTCAATTGTGTAACAATTCGTAAGATTTGGTCCCACTAATGTGACTTCCAACCAATTAAAGTCACTTTCAGACTACCTTAAAGGAAAAAGAAAAAAAAAAATAAAAAAAAAAAAAAAAGGTGAGGAGGAAAAGAGCAATAAAAAGAGCATGAAGCACAGAACATGGAAAAGCCAGCTTGACTGCCTGGCCGTGCAGACTAAGCAGTTGCTCCAAAGAGTTAAAGAATCATCCCCAATGTACCTAATGGAGAATGAAAGTGGGGAACCAATAAATGTAATCCAGCAACCACTTGAAAGAAGACCAGGCGAACATGCACATAGTTAGGGATGGAATGCGATGATAAAGCAGAAGACAGTCGGTTCACACTGGGAGAATGAGAAAGGGAAGACAGGGCACAGAGCAGAAGAAGAAGGATCCCCTAGCTGCTAGACATTAATTCACCTTCCAGGAGGGTCTTAAGGACAATTTTTAACAAATAGCTGTAACAGTTGAGCTCTACAGCCCTTGAAAACCATGAAGCTTCCTTTGCTCTTTCCAAACCATGGGATTTCCTTTGCTCTTCCACTGAATTCTGTTCATCCCTTCCCCTCATCAGCTACCCTGTGCAAAGCTGACCTTAGCCTGCTCCAAGATCCTGGACACAGTCACTTGACTGAAGTCAGCCAACCCAACTTTTCAAGGAGGCTGAAATCAGCTTCAGTTTGGGATTGAAACGTATCCTACTATGTGACATAAAATCTGAAGCAAGGATCAGCAAAATGCTAACCCTTTCAACTGCACAATTATAAAGCTACGGACTTCAAAATGAAAAAAATAAGTCTCCACAATCGCTTTTTATGAAAGGTGGGACTTTATGAAGTTCACCATATTTCACAGACACAAGGACTTGTAAAAGCAGCATTTGCACAACTACAACACAAGCAGCGATATGCTCCAAGCCTGCATTCTGTAACTACTTGACATTCCACGCGGACTATAGGAAATGGGCAAATGCTCTATATGAATGAGGCAAATTCTCATTTAATCTTCTTAAAGGAAGTCTCCCTGCCCATTTACAGAGCCCAGGAAAGACTCCAAAGCTGTTCAGCAAATGACTTCTGAGAAGAAATTAAAAAAGACACAAAAGGAAATTAAGTCTTTTGCATACACAGATGAAAAGACTACACTTAAAAATAAATATTTGTTCTTGTTTACTTGTTCTGTGTCATAGCTGAGACGATAAACATTTGCAAGAGTTGGTCATACTGTTCTGCTGGAAGAGTATTCAGGAAGGATGATGCTAACAGCAGCTGTTCACACCAGATAACTTATTTCCTTTCCTGGGTTTACTATACTTACTGTTAGTCCTTTTAAATCAGCTTTAAGCCTTAAGAGGACTTTTGGGGCAGTACAAGTTCAAACAACCATTAGTAACAAGAAATGAAATAGAACAAAAAATGTGTTAGATACCTAATTTTTTTTTTTTAGAAAAAGCTATCATTTGGCCTCCAAGTTGCTCATGCAAAACTATACAAAAACCAGCATAAATCTGAATAAGCTGAATACATATTATATAACACAATCTAGTTAACCAGTTAGTTAGTTCTTACCAAAACTCTATGGCTTTAGTATATGACATTATAGCACGATCAAAGTTTCCTTGGGAAAACTCCTCATTTCCCTTCTGTTTCATAGATTCACTGTTCTGTGAAATCAAGACAAAAAAACCTCAGTAATCACTGTAACTAAACTCATCTGCAATGAGAAGTAAAGAAAACTGACAAGAGGCACTTCAGTTTTTATGCTTATAGAAACAGAATGTTACATATGCGCTATTAGTTGTAATTTAATACTTTCAATTCACTGCAGTTAATAAGCTTAGAAGTGCATGAATGAAAATTTTTGCAGACAAGAATACATCGAACAATAATTAAAAAGCAGGACTAACTCAAAAGCTCTCCTGAGTTCCATAGTGTAGTCATTATCAAAAGTGAGAATATGTCAAATAGGAAAGTAGGCAGAGTAAAGCACAGTGCATACAGTTCCTTACTCGGTGCCTTTCAGTGCAGTTCCTGAACTACATAATTGAAGCAAGAAAGACAAAGGAATTAAGAAGACTTCCACAGAAAGAAACCCTACACATCTACACTAAAGGAAGACATGGCAAAGAATTTGAGAGCATCTTATTTCTGTAATAAAATGATCAAGTTGAAAATCTTCTACCAACATTAACTGCATTACCTTGAGCTTTTGGGGGGTTAAGGAAAGGAACACTTTCCAATGTACACTGGCAACATAAACAACTAATTTGTTGTTTATTAGGATAGGATGTCTCAAGGTAACTATTTATGTCAGGGCAACTACTTACCATCATCTTTAACCACCAGGTCATTTTCATAATCATTAAAAACCCTCAAAAGATAACAACAGAAAGTGAAAAGCACAAACACATTCTGATATTTTCTCTCACCTTCCTACAGTTTTCACAGGTCATAGCTTTAAATTCTTCAATTAAATTACAATCTTCCAAAGCAACTTTAGTAATATAACCTTTGCCTGGAGACAAAATTCAGAGAAATATAGTGGATGAAGAAGTTACCAATGACAAGAAGTAGTGTTTATCTGCTGCTGCTAAGAATCACACTGTTTTCTGACTGGAAGCAAAATTTGACATATCAACTAAATAACAGAAACAAATTAAGCAAAAGAAACATTCAAAAGAAAAGGATTTATTTATTATTGGGCAAGCCAAAAATAACTGGCTGCAGACTGTAAAATGTTTAAGTACTTGTCTAGTTTCAAGCAACCAAGTGAAACTTGTATTTTAAAGAATTTGCATTTTAAAGATCTGCAAAGATCTGTATTGTAAAGAATTTGTACTTTGGTTCTTAACTATAAAAAGATTCTTCTCCTCACATGTACGTTCAATTTCTACTACACTGTTACTGCAACAACTGAGTTAGAATGCACATATGCAAAAGTACGGGAATAGAAGCCACTAAACGTGTCAAATACAGCAGCCTGGAGCTTTTTGTAATTTCAGCAGAAGTTCTACTGCCAGTGCTAATATCTCAGGGTAACTTCAGTGAGCTACATAAGCTTATTTTTGAAATATGACTAACCTATTAATTAGTATTTTGACAAAAACCTCTGCCAAACATTTAACAGAAAGACCCAAACAGTATTTCAGGCAACTTTCAACTTAACCTTAAGTTAAAACTATACAGGGCACACATACAGGCCATAAGCGACACCAATGTGCAAAAATGTTCTGTTCAGAAAGAACATGTGCACTGTAAATACGACCCACATATAGAAATTCAAGGAAGAATTGACAAAAAGCAAGGAAAAAACCCCCACACCACCACTATTTTCCCAGTCACTTTTTGAGTTGCTCCCAGAGTAATGAAATACATGCAAACATTCACTATTTCATAATTATAACACAAGTGACTTTCCTCACCACTGTTTCCCCAAAAGTGTTCATACTTACATTGCCCAAAGAAAACTCCAAGACACACTGAACCAAAACCACCGAGTTTCTCTAGCCTCTGCAGAATACTGAGATCACCTGTGTATCTGACCCAATCAAGTCCATGCCCAAAATCAAAGACACCCTATTTCAATTGAAGAAAAGGAAAATAAAGAAAAAAAATAATTCTATACAAAGCAAAGTCTTAAAAACACCACCACACAAACCAGCAGCTCACTGACAATATAGTGGAAGCATTCCATGTAAATATAACAAACAATACTACTGTAACACACTATGCACTTGTTAATGATTTTTTAGCCTTTGAAACAGATAACAGCTCGTAAACACAAACATCTAGATAACACAAGCATAGCATAATAGAGCATATTCACAAAATGAAAACAGTCATTCTTTCAACAGGAGACAGGGGAGCCATTCAATTTACAGAATTTGATTTAGAAACTTCTTTTCAGTGACTGCACACAAAATTGCTTCAGTGCGAAGTGATAAGCCTGATCAGAAAAAGCAACGTTCTCCAGGCTGTTAGACACACAGGCAGAGCTAAGACTCAACTCTGTAAATCATTACTTCCTTTCTACTAAAACTGTATTTAATTGTTGGAGCTCCAGAGCTTTAACTGAAGGAGAGTGATTGAGTGAAGAATGTCCATTGCCTGGGATATTCCCACATTACCTGAGCCAACAGATTTTGAAAAATAATGTAAAAACCCACATGACTAAGACAAATTATCACTAAACATATAGGAACTGGGTGATCCAGCGGTAACATACAGTCGTACCTATTCTCCCATTGCAATTCTCAGCTATGATACTGCCTTCTAATTTCACCATTTTTAATTTAGCTTTTGCAATTAACCTACAGCAGACAGCAGAAACTGGAAAGTGGGAAGAAAATGACAAACACAGGGGAACTAAGAACATTCACTGTCCAAAGTTTACAAGCTGAAAAATGTAACGAGTAAAGGTCTACTATACACCAAACTTGGCAATGGATTAACAGGTTTTCGAATCACACTCTTGCTCTTGCCATTCACAGTCCTTCAGATTGAATCGGTATCACTATTTGATAATCTCATAAAAGATTTCCAACCCATCTCCAAAGAAGAGAACTTCTGTATCATTTCTGTGGTCCCTTGCTTGTAGCACTGTAGCCCCATCATACAGCGCTGTCATTGCTTTATGCAGAGTTTGCAAGGCCACAGGGCTGTGACTTGTCATGTTTATCCCAAGCTTGTTCTGACCTGCTTAGATCTCTGTTTTAACTTGGCTTTAACTGTAACAGAAATTTTCCTTCTGACCAGGTGGTTATGACTAATCTGGTTTTAAAATGAACCTAAGGAGACCCTAGGATGAAGACGAAGAAAACGTCAACAGCAGTCCTGGCATCGGAGAACTCCAGCTAGCAATGGCTATACCTGCCACTCCACACACGGAAACACAGAAGCATTCACTTCAGGATCCCAAGAAACAGTGCAAGGATAAGCATAACACTGGGAAAACAGTCCAATACTAGGAAGTGTGTGTATTACAATTTTAATTGTACTATTATTATCATTGGAGAGTTTTTCTGTTTAGTAGTTCAGTAGTATTTATTTCTTCATTTTCTTTCTTCTTCTTCTGCAATAGTTCATTCTGGAAGACATCTACTATACTAGCAACAACTTCTTATCTTTACACATAAAGTGTATTTATTTGCCCACACCTAGCCGTTCAGCATTACACACCAATACCAGCACAGAAAGAGAGGACACTCCTTTTGGTCTTCTTAAGATACTTGTTTTGCAATTCCTGTCACATACAGGTTTTGGTTTGTGACTCAGAGTTGCAACAGCTGGCAACTCCAGTCCTGTATCTATATACTTTAAAAACTTCAGACTCAGTTTATGCAAGCATTTTCAAGTTTGGGATATTTGTATAAATATTTTGGTTTTATTCACACATAAAGAAGCATTCTTATTAAAAACAATTTGAGAAACTTACATGTTCTACTCTGCTGCCAATATTCAGTACACCATGAATAAAAGTTGGAATGTTCTGGAAGAGGGATAGAAAACAAATAAAAACCAAGTTATTTAGATCTGATAGCTTTAGTTTCTATCTGCTGAGGGTCAATAACATTTTCTGTTCTGGTTGAATGCAGTACCATCTGGACAGTTGCTCTGGTCCATTTCAAAGTTTCAAGAAATAGATTTGTATTTGGTAGCAAATCCCCTACCATTTTTGTTGAAAAATAAATAAATGTTGACATGGAAATAGGAAAGCATGGATGTTGTTACATCTGGTTAGGAAAGTCAGCCACTTTAACCACTTCTGCAGTTACCTACATACCAAAGAACCAGCTGATATATCCAATGAAAACCACTCAAAACAACAGTACTTCTTCTCCTGAGACCTTATGCTCCTCCAAATAAAATTTACTACTGGACATACAATCTTTTTACGTAGAGGAGATACAGGCAGAGGAAGTAAGAAGAGGGAAATAGAAGTAAACAGGGAGAGAGGAATATACATGGACTCTCACACATAAAGATTGAATGGGAGACTACCAGAGAAGGAAACAGCACAAAGAACGCATCACACAAGATAAAATGGAAAAACTGTAGGGACACGCTAAAGTACAAGAAGGTGAAAACAGAGCACTCAGATAGCCTAAAGGAGGAAGCAGCAAAACCAGCATAATGAAGTATGAATCCACAAGGTAACACAGTACATGAATATTGCATCAAAGGAAGTTGCTTGGGGTTGAGCACAGAATTTTGATGTTTTTTTTTTTAAACTTATCATACCTAAATTAAAAATAAAAGTTAAAAAAATCCCTTCAGCTGATGAGAACATTTGTTATATCATTCTCTCCTCTGCTCTGTTCTGTTTCTGTTTTAAGTCAACAACAGTATCAAATTTTAAGTATCATTTGCTGAATGAGGGAAAAAATAGTATTTAACTTGCACATCCAGGAATGGTGCCATTTTCCTCACAGATATGACTCTTTTAGAAATTTACAAGGGCCCCAGTCAACTATATTCTCGACTCTGCAAATACTTAGTAAGTTATCCAAACCGTAATAAAGCCTATGACACTCTTTCTAGAAAGCTGCAATTCAACTATCAGACAAGTTTTTCACTCCAGCAAAAGGAAATGTCTAATTTAACATCCCAAGATGCACAAGGTACAGATCTAATTAACCTATTATACTTGAAAACTTACACAAAGTTAAAATATAGTACTTACAACAACTTTTTTCATTAAATCGGAAAGGTCTTCCAAAACCTCTAAATCACAGAGTCTCTTCCAATTCCAGTCTAAAATCTGTGAGCTGCTCAAAAAACAGAACAAGTTTCTATTTAGGAAAATAACACTGTATTATTTGGTCATCATTACTACTATTTACGGTAATTAGATCTAAGCAGGACCATGGTTACAAACTCAATAGTTACAAATGTTATCCAGGAAGACAACATCAGCTGCTCTGGAGAGAGGCAGAGAGATGACATCATCTACTTGGGACTTGTGCAAAGCATTCAACACTGTCCTACATAACAACCTTGTTTCTGAACTGGAAAGACGTGGATTTGATGGATGGACCACCCAGTGGATAAAAAACTGTCTGGACAGCTGCACACAGTTGTGGTCAATGGCTCAATGTCCAACTGGTGATTGGTAACAAGTGGTGCCCCTCAGGGGTCGGTGTTGGGACCAACCCTGTTCAACATCTTTGTCGGTGACATGGACAGCGGAATTGAGCGCACCCTCAGCAAGTCTGCCAACAACACTAAGTTATGTGCTGCAGTTGATACACCGGAGGGAAGAGATGTCATCCACAGGGACCCTGACATGCACCTCATGAAGTTTAACCATGGCAAGTGCAAGGTCCTACACCTTAGTTGAGGCAATCCCAGGCACAGCTACAGGTTAGGCAGAGTAGTCAGAGCAGCCCTGCAAATAAAGATTTGGGGTTTTTGGTTGATGAGAAACTGAACGTGAGTCGGCTTCAGTGTGCGCTTGCAGCCCAGAAAGCCAACCGTATCCTGGGCTGCATCAAAAGGAGCGAGACCAGCAGGTCGAAGGCGGTGATCCTGCCCCTCTACTCTGCTCTCGTGAGACCTCACTTGGAGTACTGTGTGCAGTTCTGGTGGCCTCAACATAAGGAGGACACCATGCTGTCGGAGCAAGTCCAAAGAAAAGCCATGAGGATGATAAAGGGGCTGGAGCACCTTCCATACAAAGAAGGCTGAGACAGTTGGGGCTGTTCAGCCTGGAAAAGGAAAACGCCTTCTAACCATAACTAACTTAGGCCACTGGTAAAAACATTCCTGTAGACAGTGTAACCACTACTGAAAGTATACAACGAACTTTCACTGACAACCCCAAACAAACAGAAAAAAAACCCAACCCAAAACAAAGGCTGATTAAATCACTTTGAAATATGATTACTTACTTCAAATCTGCTGCCAAAGAATTGCTTTCACTTTTGAAGAGAAAAGGCCAAAAGATGAGTATTTTAATAATGTTGCAGCATTCTATTAATACGTCAACTGGCTGACTGCACCACACTTCACAGGGATCTACATCTTCAAGAAAACAGTTAGGAATCAGACTACTCAATTCAGGCATTACAAGTAATTGAAGTCAAAATAAACATTCAAACCATCAGTTATTTCCATGCTGTATTCTTAAGTACTACATAAGGAAAAACAAGAAAATCTGAACACTCTAAATACATCTGGCAGCTTCAAGTGTTTTATAAATTGAAGGAGAGGGAATTTATATGGAGGCATAGAAGCAGTATGCATGGGAGAATACAGGTCTGCTGGTAGGCTTCACATTCCTTGCTCAAGGAATTACCTGTGTTCTGAACGGCACTGATATGTTATCAATTTGGAACTGAAGGAGTTGGCAAATGAACTTGTTAAGCCACTGTCTATCATATTTGAAAAATCATGTCAGTAAGGTGAAGCTCCCAATGACTGGAAAAAGGGAAATATAACCCTCATTTTCAAGAAGGGGAAAATGGATGACCCAGGGGATTACAGACCAGTCAGTCTCACCTCTGTGCCTGGCAAAATCTTGGAGCAGATACTCCTGGAAGGCATGCTAAGGCACATGATAAACAACAAGGTGGTTCGTGACAGCCAACAAAGCTTCACAAAGGGGAAATCCTGCCTGACCCATTTGATGGCCTTCTATTGATGGGGTTACAGAACTGATGGACAGGGGCAGAGCCGCTGATGTCATCTACCTGGACTTGTGCAAAGCATTCGACACTGTCCCACGTGACATCCTTGTCTCTAAATTGGAGAGACATCAATTTGACGGATGGACCACTCAGTGGATAAAGAAGTGGCTGCATGGCCACATGCAAAGAGTTGTGGTCAATGCCTCAATGTCCAGCTGGAGACCAGTAACGAGTGGCGTCCCTCAGGGATCAGTGTTGGGACCGGTATTGTTTAACATCTTTATCACTGACATGCACAGTGGGATTGAGTGCACCCTCAGCAAGTTTGCCGATGACACCAAGCTGTGTGGTTCGGTTGATACGCTGGAGGGAAGGAATGCCATCCAGAGGGACCTTGACACGCTTCTGAGGTGGGCTGATGCCAACCTCATGAAGTTTAAACATGACAAGTGCAAGGTCCCACACCTGGGTCGGAGCAATCCCAGGCACAGCTACAGGTTGGGCAGAGAAGAGATTCAGAGCAGCCCTGAGGAGAAGGACCTGGGGGTGTTGGTCAATGAGAAACTGAACATGAGCCGGCCTCAGTATGCGCCCGCAGCCCAGAAAGCCAACCATATCCTGGGCTGCATCAAAAGGAATGTGACCAGCAGGTCAAAGGAGGTGATCCTGACCCTCTACTCTCGTGAGACCTCAGTTGGAGTACTGTGTGCAGTTCTGCTGTCCTCAACATGAAAAGGACATGGAACTGTTGGAACAAGTGCAGAGGAGGGCCACGAGGATGATCAGGGGACGGGAGCACCTCCCGTACAAAGACAGGCTAAGAAAGTTGGGGCTGTTCAGTCTGGAGAAGAGAAGGCTGCATGGAGACCTCACAGCAGCCTTCCAGTATCTGTAGGACGTCTGTAAAGATGCTGGGGAGGGACCCTTCATTAGGGACTGTAGCGATAGGACAAGGGGTAATGGGTTAAAACTTAAACAGGGGAAGTTTAGATTGGATATAAGGAAATCCTTTACTGTTAGGGTGGTGAGGCACTGGAATGGGTTGCCCAAGGAAGCTATGAATGCTCCATCCCTGGTGGTGTTCAAGGCCAGACTGGACAGAGCCTTGGGTGAAATTTTTTATTATGAGGTGGCATGGCAGGGGGGTTGGAACTAGATGATCTTAAGGTCTAATTAATAAACACATCTGCTGCTAAATGAGGAGCCTAACAAGGGCTGTGAGCTGTTTAATGGCTGTTAATGTTCAAGGTAAAACATGAGCCTCTTTTAACTGTACCCCGTCAATTATTTTCTACAGTAAGTCCAGAGTAGTGTGGTTCATAGCAACATGGTACAATAAAATCAGCAATATTATTCATTTTTTTTCTCCAGAGGCCATTACCTGCATGATACATGGCTCTTTCAAAAACATAATCCATTTCCTTCAGAGATTGTCTTTAAAAGGTAAAGATCCTTTTTACACTATTGAGATGGCATCAATCATTCTCAGAGCAGAAGCAGTATTATCTGAGATCCTGAATATATGCAAAAATACATTCTACATAGTTGGCTGTGTTCATATGAGTGTCCAACATGTTACAGTTTTGAAGAACTTGACATACTTTTGAGCCACTTGATTTTCTGCAACTAAAAATTATTTTTAAATGTTGTAACTGCAGAATTTTACCTACAAAGATCAACTTGAATGTATCTTTAGATCCATACAGCTATGATATATCTACAATTAACACACAGGTAATGAAGGCAAGCCTAAGTCACCATCCTGGAACATTAATTGTCTGCATATATGCACGTATTACTAAGGATTTACCTGTTCTCACAAATATATAGTAGTCTTTTGCACATTACGTTAAGACAAAAAGATGAGAATTCTTCCCGTGTAAAAGAACATACTAATGCTTCTGCACAGAAATAATAAATTTCTACTTATTCAGACAAAATAAGGAAAAAAGTGAAATAGCAATCAAAAGGTCTAAACACAGCATAAAAAGTGTATTAGAAAGTATGTAATATTGTTTTAGTTTATATACCTGTTTTAGGCTTCTGTGGTGATCGCTGTACAAACACTGCATGACCCTAAAGATAAACATATTTTTTTAACATTGTTCATCTCACAAATGTGTTACACTAGCTATGATTGATGAACTGTTTTTAAATATTAAACCAATACAAATTGTTTACATCAGGGGAAGGGAGGGATGAGAGCGATTTTTACATTCTGTCACTGACTTTTTTTCTCAAGAAAAGGTAATTATTGAACATACTTAGACCAGTATAAAAGATGCGCTTTGGCAGACCTTTATTTTTTCAGTGGCAGACTTTCTGGAAATACTAGCATGCTATGTGCAAAGCTGACTTACTATGTGCAAAGCTGACTTACTATGTGCAAAGATGAGTTACTAACTTGACCTAAGGTGATGACAAGCAATCATGTGATTTCACCCAAAGCAGCATTTTTGAACTATCAGTGTTACATGCAAGTCAAAGCTTACTCTCAGAAATAAGTTGCTGTAACATCGACATACTTAACAGACCATGACACCCAATGACAAAGAGGGAAAAAAAAAATTATTTCAAAATCAGTTAATCTTGAAGATGACTGAACATCTCCACTCCACAGAGCAGATTTTAGCACAGTATTTAAAGTCAAAACAAAACACACACACACCCCCAACACACACCCTTCTGTATGTCAAGCTCAAGGTGGCATTCCCATCAAAGCAAAGTTGAAAACCAAGATTTAGCACCTGCACAGAACCAAGGGCTTTCTTTCCATAGCACAGCACACACATCACCTTAAGAGATAAAATGTCTAGTATCTTATGCTAACACAGCTCTTAAAGTACTTCATTTTGTCCACAGAACACACAGGCAAAAAAAAATATCTTTAGTGATCTAACCAATTTCTAATGAGACTCAGTACTGGAATGGTAAATTCAATTTACCTCTACTTTTAATTTCTGCTTCGGAAGAATAACACTAGGCCAGCTAGCCTGCATTTTGCAGCAGCAACACCTGAATAAATAACTCATAACTGAACTCTCCAAGCAGCAAGAAGATTAACTACTATAGTGTTTCCTAAGGCTCCTTAAGCATAGCAAGCCAGGGAAAATAACAGTAAAGGAAAGCAATCTTGCAAGTATTAAAACAGAAGAGTGCTACAGTTTATTCAATGAAAGAAACAACTAAATAAGTAGAAGCTTTATTGGGCACAAAAGGCTAGAGAAAAATTGTAAGACGTGACAAGAACACAGAATGGGTGAACACTGCTGTTTATTTGCAGACTTGAACTTACATGAACTAAGCTGTGATTGCTCTGCAGTTACAGGAAGTGAATCTGTCACTTGGAGATATAGCATCCCCAATATGGCCTAGATACACAGCCAAACAGTTGGTCAAGTTCTCCTAACAGGACCTGTACATCACCATCTCATTTCACATAGCTGTATATGCACTAAATAAAACTTACTCAATAAGAGGATACACAGTATCTATGCTGTACACCAATTTAGTACTTCTGAAAGTGAATAACAGTGGTGTAAGGTACTTTAGCATCAGTTTGAATTAATCAACACTAGCAATTACTCTGCAGATCAGATATAGGTATAAACTCCACTGGAACATCTTGCAAGTTTTTCATCTAGTTCCAATCCTACTTACCAATTCACAGCAAGATTTACGACCAGCATAAAAAGCCAGGCCTGCAGACTCAGACTTGAATACAGGTTCACCCATGGTACATGATCCTGAGAGAAAAGGATGACGAGAAAGGCATGAAGGGAAGAAGCAACTAACACATGCTTTGCAAGACTTGAAATGATCACAACATTAAATTACACTTTGCAAGAGTTTCACGAAAGATGTGTTCTTGTTTTCACACAACATAGGTTAATGCACGAAACAATATCTTAACGAATCAGTCAAAAGCTAGTTAAATCGACTGACGTTCTCCCAAGTCCCCGATGCCAGACAATACTCCAGCGCGCACCAGCACACCAGATCGGCAGCAGAGGGAGTGGCAGTTCTTACCAGCCGGGCAGGAGGCGGCATCCCAGAACTATTGCCACGTCCCAGGTGAGCAGAGTTAAAGCCCCGGGCAGCCCCGCCTGATAGACTCAGCGCGGCAGCCCCGGCCCAGGCCGCGCATCCCTCGGCGGCTCGCCTGGCAGCGCCCGTCCCTTCCGCAGCCCCGCCAAAGGCGAGGCTAGAGCCGGCCGGGCTCCCCGCCGCCGTGACACCCCGGAAACCCCGAGGCTCGCCACTGACGTGTCGCAGCCCAGCGTTTCCCGCCGGGACAGCCCTGCCCATGCTCGGTCCTCCTAGCAATAAAGAGCTTCAGCGAGCTGGAGGAGCTCCGCCGCTGCTCTCAGCGCCGACAGCATCAGTGCCCGCCTCAGGCTGACCGGACTGGGCCCGGAGTCACTCCGCCGGCAGCTCCGCAGAGATGGGCATCACCCTCCCGGACACAGCCCCACATGGACGAAGGGGGCTCAGGAGCCCAGCGAGACACGGGGCGGTGGGAAGCACCCGCCGCCGCCCCACTCACCAGCCGCCGCCGCCTCAGCCGCTACCCCTGGACTCCGCAGGCCCGCGGCAGCTCCGAGCGGCGCTCTGCCGAGTGGCTGGCTGCCGCCTGACGTCAGGGAACTCAGGGGCTCCGCGCCGGCTGCCGCGAGAGGGCCCAACGCTGTGGGTGGTGGGTGCGCATGTGCGGGCGGAGGCGCGCCTGTTTCCTGCTCTTGCCTCCTTGGCTAGGCCGTGGCCCCGAAAGGGAGGAGGCAGGGGGACGGGACGGGACGGGACGGGACGGGGGTGCGGGCAGGGTGGGGAGGAGGTTGTAGGCCGGTAGCGCAGCGGTTCCTGTGTGTGGGGCGAGCGAAACCGCGGGCGGGGCTGAAAAGAAGGGGGTCGTGCCCCCACGACCGGGAAACCTGTGACAGTGTCTGACCGTGTCCTCTGTGCGCCGTCCTCCCCTCTCCGCGCTCTCCATTCCCGCCCCCATTCCCCCCGTAGTTAGAGGGAAGAGGCGGACATGGTTGAAAACTCTCCAGCCCCACTGCCGGAAAGGGCAATATATGGATTTGCTCTTTTTTTAGGATCGTGGTTTGGCTTCAGTAAGTATACCGTGTGCTGAGTACTTCACCGGAAAGTGTTGCTTTGTTTACGAGGCAAATGTAGTTCCTGATAAGACCGCCTGGAAAGGATCAAACTTGTATGACACCGTCTGTTGCAAGGGTGTGTGGTGAACTATGATGAGCAAACCTGTCTGCTGTTACAGAGATTTGTCATTGCCTTTTGTAATTTCTTCGTGTTTTGTCTGTTTTGAACCTTATTAAGGGACCTTTAGTAGTATTACAGAGACAAATTACAAAATTCTCTGCATTCTTTTGTTACCTTATTTTACTTGAATTGCGTACATGGTTGTTACTCAGTAACTACTGTTGATGCTCGTGGTGTAACCTTCCCCACCCAAATACTGAAATTAAAAAAGTCATTATGGCCCACAGCAATGGAGAATGATTAGGGTTACACCAGTATTTCTTTATTGATGTGACAGATGCTTTGTCATATCATAGAGTACCACAACCATTCTTGGCAAAGCATGACCTAGACTAGATGTCCCAGCACCCTGGCCAGCTGGATCTTAAAAGTATTCAGTGTTGGAGAACCCACAACTTCCCTGGGGAGATTCTTCCAGTGGCTGGTTGTTCTCATTGTGAAAAATTTTCCTGTGTCCAGTTGGAATCTTCCCAGGAATAACGTGTGCCCATTACCCCTCATCTTTTCCATGTGACTCCTTGTAAAAAGGGAGTCTCCATCCTCTTTGTAGCCATCCTTTAAATAGTGGGGCAAATACCCTGCATGCTTCCACAGGACCAAGGCTTGAGAGAGTGAGGGCACCTTTTCAACACAAGGTGCTGCAACTATACTGTACTCAAACAATAAACCGGGATCCTACCGTAAGTCTTTCTCACCCTTAAAAAGTAAGAAGAAATGAAAGTATTTGATTTCTGTTACTGTTACAGGAAGCCACTGCAGTTCTACAGCTTGTGTCACTGTTTGGCTACTAATCTGTTCCCCTCAAGTTTTGTTAAACTTTTGTCTGGATTTGTTAGGAAACAAAATTTCTTGTTTTTGTTAACATGAAAATTATTATCTTGCCAGCAGTATTTCCAGTAACAGCATCTGACCAGTTCTATCCAAGCACTGTAATTCTACCAACTTTTCTCAACCACATAATTCACCGTGTGATTATTTTCTGCTGTTTTCCACATCGAGAGTCGTTTGACATCCTTTTACTGAGGGCTTTCTCTGTTTTGCCATTCAACTTGCAAGAAATTCTTGTCTGTCTATACAGGACATCAGAAAGTAAATGTTAAAGCAAATATAAAAATGATACCATATAACCACCTACAAAACATTGTCCCTGTGTTGGGCAGGTATTGTGCCTGAGACACATATTCTACAATGTTTTGGTTGAGCTACTTTGGTTTAAATAGTGTAAAAGCAAAATATTGCTCTAAAACTAGGGAAGGAAGTGTAAACCGCTATCAATTGTACTGTTGTGATCTCTTTAATTCTTTCATGCAGTGTTGTACCTCATCTGGGCTTATGTTCCCGAGACTTGGCTGTTCTCACTGGGACTAACATACTGGCCTCAAAAGTAAGTTCAGCCAGTTGAACTTTTTCGCCTGAATATGTGTAAGTGTCGGACACCCTTAAATATCCTCAAATAACAAAAGTTGGGTTTTTTTGTTGTTTGGTTGTGGGTTTTTTTTATATAGTGGCCCTGTATTTAATCCAGGTTTTGATGATAAAGGACTCTAATCTTTTTGAAGCATTTTTTTTATGTAGATAAGTATCTATGGTGAGAAAAGCGATAGTATTTGGATGTTTTATGATAAATTTGTTCTCAGGAACTTTGCCAGTGGAAATACAGTAAACTTCATTGAGTCATAATAGTAGTTGTTAGGTTTGGAAAGGACCTTAAGATCATCTAATTCCATCCCCACTGTCATGGGCAGGAACTCCACACACTAAACTGTGTCACCCAAGACTCCATCCAACCTGGCCTTGAGCACTGCCAGGAATGGAGCATTTACCGCTTCTTTGGATAACCTCGTCCAATGCCCTACCACCTTCACAGTAAAAAACTTCATTCTTTTATCTAACCTAAACTTCCCCTGTTTAACTTTAAATAAACATCAAGGGGTAACAGATACAAAGATTTAAGTATTTCCTGAGCCCCATACTTTGGCCAAAAAGCGGCCAGTGGCTGAATACTTTTCTTTCTCCATATAAAACAACAGTACTGTATCATCTTTTCCTGTCTTTTCCAATTGTATAAGGCATATCTTTCCAGTTTTTCAACATCCTCCCTAAGAGACTTTCTGGAGGAATGTTATTCCTGGGATGATTCCTCTCATCCCTTTTCTCTTCCTTAGGCCTGTTGGTGGTACAATGATAGTATTCTTTTTAACCACAAAGTGTATCTTCAAAACATAATTTAAAAAACCCCCAACACATAGGTAAGAAATCTATTTGAGGATCTATACCAGACTAGCTTTGGTGACTCTGCAGTCAGTAATAATGGGTGAGGCCCCAGCCTCTATTCAGAGGTGGTGTTTTCTTCTCCTCTTGGCTGAGTTTGTGCGAGATACAGTAACAACTGCTATATTAAAACTGTTATATCATTAGGTGTTTGTTATTATGATATGTGAATTTTAAAATCTTCTTCCTCAGATACTGGGCAGTTGCTTTGCCGGTGTATCTACTGGTTGCTGTAGGAATTGGTTATATATTACTTTTTGGTATTAACATGATGAGTACAGCTCCACTTAACTCCACACATACTATTACAGGTAATTTTAGTAGTTTTTCTGTTTTGGCTTTTTTAATTTTGATACTCAACTGGTGATTTCTGTAAATGTATATATGTAGCTCTATATAATATAAACCAGATTTTAAGCCTTTAAATACTTTGATTTAGAAAAGGAGTTCTTGGAAGTACTGAAGGACTAGAATGAAAAGATATCCATGAGCCGGACTCTTCCCTTTATGCCATCATATTGTAGTGGTTTCCAACTAGCAAAGAGTACTTTGTTGGTAAAACAGACTACTTTGGAGGAACGGGGGTTAGGCATGTAACGATCTGAAAGGTTAGCACCTTGCATTATGAACTAGTGAAGAGTGTCATGGGAAGAAGGGTGTGACTACCTGCGTGGCAGTGGCAGAAGTGGGAAGGCAAGGAAGAGTCAATGTGGTGCAGAGGAGGATGTTGTGGTATTGAGGCACGATTAAATATGTCAGTGATTGCCTGTGTAAAAAAGCTGTTCTTCAGTTTTTCTCTCAGCTTTTGTGTAGCCTTTACTCCTGCCAAGGAGACATGTTCTAGGCATTCACAACATTCTCCAGGCAGCTGCACCTTCTTCCACATGCACTTCCACTTCCTATTTGCAGGTGTCAGAAAAAACGCAGACAACAAAATTTGGCGCAAAATTTACCTATTGCTAAAGCAACTGCTGAAGTTGCATTCTTTCACCAAACTATGTACATAGTAGTAGTACATTACAGTGCACTACTAAGGAAAAGCAATCCGTTGAGGCTGTAGTTCAAATGCATTACTCCAATGCTGCTGTCAAGAACTGCCATTTAGTCACCTTTGTGTTCCTGGGCTCTCATTGACACTCCCATGTCACCTTCCCTTTTGATGTCAACCCAAGAGTTTGTGTGGCTGTATGGCAGGTGGGACAGGGTACCTACTATGTTTGAAAAACAACTGTATTTGAAAGTTTCCTTTTTCAGAGGGAGAAGTTCTGTAATTGTGTTCAAAACGCATCTGTAAAAAGGAATGGATGCTGTGTCATGATGGGAACAAGCAGCCAACATAAAGGGAGGGTGGACTGCATCTCTCAGCAAAAATTCTAGTATAGTGTTCAAACTACAGGCTGAGCTATTCAGTCTGGGCTTTTTTGTTTGTTCTTTTTATCCTTGGATAGTTAAGATTTGATGTCGTACAGCATCTTAAACCAAGTCCCAGAGAGTGATTTCAGCAGGAGGGTGGGGTTGATTTCTTCAGGGGCTCTACTAAGACATCTTGATGTAAAGTGTTTCTGATGGCCATCTTATTATACCTCAGCAAGATGGGCTTTTCAGCATTACTTATAGCAGATGAATTTATGCAGTGTTTCATTACATAATGTTGCTTGAAAGGAAAAAAAAAATCTATAATAAATGAAATGTTCTTATTCTTTCCTGTAGATAACTATGCAAAAAAGCAGCAGCAGAAGAAATTCCAAGAAGAAGCAATTCCAGCACTGAGGGATATTCCCATCAGTGAAGTAAACAGAATGTTTTTCCTTTCTGAAAAAGGGATCTGCAGTAGTAGGTAGTCATTAAGATCTGTTTGAATAAAGGAGTAGTACAAGTGTTACATAAGGAAAATCAAAACCTCTCCAAGCTAAAAGTAACCCAGTGTCTTTCTACTTGCAGAAGAAAGTTGGGGGTTTTGTGGGTTTTTTGTTTTTTGTTTGGGTTTTGTGTTGGTTTTTTTTTTCCCCTGAATCTAACTAAATTTATGGTAACATATTTCCCTGAGATGGCTTGATTTTATTATACATGCACCTTAATAACATGCCGTGGTATGAGAATTATGCCACATTAATTTCTCTAATCATTCTTGTGAGTTTAAAATGTTCTATTGTATGCATATTTCTGCTTGTAATTTTCCTCCACGAATGAAAGAAATAGCTTTCAAACATAGCGTAATTCTGTTTCTCTTTGAATTCAGGGAGGGAAAATGTGTTCCACTGGTCAAATGGAAGTTATGTTAATTTGAAGTGTTTACATTGTAAATATACAGTTCTTATCTGTAAATATTAATAAAATGTAGCTAACTTTTGCTTGTTAAAGTTAGTGGTTTTCCCGTGATTCTATGATATTTGTTCTGGGCAAAGGTGTATAGCAGTCCACTTTTCTTTACACAATTATTTACTCAGCAAAATATGTTGATTTCCTCCCTCTTGGCCCAGACCAGTGGGTTTCTTGAAATGCAAAGATTGCCGGAAATAAGGAAGGTGGATTGTGAAGATTTTTCTGAAACAAATCTCGAAATGACTTTTTTTAAACCACTCTTAAGAATACTGAAAACTAGATTCTGGAAACACAGGAACAGGCAGGTCCATGTTATTATAGCGTAGGTTGTAGCGGAAGGTGCAGTAACTTGTTATGGCAGTGGTTCAGATGTTTCTGAAACAGTGGATTTTCTTTCAGGTGTGCGTTACTGTGCAGAGAAAGTTTTTATTGCCTTTCGTCCAAGAGTCACACACCTGGTTATCTTCAGCAGTCAAGGTTATTCAGCTTGGTTATGAAAGCCAGGGGATAGAGCTTCATTATTGTTTGTTAGGTCTGTAAGCCAACTTCTGACCAGCAGAGAATTTAGTTAAAAACATCACTATTTCATTAAAAGGTAATAAAGTTTTGAAAATTTCTGTGAAGAATCTTAGCCAGTTCCTTTAGAAAATGGTCAAAACAACCATCAGTTGCTGTGGGAAGTCTTAAGACCTGGTAACAGTCAATCTAATATAAATAGAAAATCTGTTGTTTTTTCATCCTCTTTAGTAGTTTGCTATTTTTTTCCACCTGTGTTTGAAGAAAAAACCCAAACCTGCTAGGTGTTACGGGTAGGAGAAAAATACCTTCTTATGAAAGGCAAAAATACATTTCAACATTTCACTCTGAAATGGTAAATTTTAGGTATATTGTTGTTTGGGGACATTTCACAAGAGTGAGTGTTTGTACATAAGCCTGATGACTGCAGGTTGGTACAATGTTTGTTTGATAGTTATAGGCATGGTTGTGAACTTTTGTTTTTCAGTTTGCCCCCAGTTGCTATTGTTTCCCCCTCCTGCCATGCTTTTGCCCTTCTGTTAATTTTAATTTATGTGCTCAAACATATATGGGGTGGATTCAAGATTTTGTGATCAACAGACATGAAGGTGTATTTACTCTTGTGAATTCTGTAATGTTGTAGACACTGAACTATTGGCTGTAATTTTTTTTTGTGTAATTTCTACTTGTGTTCTGCATTCCTTTTGCTTTCTGAGAAGGCAATTTCGGTTTTAATTCTAAATTGACAGCAAGTGAAGGCCACGTTTCTGGTATCATTTGATGTAGGGATTAATTTAGTCCCCTGTTAAGGATACCCAAATCCCTTCAGGATAAAGAAAAGCTACTGGAAAATGCCCTCAAGCCCTGAAAGCACACAAATTAAAGGACTGTAAGCCTTCGACAAAGATTGTATCAGTGATGAATCTGCCATTTCATTTAACTGCAGACTTCACAATTATGGGAAAACTAACAGAGGTACCTAAGTGAGTAGGCAAAGTGGGGCCATTTGTTTAAGTAAAACTTGCAGGCATGAAACTCAATCTTTGCTTTTCTATCCCTACTGTGTAGTGGTGCTTCAAAGGCACTGTAGTGACCTTTTCTTCAACTTAAGAGTAATGTTTGACACTTCAGAAATTGCCTCTGTGATCAAAATAAAGCCAGTTGTCTAAAAAAATTTGTTGTTGTCATTGGGCTAACAAATGCATTGTAGGGAATTGCAGGTATTTGGGATCCGTCATTTCACTGTCTTGCCTGTGACTGTGATTAAGGAAAAGATATGCAACTCTGCTGGCAAAAAGAAGAGAGAGTCACCGTTTTGTAAATGTACAGCACACTTACAGCTGTAGTTATTTAGTGGGTTTTATATAGACTTTGCCTTAAATATTATTCAGAAAAAAAAAACCAAACCTGAAATGATTGAACTGTGTTGCTACTAGTGCCTTTCTTTACAAAACATACCTGTTTACAGATGGGATATCGGGTATCCATTCTTCTCAGAGACTGAAGAAAAACTAAATAAATAAAGGCAAAACCCTAAATTTGCCCCCATTTTCACCCTTTTGACTTCCTCATGGCATACTGTTATAGCACAACCTCTAGTAACAGAGTTACACCAACTGCATTGTCCTTGCTGAAATAAATGATGAAACTGCAGCCTTGCATTTTAATGCACCTTCTAGGATTCTTCTGCAGTTTTTATATATTGGAGACTGATGGTATTTTACACATTTTGCTATAAATGTGATCTTGTAAAGCAGGTTCCCCCAAATGGTGTTTGAATGAATGTCTATGTAGACATGTCACAAAAAAAAAAAAAAGCTGTTCTGGTTAGAATGAAAAGGTGATATGCCAAAGGTAATAATAGAGCTTTGGTTGCTGAATTTGTGTATGCATGGTAGAGTATGTCTGTTTTCCACCTTAGCTGTAAGGAGAAGAGTAGTAGCAACACAGACCGTGTTTATGATGTTGAAGTTGAGAAGTACTGAAAGAGAGTCATGCAACTGATTTAAAAAGGGAACCTATCTTGAAACTGATTTTGGTCTTTTTCATTGTACTGTATTGAATGCCATAAGCATGGATGCTTCAGTGCAAATGTATGGTGTATGCATGTGAAGTAGTAGAAGAGTTAAATTCTTTGTGTCGCCGCATAATTTCATTCTAAGCATTGGTAGAAGAATCTGCCACTTTGACGTTAACAGTGAGCTACAGCAAAAGAGGTAAATGATCTTTTGTGAAGTTCAAATGTATAAAGCCGATGAAGTAAAATATGCAGGCACACATGAGTAAGAGGTTAGCACAATGTTTGTGTTTACTGTTCCTACAGATTGGATGGCTGGAAGAAGAAAAGGAAAGAAAAAGCAACACAGCATCTCAAATGTTATTTCAGTTTCTAGACATAAAAGTGATGCCCTTGCAGGAAGAGAAAGAACTTGTTTCAGCAGTAGTGAAATGGAGTTGTCTTTCTCCTTGAGATACGCAGGTACACTTTTGCTGTTACCTAATGCATTCTGAAGTGTACAGGCTGTCTTAAAAATATTTTAGCTTACTATGAAATGCTGTCATCTTGATTTGATGATCTTTAAAATAATCATTGTTTGTGATTGGGGATATAAGCAAAAACGTAAGTAACAAATTACTCTAGATATTTTATGGCAAAGTTCATATACCAGTAAGTGCCATCAAAGACCGTCTCATATGAATCAGAAAGCTGTAATATTAGATGGTTATATTGTTGCTGCAAGCAGCATTTCTGTAAAGTTAAAAATTGTCCTGGGTCGGGCGGGCTTATACTGCCTATGAAGCAGGTAGTGTGCCTGGAGCTTTTCTAAGAGCAGGAGTGTGGAAAATGTATGTTTTAGTTCCACAGTGCAGTCTCTGGTACTCTGGTGGTTCATTGGTACACCTCCATGCAAGGTGGTCTATAAACATTAAAAATGCAACTCTACCTCCAACAGCAAGTAAAGTGTATACAAGAAATGATGGTAAAGTAATAGTAACAGGTTTTTACATTCTTTTTAGTGGAACTTGAGATGCTGTGAGTTAAATCAGGAAAAGTTAGGCTAAAAATATACCTTAAGGAGGAGAAGTGATAACTTTAGAAGCAGTGAACTTCCCAACTCTCGTTCAATATGAGAATGGAGGTAATGTGAGGTAGGCTAAATAGTGTTTGACTCTTCTTCCTCTTCTCCCCTGCGCCAGCATTCTGTGCCATGAGAGTGTAACATTGATATCTTAGCTGAATCTCTAGCAATTCAGTTTGATAACTTTGATTAGAGTAATAAGAAGTTACGAGTTCTTTGCCTTAATACAGTGTTTCTCTAATACCTAATTCACATTCATGCCGAAGCTCCCACCAACGGAAACTTACCACTAAAGCTCTTTTGAAAAAACAGCTTTTTGAGTACTTGCTTTCTTTACCAGGCAGTTTCATTTTGGGGTGTAAATGATAAAGCATTTCTGACTTACAAACAGAACAGTTAATAAATGATTTTGTGTAAATAAATTTTGTTCCATAATGCATCTTTTCCATCGGCACTTGAGTCTGAGTGGCTAAAATGTTTTAACTCAAAGTCCTGCTTGCTGCTGTACTATTAGATCTCCAGTCAGCTCTAAAACAACTGAGATGAATGGGTTTTTTTATATGCCTCCCTCTATTCATGAATGGAACTGTATTCTGAGGAGAAAGTTTTGGAAGCATTTAGTCTTGTTCTGCCAGTTCCCTTACAGAGAAATTGCCAAAGTAAATTTTGTTGGCATGCTGTGCAGTTTCTGTATCAACTTAAATCTCAACCTTTTGCTTAAATCAGCTGATAGTTTAAACCAGTCTGAAAATCACGATTATATTGAATGTAATTTTAAGTAGTATATGTTTCAGAGAAGGGGGTGAATTTTGCTTCCTGAGCTTATAAAGCTGCTATTTGGAAAATTGCTTTTTCTCAGTTGTGGCAACTCAGTCCTACTGCTGTTGTCATTCTCTCAGTATAAATGTAGCTTAGGAAAAAAATGTGATTGTGATAGTTGGTTTTTTCCTTAATGCAAATTATTACTGCATTACTAGTAATAATTTGGCATTATTTTATAAAGAACACTCAAAGAACTTTAATGTCATGCAAGGATGTTATTCCCTTGGATCTATGTATCCTCCAAGATCTTGTCTTGGAAGATCTTAGAAGTAGAATTCAAGACTGTTTTATGAGCATACTTTAATTTTGATTTTTCACATGAATACATGCAATAGAAATATAAAAGTGTAGGCATTGTCTGAATAACTCCCCAGCATTCATGTACAAGTGGAACATGAACTTGTCTTTTGCTCTTGTAATTTTAGACAAAGATAATCAAAAGGTAGCATTTGCTGGAAGTGTTGAACTACTAAGGGAAGTTATGTGGAACAGAGATCTTGAGCCAACAAATCAATTTGTAAAATGCTGTGTTTCTAGTCTTGTCTTTGAAGTATTAAGCTCATGATGGACTCACTATATGGGGATGCTTTGTTATCTTTTTCCTGTAAATGATGGATCATTTTGAGGTTACTGAAATCCTAGCAAGGTCAAACTGTAGGTGAAGAAACAAACCAGAGCTGACAGCTGAAAGTTAACTCCAGCCAAACAATAGAGATGCTATATTTCTATTAGTTCACTTTTAGTCTTCTCTTAATTATTAACAACCTGTAAGGGATCACAATGCATATCTTATTTAGTGTGCAAATAAGGGTACTTTAATGTTGTAACATGAAAAGACAGTTATTTGACCAAAAAAAAAAAAAAAATTAAAATGGCTGGCTTGACAGGAAAAGGATAATACAGGTTTGGCTTTGTCTAATGATTGCAGTTAAATATTGCCAGTCAGGTAAATAGTACGGTAATGTTACCTTAATTTGAAATGGAATTTGACAATACAGGAGAAATCAAACGGAATGTGTAGCAGAGACTGAGAAATGGAATCAGTTCAGACCAATGCAATGTTGTCAGACTTTAGCAGATGTGCAAGATGATTTGTTTGAATATTTCTAACAGCCTCTGGCAATATTGACATTCACTATCCAACAGTATTTGTCTAATAACAGCGTCTGTTCTACTGCTTTAAAGAACACACTTTTATTAAGATACTTTTTTTCTGTTCCAGAGGTGTGGATTTTTAACAGCACTTACTTATGTCATGAAACCTACATATGATGCATTGGGGATGTAGCCTGTTTGCGAATATTAAAATGGCTGTTTCATGGGAGACCAAAGATAAATATGGCTAATATCCTGCCTCCAACACTGGCTAATGATGCCCGCTATAATAGTAAGAGCAAAGATTAGAGAAAGAAGCTAGTAATGTTTCCCCAGAATGCTTCCCCAGCCTGCAACAATATGAAGCTTCTGAACCAGATGTTATATGTTTATATTTTTTCATTAAAATCTTTAATTTACTTTTTATAAGTAGGTAAACTCTTACTTTCAACAACATCACAGCATAATCACAAGTTGGGTTAAGTATTACTTCCTTTTGTTTTGAACTTGCTTCTTGCTACTTAAATTTCATATTCAGTCATTCTCTCCAAGCCACTCAAGGTAGTATAGACAATCTTTATCATAGAATCACAATCATGGAATGGTTTGTGGTTTCCATGGGCTGGAAGGGTCCAACCCCTTACCATGTGCAGGGACACTTTCCACTAGACCAGGTTGCTCAAAGCCCTGTGGCACCAACCTGGCCTTGATATACTTAGTCACATCTTCAGGCTGAAAAGTTCTGATCGGTTTCATTGTTTGTGTAATCTATGTACTTGATCATCCTTCCCCCCCCTTTATTCCATTCATGTCAGATATGAATATAATTTTCCAAGATACAGTAGACCTATCACTCTCATTCTGGGTAGCTGATCTGCACTTTCTCGGTGGCCTCTTGTCTGGGATTTGCTGTATCTGGAAATTCTGAACAAGTTAAAAATGTTCAGATTCCAAGATTCGTGTTACCACGAAACTTGGAATAAGATGCCCCATCCAGTATTGATGTGGTTCTGTTAGTATGTACGGCCACTGTCTACACTGTATCTTGTGTTCTTGCATTGTCTGTTTTACTAGTTACCCCACTGGAAGCTGCTCTGACTGACCAACACTCTTGGAAAATAGTTATTACACTGAAGGCAGTGCTGTCTATTTCTCAAAATATTCAGACTTCATCAACCAAAAACTGACTTAGGACCTGACAGTGTTCTGCCATGCTGCTGCCAGCAAGTCCAGGAGGCTTTTTTGTGCATCTCAGTTAGACATTTGCCAGTTCAGACTGGTTGACCACCAGCTGTCTGGAGTTAATAACCAGTCCTCAACATCATCACATAGTTCCACCTGTTGATACTTATCCCTCCAGCTCAAAAAATCTCTCCTAAATGCAGGAAGATAAGTCTCAGTTGCAGCTGAAGCTGACCTCCATTTATCTCATGTGTTCCTGCAGCTGTTAGTTCATCATTGCTATCCTGCAACAGTAGTAACACCCGCTCTTGCCATGCATCTATGTCCGCAAGCATGCACTGGTCAGAAATGGTTAGAAAACTGGTGTTTTCTAAAGGTGGGACCACAGCCCACTGCTTGGCATTTGCAGGGCAGGCACTGGAGCTATAAAGGAGGAAGTAAGAGGCAGCATGGTCTCAACAGAAAGGTAAGGATTAGCAAGGAAGAACCTACAGAGTGTGCCTTTTACATAATGCATCCCTAAATGGTGACAATGTCTGTGTAAGGCAAATGGCTCTTCACTGTTGTGTGTTAGGAAGCACTGTGCTATGTGGAGATCATGTGGTAATTGCCATTTCCACAGGGGATGGAGTTGGTTCCTTCACCATACCCATCCAGGTTCCAGTAATCCTCAATGAAGGCCTGAGAAATTCAGCAGTAACCAGGTTGGTTTGGGGCATAGCACAGATTAATATGGCAGAGCAGCTGCACAATTATCGTAAGAGGCAAGAAAAAGCCCTGTTCAGAACTCTAAGGTGAGCATGGAACACCAAATGTTGGGAGTGAACTCATCTGAACACTGATGGAGATGAGAGGTTCTTGCAAGGAAGAAGTTGGGACTTTATGTACAATAATTTGACTGCTGTATAGAATATGTCATCACCAGCCTGTTAAGTGATCTTTGATGCTTTTCTGTTTGTTTGTGCTACAGACTGAATAATGATGAAGCTGGGGCAGAAGTAATTTTAGTATACCATATGAGAGAAGTGAAAGACCTTTAAAATGTCTGTATTTTAGTTCCATGTGTTGGGATGTGAAGATGTGGAGATGGTGAGTGGGTGAAATGTGAAAGCTGAATTTTTGTGTGTCACACCAGGGTTTATAACTTCAACTGGTTTGTGTAATTTCGTATGTTACAGGATGCTGTCTTCTTGTGTAAATTTAATTAATATCTACTTTTTAGTATGTAAATTAAAATTGTAAAAAAATCCTCTAATATATTAATTCAGTTGGAATCTGAATTTGCTATCCTAAGAATTTAAAACACTATCATGTTGTTTAATAATAGTTCATTGTGCTAAGAGGAAGACCGACACACAGGGTAAGTGGCTCTGACAGCCATCTGACCTACCAACAGTAGTGTAGAAAAGATCGAGAATCTTGGATTCTGCCTTTGCCTTGTCTCTGGAGAAACTACGGGGAGAGTTTTGTTAGAGATAAGGTACCTGAAGCATAATAATTATTGAAACATAGCAGGGCTAAGTATCTAATCCTTGAGCTAAATAAAAAATGCTGGCACAGCAAGACAAGTACTGGCAAAATCTCTGAGCATACACAATTTATGCAAACAAAAGGTTAAGTGGACCAGGTTATACCAATTCTCTGAATGAAACAAACTGTGCTGAAAAAGCAGGTTTTTGCTAGTGAAATAACAGTGTCGGAATAAATGTGTCTACATTTACTGTAGATAATTATGAAGATCAGTAACTTAAGTCTTCCTGAACATTAATTTAAAAGAAATATCAAGGTAGTAGGATACATATTTAAGCCTCACCAGATGAGAATAAGCAGATCAGTTATATTAAAATCATAGATGCAAGCGCACTAAGCTATAGAGATAAGATTTATGTATTTTGGTGAAGACAAAAAGGTAGCACATAGTGGTTTAACATATCGTTCATAGTTTTTAATAATGACTTTTTTCTGACTGACACTAAGGCACTTCTCCAATGACAGGGAGGAACCTGATGTCAGAATAAACATTCCCCCAGAGCTAATAAGCAATAGTCCTTGCATTTTAAATAGTTTCTTCCTTAGATTCAAACATTATGTTTCAAAGCTTTTGGGTTATTTTGGCTCTGTACATTATATTATTTTGCCCCATAATCAATTCTATTTTCATTTTATCAGGACTGCAAAGTAAAAAATAGTAATTAAGTTCAGTGTTCTTAATGTTCTTAATCCATGTTACTTAAACCAACTTGATTCAAACCTTATAATCTTCTGTTCAGCTTCAGGGTTTTATTTAAAAGTCTCTGAAAACACAAAACGATTTCCTCTTAGTTTCCAGTTGCATTCACTCATTCTTTTTGGTAGGATAGTTATAAATAGTTTGAGCTTTGATGTATTTCTTTGTTTGGTCAGATGTTTATCCGTATGTTTCTGACAGTTTTTTTATCTTTCGAGTTTTTTCATTTTTATTTTGTGTTTGTCAAGGCTGACCCACTGCTCATTCTTAGGCTGAACTGATTTCTTCTTCATCTTCCTCAGAGTCGGCGTCATCATTGTAGAAGTGAATTGTGGCTTGTACTGGAAAGCTTGCCAGAATCTTCTCTCCGATGTTATTAAGAAACTTTTGGGATTTGGACTTGGGCAAATAAAGTCTAGTAAGAAAACACATTTTAAGAAAAAAAGTAAAACTATGTGATGCTTTCGCAGCTAAGCTAAACTAGCCTGAGTGTTAAAGTCTATTTTTATCTTTCTTTGGAGAGAGAAAAATCGTAGGGTTCCTTGTCTCTTAAAATAAAGTTGCTTACTAAAAGGTAATGTTGATTTTAAGTTATCTTAGTTGCTTTGGGCATATTGCGTATTGGATTTATCTAAGGTCCCACCCTGGTACAGTGTTGCCAGGGCAGTGATGCATGCTTGAGATTGGTTTGGTTCTAGCACAGTTCACAATGGAAGTGTCCCATGCAATGGGTAAAGTTTGAGGAGTGTTTTGGGATTCTGGAATAAGATACCAGGTTAAGATTGGGGTGAGCTGCCCGTTGCACAGCGGCTGATCTGAGTGAATCTTGTGTCTCCAGATGGAGGGAGGAGGCAGCATATGCTGAGAGAGATTTCTTTCAAAATTCATACTGTTTTGTACTGAAATCATAAATGTCTTAATTTACATTTCAGGTTTTCTCCAGCTTTCTCACTAAAGCAAAAACTTATGTGGTCTGTACACATATGCATTTTTTGTGTATAGGTATTCACTTTCTCCCTATTTCAGTTAAATTTGACAGTGATAAAGGTCACACAGATTTTAGGGTTCTACAACTTGTTTACAAGTGCATGTAGAGAAGAGGGATACTCTGTTAATTTTCCTCCTCTAAATTAAAGTCCAAATCAGGAGTTTCTACATAATTAAGCCTTAAAGAATCCAGATGATAGTGGAAACCTTTATAAATCCCCCAAGCACAGGAAAAGTTTCACCTGCAATTCAGCTTTTATTCAAGAGCAAATTTAAGCAACCTTAAGACACAGATCTATAACAAGTCACATTCCATTAGCAGCTGTTCACATTAATTAATATTTAGGCTTTGTGGGCTTCTTATCATATTAGATGAGGCAGAAGAGCATTATTTCTTTCCAGATTACTTTTTTCTTATTATTATTTTTACCATGTTGTTTCAGGTTCTCTTCAGCCTGGGTATCAGTCCTCATGGAGGGATAAAAAAAAAAATCCATGGAGTCTGGTGAGTAGATAAACTCCATTATTAAAAAGAGATACTCCAGGGACAACCTAATACTTCTCCTGAGAAGAAATATATCTTTTCTTGGAAGGTGTCACTTTTCCTGTATCTGGTGATAGGATTTAACTCACCTCACTGGATGTTGAAATCCCAGGGCTCCTTTTGATCTAAAATTTACTAGTTGACCATCCAGTTCTGACTGTAAAGAGACATTTTTATTAATTAGAACAGGCTAAAAACGAAGATTTCACTTTTTATTTCTACAGCTAACCATAAAATTCTACAGCAATGTTGCTTTAATTTTTTTCATCTGTGCTGCTTGTTGTTTTACTCTGGCTAAATGTACTTCAGAGAATAAATGTGTCCAGTCTGCTAATAGTTGCACATTTATCAAGGGATTTGAACTTGTACATCTTATGAGCCATGAAGCTGTACATTTTGCTGAAGTTCTCATGGAATACTGTAGTGACTGATGAGCTAATAACACCACCAAATGCAAGTTCAGTGATTGGAAAAGGAAAAATCTATTTTCAGTCAGTTTAAAGGAATGGGAAGTTAGGGTTTGTAATTTCAGCTGGGATAGAGTTAATTTTCTTCCTAATAGCTGGTGCAGTGATATATTTTGGCTTTAGTGTGAGAATAACGCTGATATTTTAGTTGTTGCTAAGTAGTGCTTACTATAAGTAAAGGACTTTTTATTTTCTCATGTTCAGTAAGGAGGAGTGCAAGAAGCTGGTAGAGAGCATGGCCAGGACAGCTGACCTGAACTAACCAAAGGGATATTCCATACCATAGAACATCATTCCTGGTATATAAACTGGGGAAGAATATGCCAGGAGGAGCCAGTCGTTGCTCAGGTCAGGCTGGGTATCAGTCAGTGGATGGTGAGCAATTGTACTGTGCATCCAGTTGTCTTTCTTGGGTTTTATTTCTTTCTTTTTTTATTGTCCCCCTTTTCATGAAAATTGTTATTATAATCATTATTATATCTTATTTCAATTACTAAACTGTTCTTGTCTCAACCCATGGGTTTTAGCTTTTTTCTTGTTCTCCTCCTCATCCCACTGGAGATGGTGTGGGAGAGCTGCAGTGAGCAAGCAGCTGCATGGTACTTAGCTGCCAACTGGAGTTAAACCACAAGAGAGTTTTATCAAATACCTCTTAAGTACACTGACCCATCGTTTGGACTTGGAATGTTCAAGCTTAATTGTAACCAAAGATCACACGAGCACATTAAAGAGTCCAAACAGTTAAGAGCCAGCTGGCATCTCATATTTCTATGCAACAAGCAATAAAAAGCAAGCATTTTGATACAATAGGGAAGGTAGAAACATATATTTTAAGTATCAAATTTTAATTTAGCACAAAATAAATTCATTCAAATTAAGGTCAGAATGAAACTCGATAATTTGTAATTGTCAATGTTACTAAATCCTGTTAGGATTAAACCTGAAAGCATCTCCCAAAATCAGAGGGCCCTTTCTAGGGTCCTCTTCTAGGCATGTATTTTCTTCCATATCTTAAACCAAAAAGACTTATTTTTTCCTCCTATCAGCCTGATGTTACATAAAATACAGATACTTAGCTTTGCTGTAGTAGAACTCCTGTTGAACAGAATCTAGAAACCATCCACTGTACTACAAACAAAGATGACTTTTGCCAATGTCAGAGTAATTCATCTACCTTTCAGTGGAGGTAGGCTTCAGCCTGGATATTTTGGTGGGCCCCAAAAAGCCCCAGGCTGTGGACTGAGCAAGCGATCTTACAGAATTATCTCTACCTTTTATGTTGGCCTATTGCTCTCATACCCACCTGTTTGTCTTGTAGCCAAAATGATTTGTCTTCAGGCTATTAGTTTTTTGCTTAAGGGTTTTTTTATGTTTAATCAGGAGACTTATTTACTTTGTTTCCACAGTACTAAGTAAAATGGACTCCTGATCTGGCTGAACACTGTAGATATGATCATAATGTCTGTGTTAAATACCATTTTTCTCCTTTCATATTTACATTAAAATTAAACCAGCCTTTTTTATTGACCTATATTTTTTACTCTCTTCTGTTTGGAGTATATATTATTTTCTAATAATTCTATATGTAATAATAATATTGATTACACACACATTATATGCTTTTCCTTCTCATGCTAAAATAGACCATTTCTGAAAAGCGATTCTAATAAAAGTCAATTGCAACATCTAACTCCATTTCTCTACAGCAGAAAATGTTCATTATGTTATGTTATAGATATACAATAGTAAATTTAAATTACTCTGTCATTTTTATTTGGTCATAAATAATGTAACTGAATTTAAGTAGTAGGAAAAATGTTACTTTTATACAAGGAAAAGGATATTATGTGTAGGTAACCATAGGGAATATTGTAACACATGTTCTGGGCAATAGAGGTAATATTAGTTTATTTTTTAGCAGTAGTTTCATATTTCATCACTTTTTTCTTGAATCAGTTTCTCAGGTTAGATTCTTATAGGTATATTCTTAAACATTATTTTTTGTTACTAGACACAGGATATTGAAACTTCTATTTACTTCACTCCAGTATTTGGAGTGTCAACTGATCTGTAAAGCATTGGCATTTGTATGTATGCACTGCAGAAAATAACAGTAGGCAGCATGCAACTAACTAGCAAAGCCATTGTGTTTAATCTATCTTTGAAGGCCACCTGCTAGACACCTCAGTAACTGTGCTGAAGATACTTGCCTTCCACACCTGTGGGCTGTAGGTTTGCATTAGCAACTCTTCCCACCTAGGCACCACACAAAGTATCTAAGCATCTTTCCTTCTCTGTGACCCAGTTAAAAAATACAAGGGCTTCCTAAAGCCCTCCTTTAGTCCTCATTAGGTCCCAAGCTACAGAGACATCTAGGATACTGGAGCAGTATGGATGTGAGGTAAAGTGTAGTTGAGAAGGATCTGAGAAGCTTCTGGCAGGAAGGAGAAAAGTAAAAAAATTGAAACCAATTGTTACAGTTAAGCTTAGATTGAAACAATGCCACGCTGTGAGCAGGAATGTGGCAAACTTTGTATGTGGTTTGTTTTTCTCACTCAAGTGGGTGGAATGCCAAAACTTTTGAGCTGGTTGAATAAAATTTTCTCCAAAACCATAACATCAGTAATAAATCATAACTTCCTGATTTCAGAAACCTTAGTTTCTTGAAATCTTCCCTGTAAGCCTGTGCTCTCATGAGTCAGACTCCTTTTATCCACAGCAATTTACAGGTGTCTCTGGCAAAACTTGGAACACTGCTGGGAAGGGCATTCTTCCTTAGGCTTTCATAAGGCGCCTGCAGGGAAGAGTAAGTCACTCCTTCAGATGTGTACAGTTACAGTCTCCATCATCAGCAGATAAAAAGTGCAAGGTAAAGAGGTGATGCAGGTGTTTAAAAAATCCTGATTTCTATGATTACATTTTAAGACTTGCATTAAGAAGACTTGTTTTATTATGCTGAGCCTTTGGTAAAAAGTTGAAGATGTGACTGCGTATCAAATGCTGCAAAAACTTATTCAGGTGCTTAGAACTAAGCAGGGCATTTCAACAGGTATTTAAAGTCTGGGACCAAGACTGAATGTGCTCAATCTCTATTTTTGTTCTTTGAGCCTAACAAATCTTCCTACATGATTAAATAAATTTAACAATCACAGTGCCTTTCAAAGGCTCTTGGCAATTAAGAGCTACTTTAAAATCCAGTTTTGTGTTCATTTCCTAACTGGTTTAGCTATAGCAATATCCCTCCAAGAAAAACCAATCAATAAAATTGTGCACATGAAAGTCCATTTTTTTTTAAATTCATCTTAAAGTAATTATCATTCCAACTCCCCCTATACACAAAATACCACTACAGAATAGGCCTGTAAATTTCAAACTGAAGATACTGTTATTTTTTTATAATTAAGTAAATAAAAACTGCTGTTAAAATAAGAGTTGAGTAAGCAGTGCTTTCTGCAGCTCTTTAAGAACTGATAATGATTCTATATGTGATACAAAACTAGAGATACTCTTAGCCATTATCATGTTCAGAACACTTTAATTTGAACCATATTTCCTAACACTGAAGAAAGGTTCACATCACTTCCTGTGTTCAAATAGTTTCAATTTCTGCACCTGTTTTCTATAAGGGTTTGTTTTTTTTTTCAGAATTTAGTCTCACCATTTGTTGATTCTCTGTCATCTCACTGTCTCTGGCTGTGATCATCCAGGGCCTCCATAAGGCAGGGCTGCTGAAAGATTAAGGTAGAGTAGTGCTCCTACAGTTAATTCTTCTGAAAATATCCATACAGTACAGCTTCTTTTGTTAGATTCTGCTGGCATCTTTTGGAATAATGTAATTTTTTCTTTTTAACACATTTCGATTTGGTAAATCTGATTTCTATGGCAATATTAGTCTCTCTTCTGTCCACAGTGATTAAACAAACTAGACAATTGCTTGCACATTTTTAACTAAGGTGTTATTTCACAACTCAAAGCAGCTGCATTGAACTCCAAATGATGATGTAATTGATACTGAAATCTTTTTATTTATGCAGCACCGCTACAAAATAAAAAGTATCCCTCCCTCTCTGAGAGACTGTCTAAATACAGATTCCATGTTGGCATTGACTGGCTGGTTATTTATTGAGTAAGCAACTCCAGCATTCAGCTGACATGGGCAATCTGATCTAATTAGTTTAAGAGAGCATGTGCAGTGGTAGATGCTACATATGCCTCTTGTTTGGCAGCAGGTACTTACAATTAAGGATGCTCTTTTTAAAACTACTTTCCACCTCTGCTGCTGTGTAACAGATCCATACAGTTGGGGAAAGATATGAAGGATCAATAAACATAATAATAACAACAATATTTTGTTAACAGTAACAACAATAATTTTTTGTCACAATCTTAATTTTCATTTACTTCGTACATTAATTTTCATTTACTTCAAACATTTATAAGTTCTGAAATATTTGACTGAAAGGGATTAAATATCAGCAAAACAAATAAAATACCTGTTGCAAGTGAAACATTTTCAGGAACATTTTGCCCGTCTGAAATTGGAAATTATTTTCTGTTTATTCAACGCTAAAATTACAGTCGGTTTTTAAAAGGAAGCTGCAGAAAAAAGGTCTCCCTGTGCCTGCCTTACCTCGCTGGGTGCTCCCTTGGCCGGGGTGGTGGGCGCTGCTGCTGCTGGGTGTCCTGGGAGCGATGACAGACACATTGCACTGCGGCCTGGAGCAGGAGACTTGCAGCTGCACCCTCCATGGCATTTGATGGTCTGAAGCCTGATGGCTGGGCTCTTGCCTGGGCCTTTCAGCCCCTCCTTTAACTTAATTTACCTAAAACAAACACGGCCTCAGGTAAAAGGGGAGAAACTGTCCTTAATGAGATTTCTTTTGACTCACTGAAAGAGTTCAAAGATGGGGCTCTCAGGTTGGCAGGCTGTCCTGGGGACAGCACTGCTAGGGAAACGTAGGCTTTTTGTTTTGTTAGCAAATCCCATAGAAAATAATCCACGCCTTTACCTTTCTGTCTGTTTTACAAAATCTGTATTTGCTCTATATGAAATATACGATGTAAATACACTTTTTGCATGTTCTGAGAAAACTCATCCATACCCTGTCCTAAAAAAGTTTAACAGAGACTCGAAGAGAATTTAAAATGTACAATAATTTTTAAATTACTGAAGTATTTTCCACGCCGTTACTTTAAAAAAGATACCAAAATTAGTGAAGGTGAGAGGTTTTAAAGGCATGCCTAGTGACTTCATCAAGACTACAGGGATGTTCCTTTAATTTATTGCTATCTGATGAATGGAGAAGAAAGCTTATGTCAAGAAAGATTACTTTGTCTATAAAAGAATCACGGTTATGAATGCCATCAATTTGAAGAATCTTTTAAAGTATACAATATTTTTTAAGCCTACAAATACTGAATAGAAATAGACTTCCAAACTTTCTTCCCACTGTTTTCATTCATAACATGCATAATTTGTAGCCTGTTACACTGTGCAAGAACAAATATTACCTGGTGGCTGGCATCATCTGGTTTTTATTGTGATGGTTCATTGCTGCAGTTCACTTTGTTTCCTTTGTTTCCCAACTACTGCAGATAACGTGAGAGGATTATAAGAACCTAAAGCTGAATTCTCTTTCCACTGGTGCTAATGGGCATTGACATCAAAGGGAACAGATTCAGCTCCCACATATAATTGGTTTCTGCTGTGAACTTTCTTCCCAGAAAGCAAAAAATAATTTTGTTTGCTGAACATGGAATGTTTGTTGATTTTTAGTATGAATTAGGTCCCTTCTAGCTGATAACAGCTGAAGAAACCATCAAGTCAGTCAGTTTGAGAGGACACTGAAAATTCTCGGTGGGAGTCCAAATCCCTCTGAGGTAAGCCCTGCGGCTCTCTCTTGAGATCCAGCTGGAAGGAGCACATGTCCAGTCAGCAAGAAGGAAAGGAGGGGCCAGACTCGCAGGTGAAAACCACTGGATACATTCTCCTGGAAACATTATTTTCCCCTGAAATTGTTTTGCATTAGAAAACATTGTATATACAGATTTGCACGGGGTTTTTGTGCATTCTACTGATCTTGCTTAAATCTAAATATCTTTCTTACGACGAGGAGCAGCTTAGGTCAGATTTGAAAGTCATTGTCTTACGTTGGTTCAAATTACACGGCTGTGTTGGGTACCTGGCACTCCTAAGACTGCTGAAGGCAACAGTGTGAGACGGGTTCTGATGTTTTTGAAGTGGTCTTCAGGAACAGTCTGGGATTCAATTTGTAAGGTCTAATTCTTAACATCTTGGGTCATTTCCCGAGGTGAGCGGCTCCAGAGAGGAGCCTTCAGCACCGGAGCCAGGGGAAACCCCGCGTCCCGGAGCCTCAGTTCCGAGCGGCGGGAGCCACCGAGGGAGCCTCGAGCCCTCGCCAGGCCTTGCCCGGGAGCCGCAGCTCCGCTGAGGCGAGCAGGGACTCACAGGGGGCGCGGGAACGGCGGTTGGCGTCGGCAGCGCGAGCGGGCAGCGGGAGGGATGGGGAGCGCTCGCCTCAGGGCCAGGGCCCGGGCCCGGGCCCGCTCTGGGAGCTCTGCTCTGGCTGCCCCCGCGGTGGCGGCGTCGGCACCAGACAGAGCCGATGAGAGGGGGGGCTGCAGCGCGGAGCTCGGGGTGCAGAGAGCGCCTGCACCGGAGTCGTGAGGAGAGGGTGCGCCATGGGCAGGGCTGCACTCGGTGCCCTGGTGGAGGCCCTCCTGCGGCAGGGGCTGAGCTGCGGGGCGCTGGCGGTTGCTGAAAGGTGTCAGGGAAGCTGAGAGAGCTGGGCTGCTTGCTCCAGGCCTGAGCTGTACAGGGGCCACAGGCATCCACCACAGCGCATACAGAAAAGGAGGAGGGCGGTAATCAAGGGACCTGGGAGCTAGTAACAAAAAAAGGAGAAAGAGGTGATCGTCTGCTGTAATCACTGCTGGTACCGGCTCACCTTGAGTACTGGGTGCAGTTCTAGGTCCCACCATTTAAGAACATGGAGGTCCTTACATGCATCCAGGAGGGCAACAAAGCTGGTGACAGGGCCGGAAGGCGTGTCCTGTGGGGAGCGGCTGAGGGCACTGGGATTGTCGGGTTCGGAAAAAAGCAGGCTGAGGGGAGACCTCATTGTTCTCTACAGCTCTTCCCAAGGAGGGGAAATGGAGAGGGAGGTGCTGATTTCTTTTCCCTGGGATCCATTGATAGGATGTGGGAATGGTACAGAGCTGCTCCTGGGGAGGTTTAGAGCAGACATTAGGAAGTCAAGGGGTTTTCAGCACCAAAACCACTTTCAAAGGCACAAATCAGAAAGGTTACAGGTGAAAAGAGTATTTTATTTATTTGTAAATAAAGTTATTTATCTTATTTTAGTTTAGCTTGGTTTAATTTAGTTAATTTTAGCCTAGTTTAGATTATATTTTCTTTTTCTAAATCCCTGAGAGCTGATGCTCACAAGCATTAACACGATGCACATGGCATAGCCAGCAGCAGGCTGATGCATCCCTTGCAGCCTGACAAAGGAAAGCCAGGGCAGGAGCGGTGCCCTGGTGGTGTGAGAGGAGTGGAAGAACCTGGCCAGAAAGGGCCAGGGAAGACCTGAGCAGGGGTGGTGCTCAGTGCTACAGAGGACAGCAGCAAGTCCCGGGGCCATGCTGCCTCCCCCCGGATGCGGGGCACGAGGGCCACGTGTGTGGAGCACGAGCCGCTGCCTTTGGGCCACAACAGCCCAAAGGAGCCCCATGAAGGGGCTGTGCTCGGCTGCGGAGGAGGCAAAAACCCCGGGGACCCTTGCTAGTCCACCCTGGGGGCAAAAAAAGCCTTCCCCCCCCCCAGCTGCAGGACACGAGGGGCCACCTTCGTGGTGCATGAGCACCAGGCGATAACCCAGAGTACTAGGACCAGAGGAGACCTGACAAGTGGTCATGCTCAGTGCTCAGAGGAAGGCAAAAAAACCCCGGGGACCGGTGCCAATCTGCCCCGGGGGAAAATTCCTTCCTGACCCCAGCACTGGCGATCGGCTACTCCCTGAGCATGTGAGCAAGGCCGGCTCCTGGTCCACGGGCTGGTTATGCCTCTAAGGGGACACTGGCTCTGCCTTTTCTGCCTCCACCTGGAGCCATCTGAGGGGCTCCCAGGAACAGCAAAATGCTGCTGGGTGATCAGCCCTGGGGGCAAGAATCCTTCCTGTGCCTGACAGTTGGAGCTCCAAAGCACTGGGGGAGGGCACTGGGCCATCTGTGGATCCTATTTCTTATGGCTACTGCCACTATCTCCCCAGACGATGAGGGCAGTGAGCTCCCCAAAGACTGAAGCAGGATTTCCATCCACTAGATGAGCTCTGAGAATGGCCCCTCCAGGAGCTGGAACTGCAGCAGAGAACCTCCCGCAGCTTCGGGCAGTCTTCCCCCCTCTGCCCCTCCAAGTAATTCCACCAGTGCCTCAAGGACTTCCTCTTGGGTGCCTTCAGGCTGCCAGCTCTGTCCTGGTGGCAAAGCCAGACACTTTGGCAGTGGGACATGGGAGGATGCTGCCGTATACTGCCACAGAGCACTGTGATGCTGCGTTGCTGGGTGCTGGCACTATGACACAGGGGTGACAGCGTCCCCACAGCCCTGCCCACTGCAGGCAGCCCTGCTGCTGCTGCCCTATTGCCCAGCATCCCTTGGAGAAAGGCCTTTGGGGTGCTGGCCTTGAGGCAGTGCCTGTGCCCAGGAGGCCCAGGGAGATGTCCCGCCCATGGTGGCCACACACTGGGCACCACTGCTTGGTGTCCCTGTAAATTAATCTCTGTGTTCAGATGTGTCAATAAGGGCTTTTATACCATGTACAGTCATTTGACAGTGGTGATCCCATATGTGAAAGAAAGGGGTTTTGGGTCCCTCTTCATGAACTTTGCAGAAAAGTAGAGAGCATACAGGATTTCCTCATCATTCCTTATCAATACACCAGGTGGCATTTGCTACTGCACTGCTTATGGTGAGGCCTTCTTCTTGGAAAGGAGAATTTAGGAAATCTCTTCTGCATTTGTTACACAGGGTGTTTAGATATTTGCTTGTGTTTGTTAACATTCGTGTGTCTAGTTTGGGGGTTTGCCTCTTCTATTACTACATGAATGCAACACTTCACTGACTGCTGCCTAATTCCATGTTTTGGTAGTTCAATAAAGTGTTTTGATCCCAATTTGGTTTAAACCACATGAGCAGCTTTTCACTGCAACACTCAGGAAAAACAAGTAACTGCCCCAGTTGTGTAGAACAGTTTTAAAACCCTCAGCTAAGTATCACGTAAGAGTACTGTATAAAGGGCAGAGATTTAGAGATTGGCAACAAATCCCCCCAGCACATTTGTTCAAATCCCTGAAATGCAGAATGACCACCGTCTCTCTCCCACAGGCTTATTTCTTGAGTGGTCTGTTGGGGGGGAAAGGGAAAGTCACCAAGTTTATTGGAGATGTTGGTGTAGGCTGCAGAAGACAGCCCCAGCTGGGATCCTATCTGAAGTGAGGAAACTTCTATGTTTGTCTGATCAAACTCTTCTTCTAGGCAATACACCCATGTTTTTCACATACAGTAGTAGAAAATGCTACTGCCTTGCCCAGTTCTGGTAGAAAGTGAGCTTAATCACCTCTTGGAAACACACCAGACACCCAGACAGAACCAGTGAGAGGGGAGGCTGCAGCACAGACCTTGGAGTGTAGGAAGTGCCTCCACTTGTGTCTTGAGTCAAGGGTGCACAACGGGCAGGGCTGCAATCGGTGTGCCCTGGTGGAGGTCCTCCTGCAGCAGGGGCTGAGCTGTGGGACACTGTCAGTAGCCTAAAAGTTTCTAAGGCCCAGTTAGAATTAAAGCTGGCAAGGGATGTGAAAGATAACAGGAAGGGCTTCTATAGGTATGCAGCAAACAAAAGACAGACTAGGGACAATGTGGGCCCTCTCTGGAAGCTATTGGGAGAACAGGCTGCCCTCGGTTTGGAGAAGACTGAGGTTCTCAATGACTCCTTTGCCTCAGTCTTCACTCGCAAATGCTCTGACCACACCACTCAAGTCTTGGAAGGCAGATGCAGGGACTGTGAGAATGAAGACCTTAGGCCCAGTGTAGGAGACCATTAGTTTCCAGATCATCTTAAGAGTCAGCATGTGCACAAGTCTGTGGGACCTGATGAAATCCATCTGCGGGTCCTGAAGGAGCTGGCCAGTGTCCATTATATTTGAAAAGACATGACAGTCAGGTGAAGCTCCCAACAACTGGAAGAAGGGAAATATAACCCCCATTTTCAAGAAGGGGAAAATGCATGACCCAGGGAACTACAGACCAGTCAGTCTCAACTCTGTGCCTGGCAAAATCTTGGAGCACATACTTCTGGAAGGCATGCTAAGGCACATGAAAAACAACAAGGTGGTTGATGACAGCCAACATGGGTTCACTAAGGGGAAATCCTGCCTGACCCATTTGGTGGCCTTCTATTGATGGGGCTACAGACCTGATGGATGGGGCAAAGAAGTTGGCGTCATCTACCTGGACTTGTGCAAAGCGTTTGACAGTGTCCCGCATGACGTCCTTGCCTCTAAATTGGAGGGACATCAATTTGACGGGTGGACCACTCAGTGGATAAAGAAATGGCTGGATGGCCACATGCAAAGAACTGTGGTCAATGGCTCAATGTCCAGCTGGAGACCAGTAACAAGTGGTGTCCCTCAGGGATTGGTGTTGGGACTGGTCTTGTTCAACATCTTTGTCGCTGACACAGACAGTGGGATTGAGTGCGCCCTCAGCAAGTTTGCCGATGACACCAAGCTGTGTGGTTCGGTTGATACGCTGGAGGGAAGGAATGCCATCCAGAGGGACCTGGACGTGCTTGTGAGGTGGGCCAGTGGCAGCCTTATGAAGTTTGACCAAGCCAAGTGCAAGGTCCTACACCTGGGTCGGGGCAATCCCAGGCACAGCTACAGGTTGGGCAGAGAAGAGATTCATAGCAGCCCTGCAGAGAAGGACCTGGGGGTGTTGGTCAATGAGAAACTGAACGTGAGCCGGCTTCCATGTGTGCCCGCAGCCCAGAAAGCCAACTGTATCCTGGGCTGCACTGAAAAGGAGCGAGACCAGCAGGTCGAAGGAGGTGATCCTGCCCCTTTACTCTGCTCTTGTGAGACCTCACCTGGAGTATTGTGTGCAGTTCTGGTGTCCTCAACATAAAAAGGACATGGAACTGTTGGACAAGTCCAGAGGAGGGCCACAAGGATGATCAGGGGACTGGAGCACCTCCCGGATGAAGACAGGCTGAGAAAGTTGGGGCTGTTCAGCCTGGAGAAGAGAAGGCTGCTTGGAGACCTCATAGCAGCCTTCCAGTATCTGAAGGGGGCCTGTAAGGATGCTGGGGAAGAACTCTTCATTAGGGACTGTAGCAAAAGGACAAAGGAGAATGGGTTTATGCTTACACAGGGAAAGTTTAGGTTAGATAT